AATATGGACAGCAAAGTCGACATTATTGTCGCAAATAGTGCTTCAAATAGTGTCGGTGTTTTCCTCAACGTAGGTAATATCGCATTTGCTCCTCAAGTAACCTATTCAACTGGATCTACCTCTGGGCCGAATTCTATGGTAGTAATTGATCTGAATGGAGATGGCAAACTCGACCTTGTCACCTCAAATAATGCTGCCGGAAGCTTTAGTGTTTTCCTGGGCACAGGCAGTGGCACATTTCTTACTCCGACAACCTATTTGATTGGATCTTCGATAAGTTACGTGGCTCCAGCCGACATCAATGGTGATGGTAAAATCGACATTATTATCGCACTCTCGAATGGAAACAGCATCGCTGTTTTTTTAAATGTTTGCAATTGAAGCATAGGCTAAACTTTATTTATGTTTCTCAATGAAAAAAGGATTTCTTTGGTTTAAAGTAATTAACATTTAACAGTGTTCAGGGTGTGGGTGTCGGGTGCGGGTATTACTAAAGTAGCGATCCACATTCACAGCCACACCTTCACCCTAATGTATTACTACCAACAGTTACTTCATCAAATATTCAATATCTATCTATCTAAAACACTAATGATCCTGCATATGAAATCGCAAATCTATTGAAGGGTGCGAGTGTGGGTGTGGGGTGTGGGGTGTGCGTTGTGGATGAGAGTGGAGATGTGTGTCATGTCATAACAGTGATTGACACTCACATCCACACCCTCGAGTGATCAATGGATAATTCATATCTCTTACTGCTCGTGGTCGATTGCAATTCCACTACGGAACTCCGGAAATTAGGTCGAGCCGGAATCGTTCGAACTGATTTCGGAATGTTCAACATTGCGGAATAGGATGACTGCTACCTGTTACAGCAATACCTATCTATTCTACCGATGCTTCATAATGAAAATGAGTATGTCCTACTACGAAGTAAACTGTTATCAAAACCGACAACGACTAAACATGCACGAGCATTCAAAATTGCTGCAACATTTGACAACAAAGCTCAAAACACGTCCACTAATTCCTTGGTGCATACCAAAGTACTCAAAATGGAAAATAATACTATTTTAACCTGTTCGATTATTATTCACTACGCACATGAAAACCAGTATGCTCATTATAAATCGATCATACATAAAGCTTGGTGTGCTTCATTTCACTAGCCACCAATTATGACGATGAAGCTCGTCGCTGAACCCAAGAACAATCCTAGCCTAACTCAAGAACTGGCGTGACATAATCCGATAAAACGAAAAACAGGCGAACGAAACCGTACACAGATTCGACAAATCTTCACTACAATTAACAACCTAACTTTAGCAAGAGAAAAATGGGAACCATACCTAATTCATCTGTAAAAACGCTATAATTCTTGCTAAATAAGCACAAACATTTAGAATGGAATTTTTCTAACTTTCACCTTCTTATACACCAAAGCACAGAATAATGTCACATCAGGCAGTCATATACATTTGCAACATACATCCAATTTACAAAAAAAATGAATTGTTCTTCGAAGAAAACGCTTTCTAACCTTCCGAAAAAGTGTAATCCATAGATGATCATCTATCAACACGAAACTACATCCAAATTAAAAACTATTCTTGAAGAACGACGAAAACCACACATTATGAAAGCCATCTTACTTCGTAAAACATCGAAATCTAAATCATAATATGCTTGACACACCATTGCTATAGGGATATCTATCGGCTCGAAAATAAGATTCATTTGCATTTCATTTGGAATTCTGTATAGATTATTGTATTTTGTTTGTGATTTCTTTGAAAATTGATAATCATTCAAAACGAATACAGTAGAGGCATTACTATTTGATGAGACCTTTAAGCAAAGTCGAAATATAGATCATGGTACGCTTGACACACCTACACACCCACGGCAGCTAATATACTCACACACACTGACATCGGTATCCACCATTTGCGTTTTGTTTTTACTTTTCGTCTGTTGAGCGAGAAAAAACAGCAGAGAAACAGAAGATGTAATTCAGAGAAGAGGGAGCGTCTTTTTTCAAGCCTCACTTTGTTTACTCTAATAAGTGGTTGAAAAAAGTTGTTCTGGGAAGAGCGGAAAAAACGTACAAATTGAAAAACAATACATATCAATTTTCACTTTACTCGTTACACAGCGTCCACCAAACGGATTCGAAAAAATAAGCTGTACACAGCAACTGTGCGTGAGTCGTTTCAAACAGAATTTCAAATTTCGCAGTATATTTCTGAAAGACGAAAGATGATCCAGGAAGTCCAGGAAGTCCAGAAGGTTCAAGTGAAAGATGGTGGATGTCAGTACTGTGACTGTACAGGATTCATCCAACCAGATCCAGGCTGCGCCAACTGCATGTGTGGTCATTCTTATAGCGATCATTGTTAGCGATCATACTGACTGCAGATGGCTTATAGATTTATACACTATTGCACGGAACATTTCCATCCATATATTCGAGTTCACACCCTGACACTTCACATTTCTCTTTTCATGAATACCTGCTCCTTCGGCGATATTCATACTAAATAAAAAGATGCTTATTCTACCGTTTTAAACTTGCAAAAGGAGACGTTTTCAGCTGTCAAATAACTTTTGAGTTCTGACTTTGTGCGCAAGATAGACCACAGCATGGTATGAAAAATTCCAAAAGTCTAAATTCCATTAGGCCTTCTTTCCAGAGTTATTGGCATTTTACTGGAATTTCAGCCTATGGCATGATACATACCGATAAATCGAATGGCGGTATTTCGATCTGTGATTTTGCCCACGGGAAGGTCTGGGTGTGGGTGTTAATAAAGTAGCGATTCACACTCACACATTCACTCTGATGTACTACTACCAACAGTTAATTCATCAAGTATTCAATATCTATCTTGAGGGTGTGGGTGTGGATCACTATGTTATTACACTCACACTCACACCCTCACACCCTCAAGAAAGGAAATAGAGAAGTGCCGGTTTTGAAAGCTGTATCTTCTTCTTTGCGCTCCTATTGCTATCGACACAAGATTCGGCATGATTGTGAAGAGACATAACAGATACTGATCCTGAATCCACAAAATTTGCTGATTTTCTTCCGTATTTCTTTTTCGGTCATATCATACAATGTAACGCACTGGTATGTTCGTTGACAGAACGAATCACAAGCAAAAATGTTAATCATTATCACGTTGCCCTTTGTGCGACGATATTTTCGATTTTTCAAAGAGTTATCTTGACCAATACTCTTATATTATGTAGAATGGGTTTCTCTTTCACCATGTGTTGTTAGATTTAATTAAAATTTGTCATACGTAGCCATATTCGCGTCATTAGAGGAGATTGTCATAGAGTCGAACAATGTAATGAGAATTCTTTGAGATTACTTCGCCCATTCCTTGCTGAAAATAAGTCATTTTGTGGTGTCGACGTGGATGTAGGTATTCATCAAATGCACACACTGTCGCCTATGGATCTATGGATTTATGGATCAGTGATATGCATCAAAATGAGCGAGAGAAATAATGTCGAAAATAGAATGCCGAAGAAAATTCCCATGTAATAAAAACCGCATGAAAATCGGCGGTTAACCGCGGTTTTACCGATCCGGTTACCGGCTCCCATTACCGCAGAACGGATAAATACCGCGGTTTACCGCAAAAAATGATCCGAAATTTACCGCGGTAAACCGCCGGTTTTGATTAATACCGCGGTTACCGCTAAAAAAAAGCAGTTAACCGGTTCGTCTATAATCATTGATAGAAAAATTCTTCCAAATCATCAATTAAACTATTTTAATCATCCTTTTTTTTTACTTTTACATGTGATAAACATGAGCAAAAAACCGCCGGTTTACCGCGGTTTTACTGGTCCGGTTACCGGCTCCCGTTACCGCAGAACGGATAAATACCGCGGTTTACCGCAAAAAATGATCCGGTATTCGCAACATGGGTTATTTTAATATTTTTAGACTGCTAAGATAAAGATTTTTTATTTTCTGATAAAATTTTAAGTACACCAAAAAATGAAAAGAGTGAAGTATAATTAGTTATAAAATTAATAGAAAGAAAATATTTCTTTATGTGAAAGTTTATATCTTTCGTTTGACAATAATGAGTGAGAAACCATCTAATAATTGATCAGCATCGATTTCAAAAAGCTCATTATATCCAATTCTTTCGCAAATCCAATATTTTTTTAATACTATTTCATTTTTTACTCGATATACAAAATCGTTAAAAATTGGCAGAGAATTGCCTTTATTAGCAATGGTAAAAGACACGCTGTTGCTATTATATGCGTTCAAAAATTATACTAAATTAACAACAAGTGATATGTAATAAAAAAAGAAACCAAGTTATGGCATATGTTTATTATATTTATAGATATTTTTTCTTTCTTCATGCTCATTCCTTCAGGTAGATTCTACGATGATACTAGTATCAGAAAACACAGGAATAAAATATCATGTACTGAATTTAAAAAAAAAATTTTAAATTTATGGGAAAATATACTCTTCGCTATTTTCATATGATCGACATTTTTTCTTTCACTCATTTTAATGCCATTCATTCATTGCTACAAAAATTGTTTTGTAGTGTTATGCTATAACGACTGTCTGAATTTATAAGTCACAACAAATTCATCATGCTTAAAAACGTTTGTTTAAACACGCTTATTTATAAAATGTATTTTCTATATAACGTGACTATTTGATGATGAACAGATAAGAGCGAGGAAGCATCCTTTTCTTTCTACATTGCTGAGTCATTCCCATCAACAAGATATGAGACTCCTTTAACGGTACGATAATGAATATCGACAGCTCTCTCTTTCAAATAACGAATGAATAAGAGTAAATATTCTCTAATTTCACAACAACAACAACAACAACAACAACAACAGCAACAATCCGATTTTATTTATAATCCTTCCTTCTTTTGGATTCTCATATTTCTTTACTTTCTTCATTTTGAATCACTACTGCCATTATTCACACACAAAAGATGCCCTTCAAAACAGAACCTCGTATAGTGAATGTTAGAGTTATTTTTATGAGATTAGGTATTTCGTTCTTTCTATCATTTGATAGATCTACGTAAGACATGGGTTACTTTCTTCTATTTTACAGGACAAATCAACACGCTGGCAGATCAATTTGATGGCGAAGCATCCCTTGAAATAGAATGGCTAGACTCCAATGTGATAGATGAGTATGACTTGAAAAAGCATTGGAATCCAAAGATAAACATATACAATGCACTGGGTGAATTAAAGCAACAAATAACGCATACAATTAGAAAGACTGCATTGGGAGAAACAATCATCTGTGAACAACAAAAACTCAAAGGTGCTTATTATGAAACTCTTGAACTGAATAATGTAAGTCTTCTTCATCCTTCATTTTACTCATGAAAAAGACTTTTACAAATATTACTGCAATTGAAGAAAAAATAAAACCACATTTGTACCGTGCTTATCCCTTTCCCTTATAGTTTCCACTTGATGTACAAGATTTAACAATAAGCATAACATCTCATCTAACAACGAATGAAGTTCTACTGAGACCACACCCTCAATGCCCATCTCGAGTAAATGAAAGTGCTTTCTTAGCTAAACAACAATGGAAATTATTTAAATGTGTTAATGCAATTATTGATACAATGCATGATGAAGATACTAATCAACAGAGATCTATGGTGAATACTCTTCTCTTTCTCTTCTCCTCTAGTTTATCTATCCTCATAGATCCATGTCACGTGTCATGCACAAAGAATACCAACTTATTTTCATTGGAATGGTTTTTTTCTTATTTTTATTATTACCATCTTCTGTTTTCCTGTTTGGGCCATTGATCCAAGGTAAGTATCACACTAGTAGTTACAGTCAATTCTACATTTCTAAGTGTAGCTTACCACAAAATCGTTTGGGACTTATGGCAACTATTCTACTAACATCCATATCATTTCGTAGTACAATAACAAGTAAATTACCTGTAAGTTCCAATAAGTCTCATCTATCTTATATTTTCTTCTTTCTTCAGTTAACATCCTATTTAACATTGATTGATAAATATTCTATAACTCAAATTGTCTTTGACTTACTCTGTACATTATATCATGCTATAATTGGTTATTGGATGAATAATGATAAATTAGTGGATCCGAAATCAAGATCTCGTCTCCCAGATTACATAATGTTCTTCATTTTATTATCACTATTTATTCTACTTAATTTGACCTTCTTCATATGGATTATTAGAGTTGCTTATATACCAAGACGTGCCTTAGAACAACAAATTCCATGGATAATTATGGATAAGCAATATTCTTCTTCTTCATCATCGACGACGACTACATTTGAAACCGAAAGAATTTAGACATGAACTCTCTTCCTTTGCTTGTAACTACTATGTTATTAAGAGAAAAAAATTAACTGCTTTGCTCTACGGCACTGGCCTATAATTTGACTTGACTCACTGTCTTGGTAACACCAAGTCATAACCTAGGTTGTGGGTGTAGATGAAGGTGAATAAGAGAAAATCTGCAAAAACCCACACCCAACAAGTATCAGCGAATATGTCATGATCGCTAAATATTATAGATATCAGCACATTAGAAGATCACGGATCTTCTATTCTATCCCTAAAATTTCTTCTTTTTTTTGCAATTTATTCATCTGGAAAAAAATGATTTGTAGCAATTAAAAAACTAAGATAAATTCTTCCGAAACCACGTTTTTGCTTTGCTTTGTATTCCACGTCCAACATCTTTCGGATCGATATTTGACTCTTCCATTGTATCTTTCTCCTCTTTGATAATATCATTTACCAACCATTTAATAAATGTTCCAATATTCTTCATTTCAATAGTTATTTGTTGTTCACGTAAATAATCAAGGCCTTGACGCATTCGATTTTCTGTACATGCATATTCTACAAATTCTTGTAAATTTGCTAACTTTTCTGCATCTACCAGTGCTAATATTTTAACTTTACTAGCCGAATGTTTTTCTCCTTTAACTTTAAATGTTAACCCACCTCGAGTTTTCTCCCACTCAGTCCATACAACACCTTCGCCAATACCTATTTGTTTGAAATATGTACCAACAGGACATTGACGTTCGACTTCTTCAGTAATTTCAATAAGTTTATTTTGTGAAAGTAGTGGAGAGTTGAAATCAATATCGATTTCATACGTAGGAAAATCATAAATGTTATAAATCGATTTTTCATGCCATTTCACACTCGACCACTCTTTTGGGTCAATCCAAACTGAATGCTTTTTAATTTTTGTTGTACGTTCATCAGTGTCATCTTGATCGTTCTCCTCTTTGACTGTTGTTTCGATTTCTTCAACAATTCGTATTTTAAATATCACAAACATTTTCGGTAGACCAGATATAGCAACATTCTTTTGAATATTTCCACCACACCATTCGCCGTAGACGACAATTTTACGACCTTGCTCGTAATATTCTCGAATTACTGAACTTGCAGGAAGAATATACTCATGAAAAAGTTGATCTGCTAATCGATTCATACTCTGAGCAAAACCAACATTATCTTTTAGCGGCGTAAGAATATTATTCCTAGATTGAAGCCAATGTCCTAAATCTTTGTGATAACCAATTGCTGAATTGGTTCCATGTAATTTCACAGTACCAATAAATTTCAATGTCGGTAGTTCTTTGTCTCGGTCTTCCTCGGATTGTCGAACATGTTTTGTGACTTCGGTGATGACATGTCGAAATTGTTCTGTTTCTGGATATGAAATCATGATGAGTCTATATGGTTGTTTTTCTTACTGCAGTATTGATAGTCAACATTTAAATATATTTTCCATTTGCTTCATTTCTTACTCAACAATAACAGTTGATTGTGTAATGACTAATAGTCTATAAGATGATGAAAACTATGAGTAATGCTGATGACATAGTACTTCTATCGTGAATTTTATTTCCAAAAAGAAAAAGAAAAAAAATAAGATTTTGTATGAATAATTTATTCGACTCCGCTATTAACTGGATGATCAGACGGCATTTGAGGTAATTTTTCACTGCAGAGAATGATGAAATATCGATAAAAACTTATTTTTAACAGAAAATAATAACTTACATTTCTTCCGTTAGTTTTTGTAACTAGAACAGCAAATAGAAAATAATTTATTTCAATAGAATTTAAATTTATTTCATTTACTTTTTGCATAAGACAAGACATATTTTCATTTGCTTTTTTCTGACATTCATCAGATTCAATACTGAAATAGAAATTATACAAATGATGAATTATCAAAAGAAAAAATTCTTCATACTTGATCGTGGACAAATCTTTATCTAATGAAAAATGTAATCTTGCTAATTGTTCTTGAGTTTCTCGGATCGTATCCATTTTTGTACAAGTAAATTGTGGGCCTATGCAATAGAACGAATACAGAAGAGGAAGAAAAAAACTCAACAATTCATACTAAATGCAAGTAATGTTCCTTCACGAAACCGTTGCAGTAAATCAGTAAGATCATTTTCTAATTCTTTCATCGTAGTTACGTCGGAAAAAAATGCATGTTCATTTGGACGAATACTACCAGCTGTAAAATCAAGTGGATTTTCTGATGAATAATCATCGACTTAAACGGAAACAAAGAAATCATTTAATATTCAAAATAGAATTTTCCCGCCAGTCTTTTACATCGATCATCGCTTTCTGTTGTTTGATCTGCCAAAGCCACTGAAGGATTTCGTGTAGGCGTTTTTGCCATTTGCTTTATTAATCTATTTTACTCTACAAAATACAAAAAAACAACAACATCTAAACGACTAATATCATAAATGTATTCAACTATTGTGGAACTAAAGTCAAACTACAAATTTATCACAGTTGCCATCTTCCTGAGAGAAAACAAAGAAACATGATATATTATTTTTTTGTCAGCGTTAAACGATTCGGTCGAATAAATAAACCATGATTTTGTTTCGATTGAAAATAAACACGTCCATTGACAGATCCATCATTTTTGCCAAGTGGTCGCGATACAAATTCAATACCAATCCAAATACCTTCAGCAAATGCTGTTTTACCAATAAAACGTACAATAGCTAAATAAAATACAAACATAATTAGATAACCAAACGACATACGAACATCACAACTTTACCGAGATGATTCTGATAATACACTTTGTCACCTACATGGAATGTTACACTGTGCATACTAAAAATTTAAAATCGAAGCCGCGCAAATTTTCAAAACAGAGATGTAAACCTACCTAGATTCCATAGATTTGGTAAATACATCATCTTCAATAATACTGGAAGCTATCACTGGAGATAATAAAAAAGAAAATACCCGAGAGTATATCACATATCGAAAAACAAGTATAAAATATTCATACTTGTTGTATCATATTCCGAAGTTGTCATTCTTGAATTTATTTTTGTTTGAGGATCTAACGAATGCAATAATGACTGTGCTAATCGATCGTTGTTATTTATTCTATACAAGTAACACAATAAAAATTATATATTCATATTAAATTAAAATACTTTTTCAAATTATAATGTCGTACAAAAACACCATGTTGTGGCTTACATCGAAAATAACGTTGCCCATCAACACTTAGAAAACCATCGTGTAAACCATCTGGTAAATCTAGTTCAACACCATACCATGTGCCTTAAAAAATGATGAACATAAATTTAGCATATGTCTGTTTTATTAGTTATTTTACCAGATCCTAATGATGTCGGTCCAATATATTTTATAGTTCCGATTCGATTTTTAGAAAGAAATACGCGGTCGTCGATACGAAAATGTTCTGATGTCCGACCATCTGCTGAATTTTCTCGTTTTAAACCTTTGTTAGAGAAAAAAAGTATCATTATTAAAAACAGATTTTTATAGTAAAATAATTACCAGTATCAACACGACTCGTAACAGAAGCCGTATCAAGTATTGGAAAATTAATTGGACGAAATCGACGTTCACGTTCAGGTGAATAAGGAACTGGTGTCAGTCTTTGTAAAGATGACGGTTGTATAAAAATACCTGATAAACCAGATAACTCAGAGAAAATATGTTTTCACATGAAATGAATTACCTCTATTGGGTGGACATGTAAAATAACGTATTCCTCCTATGCATCCATCATGTTTACCAGTCGGCTCATCGAGTTCTACACCATACCAAAGATTGACACCAAATGGAACACTACCAAAATATTTTATTGTTCCAGTCTATTTCGATAAGGAAATATGAATAGAACGATGAATGAAGATAATATTCATACTTTATTATTCGCTAGTCGAACACGTTCACCTATCTGAAATTGTGGCACGTTTTGATTGTCTGCATCTATAGACAACTGTTATATTGTTTATTGAAATAGAGTGTTGCTTACTACTTATAATTGAATCGATTAAAGATGACTGTTGTTGTTGTTGTTGTTTACATTCTTGATTTCGAAGAAGAACTAATAATTTATCAGCTATATCTTGTTGTTCTTGAGTATTCGGTTTTGGAATGCAATCTACTTTTTGTGTATATAAAAAATTTAGTTAATTTTTATTATAAAATCGAATTTTTAACCCGCAGGAGTTCGTTGTTGATCGTCGAGAATTTCTTTATTAGCTCCAGCTTGTAACAAAAATTGAGCAGTTGATTGAGATAAAGCTGAACAGGCTAGATGAAGTGGAGTGCCATTTTTAAATGAAGCACACGTTTGATTTAATACTTCAAACAAAGAGAAACCTTTATTGTCAAACAAAATAATCAGTCAGTCTTACATTTTAAAACTTTAGATTGTCTTAAGAGAAGCTCACAAATAGATGGAGAATCGAAAAAAGCACAATAATGAAGACAATTCATTTTTATCCATAAACATTGAGCAGTGAGATTAATACCTTTTTCAATAAGTAAATTCATGACTTGTATGGCTTCTTTTTCATGTCCGAATTGTTTGGCTCCATATTTACAAGTAAAATGAACTAAATTCATTCCTGTGATGACATCGAATTCATCAATATTAACCTCATTTTCCAATGTCTAAATAGTAACATAAATCGTCGATTTAATTCTTCATTCCATGATAAAGCTTTTTTTACGTACCAAAGAAATAAGTTTAGTAAAATTTTTATGTACAATATTATTCCATGTTCTTAGAAGGCCAAATAATTTTGTTAATGTGATTGGATTATCATTTTTATTGGAAATAAAATCTTCCAAATTTATTGAATCATCAATTGATGAATAATCAATAAAATTATTTAATGGCAGATGCTGCATTAACAAGACATCTAGATTAAAAATTTAGAAAAGAAAATATTTTAAAAAAGTAATTTAGAAAAAAAACGAGAATGAACGAATTTGTGTTGTTTTTTTTATCTCAAATAATTCTCATGAATAATAGAAAAGAAAAAGTAGATTTATTATCAATTTGATAGCGTTGCTTGCTGCCATATATCACCCATTTTTGAAAGAGCTTTGCATCGATATCGTCGAATCTGACGGGAACACGCAGGATCGCTGAGTACTTGATCACAAACATTTCGTTGAATACATTCAATTTCAAGTTTTGTTGCACGCCAAAGTGCTTCCATGGATTTCGCCGTTGTATCCATTTCAAGTTTACGTTTTTCTTCATCGGTTAGCGGTACAATGGGTTGCGTTGATGACTTTTGTTTTTGTTTCACCGATGAAACTGGTTTATTCGTCGCTAAAGCTGTTGGTTCCGATGGAGTTGGTCCACTGTATTCTAAATGACCTGAATGATGTTGAAATGGAAGTTGAGAATTCTCGGATTCGTCATCGACAGCACTAGTCAATCGTGACACTGATTGTTGCCATTGTACAGCACATTTAACTGTTTTAACAGTTTCTTTCACAATATGTATACGATCTTTCCATGTTGATTGAAAATTTTTACCAAAACCTAATAGACGTTTACCTAGATGACCTTCTTGTGAGTCCATTTTAGTTAACCAAAAACGTGCTTTTGATGAATAAACATAACCAATTGCATGTAGTAAATGTTCACCGTAGGGTGCCTGTAATTGATTTGGAATATCAGCATCAATCTTCTTAATAAATTTATCTAATGCTTGCGTAGATTCAAGTGCACTACTATCAGACGACAATGTATCGGTGAAAATCGATAATTTCGAAAGTAAATTCTCTGATAATGTTTTAATACGTTCTTCATGTGCTTGTGCTCGTTCTGCTGCATGAGATGAACGTTGATTTTGTCTATCAGTTGTTTGCTCATTCTCGCTTAATAATTCACTAAGAGCATATTTAAATGATTTTGCAAGTTCGAAATCACCAATAATATCAACGAATTCTTCGCCGCCAAACATAAAACGAAAGAATTCTTCAGCATCAAAATCTTCCAGCGATACTCCGTTGGGACCCTGTGACATAATATGCTCATCTTTGCCGTATCTAAACAAAATATTTTATTGATTTCAGAGTATAGAATGAAATTTAAAAAATGCGAACTCAACAACATGATTCTTACCTATTATAGAGTGTTCTTTTTTCTGGGTCACTGAGAATAGCTAAAAGAAACAAAATAAATAACCTTGAACAGGATTAACATTTTCTTTTTTTTCTCCCATATCTTTCTTACAATATGCGTGAGATATTTGTTTAAATCGTTCTGCATATTCTCGTCGTGTAAATTCATCCAGACCTTGTGTTCTATCAGGATGATATTGAAGTGAATATGTGTAATAAGCTCGTTTGATTTCCGCTGCACTTGCATTTGGTTTTACATTAAGAATATCATAATATGTTTTATCAAGTGGAACATCATCTGTACCAGTTTTACCAAGAAAACCTGATCGAACATGATCATCATTTGATGCTGAAGCCATTATTAAAAATAAAATCTGCAAAAAAAATAAAATTGTGAAACTAGAAAAAAATCTGACTAAAACTCGTGCTATTCAAACAGTGAAAATTGAAAAAAAACACAAATAGAAATATTTTAAATATTCTCAAGTTTTTCAATAATAACATTCATGGCAGGCTTCTCCTGACGAGTATGATCGAGTTGTAATTGTTCATCATAGAGAAGTAATTGTCTAAGAAAACCAACGTTCGGTTGAATTATATGACGACGGGAACGTATTTGTACTAAGGCTTGTTCAAGACTCATGGAATGATGTTTCATTAAATAAGCGCAGCATAATGATGTCGAACGTGATACGCCACAAACACAATGAACCAGTACACTACCTTTTGATTGATGTGCCTCATCAATGAATGCACATGCTCGTTCAAAATATTGTCTGATGTTAAATGCAATATGATCATCAGCTTTTAGAAAAAGATGATTGATATGTGATGGAACTAAATTTTTTGCCGGTGGAATGAATACAACGGAAAGAACGTGAGTTATTTTAAGACGTGTAAGACGAACCTATGAGTATAAATCAAAGAGAAAAGAAAATCAATAATGAAAACAAATAAATAAAACTTACTCGATTACCAAGAGATTTTAAGCCACCTATGTAAAGAAATGAATCAAAAACAAGTGTTGGTTCCGTAGGTGTTTGAGTACGTCGAGCCGTTGGTTGCAGAATATGAAGACGAATATTCAGAAGACGTTTCTCAATCGGATCAATATCTTTCCCATTTTTTGATTCTGTTTTTTGTGATGGTATACGTGGAGGATTTAATTGTTTTACTTTGAGTGTAGGTAACGGACGACGTGCTGCTGTTGCCATGCATACAAATGCGTGAAAAACAAATATTCTAATCGAACTAGTTCTCGTCTGTTCTGATTTAAAAAATCGTTCAGTTGAGGAATTGACGACTTTTCAGAACACTATTTCATTGCATCACCGTTGATCATCATCACGCGAAGTTCTGTTCTCAATGGTGTTAATAGTAAGTAATAGGAAACATCAAAGACAGATGTCTATACCAGTCAAACTCATTATTACGGTAGATGTTGAATTTATTCATTCCGGCTTCGTGTACAAATTGTTTTTTCTTTATTGATTTCCCTCCGTATTCGAAATTTTATTAAGAAAAAAAAATAAGAATAACGGGTATAAAGCGCGGAGAAAAACAATAGAGATCGCGAGCAAACACACACAAATGCCGTATGAGCAAAATCAACGTAAGAAGGACAATAATAATGCCGGGAGAGAATGTTTCAATTTTTTCATGAGAGATGAAATATGGCTATTGTTTTCTTTAGAACAGTTCTTTGAATACTCTGCAATTATTGAGCGAATTAAAGAAGGAAATAAAAACAAACAAACAAATAATGTAATATTGATCAAGTAAGACTAGATTCTATTCCGCCAGCCGTAGTTTTTTTTAAATATATATTGCTTCTCTATAATAAAGAAAAAAAACAATGAAAATTTCTAAAACAAGTCTATAGTTAAGCTTACGAATATTATTTTTAATTACAATTAGCTGCTGTTTCAACTGGACGATCATGAGAAGAATTGAGATTTGTAGATGAGGACAAACTATAATTAAAGAAAGAAGATGTTTGCTCAAATCTCATGTTGCCGCGAGTTTACTTACGGTGAATCACTATGACCATTGGTAGTATTATTGATTCCTGAGTCTTGTTGATCATCATCATCATCATCATCATCATCATCGGATGTGTGACTTTGCATTGGTGATTGAATAGTTACAGTTTCTCCGTCGACCATACTTTCATCCATGATTTGTGATGTTGTCATATTCGATTGTGTGAGATTATCTATGGATTGTGTATTTCGAGCTTTGTTAAGAAGGTTTTGTATTAATGGAGATTTAAATCTGAAATTTAATAGATTTGAGAAATGCAGAAAAAATAAAGAAAATGTTGTACTTCGACGCGTCTGGTGTTGTGGATTCGTTCGTATTTAGAAAATTTTCATTCGATAATGAAGTTGGAAGACGATTATCAGAAATGGAATGAGACATAAGTAATTGTTGTTTATCATGTCCGTTTGTTTCATCGCTATTAGTGTTACTAATATTGTTTTCAGGTTGAAAATTGACTTTTAAACTCGGTGAAGTTTGTCGCGTACGTCTCATAATTAAATCAAGACGTCTTTTTCGTTCATTTCGTTCTTCTTCTTCTTTTTTAATTCGTTCTTGTCGTTCCCGGTTGAGACGTTCAGCTTCTTCGGTTTGTTTTCTTTCGAGTTCTTCACGTTGTTGTTGTAAACGTTGGTCTTCTTGACGTTTCAATTCATTTTCACGTTCACGTTCTTCGATAGCACGTTGTAAACGTTCTTGTTCGACACGACGTAGTTCTTCAGCAAGACGAATCTGCTCTTGTTCACGTTCATATTCTTCTAATTCTAATTGGCGTTGTCGTTCTTCTTCACGTTGTCGTTCAATTTCTAAACGTTGTTGTGCTTCGCGAATTTTTTGACTTAATTTTCGTTGATATTCTTGTTCATCGTTAGTTTGTTGTTCGCGTTTCGCTGTTGGATTAATAATTTCGGTGACTGCATCAATATTAATGGGCTCAACGAGAGAACCAATTGGTTCCTCTACAATAGATGCTTGTTCTTCTAGAGTATGTTCTTCGATTGGTACACTTTTATCTTCATCATTTTTGATAATTGATTCAGTTTCTGTTGTTTCTATGGATGATATTGTCTCTGTTTTAGGTTTTGGTTTGGCTGGCGATGGTGATACCCCACCAATACGACGGATATTTTGTTTGTTAGTTGCAGGTGTCGCAGTTAAAGCTGAAGACGATGAAAGAGATACAGTCATTAGAGAACGTTGCGTTGGTGGTTTCGAACGAGATGCTGTTGGAGGTTTAGATGAAGGTGGTAATGGAAGTTTTGGGTGTGAATTAATAGTAGTAGTAGTAGTAGTAGTAGTAGTAGTATTTCGATGTGATGATTGTCTACTAGATGATGGATTTGACGAAGGTTCAGATGTTCCTTCAGCAGTTGGTGAAGCTCGAAAGTCATTACTGGATGGAGTGATAGTAGAGGCAGCAGAAGCTGGACGTGGCGGAATAGTCTTTAAAAACAAAATTTATTTATTGATTTTTGTAAGCTTGGACAAAAAATGTTTATGTGATATTCAACTTACTCGTCGAGTTTTCGAAGAAGAAGACGCTGTTGGAGTTAAATGATTATTTGAAATCATAGGCGGAGTAGATACACGAAGTTGATGACTGGATTGTGATGATGCTAATCCGCTCGTTGGTGTTGTTGAACCACTTTGAACGGATTGAGCCTTTGGAATAGTTTTCGGTTTCGAAAGTCGAATAATAGTCTCATTTAAATGTTGCCGATTAATACTTTGTACTCGACGTTGTGACTCACCATTGATTGTCGTTGTTGTTGAATTACTTGTAACATCATCGTGAACTAAAACGAACATCAACTATTCACTATATCTTCAATATAAGAATGCGTTAAAATGCTTTTTTTTTTAAATAAAGCGAAGCAATAAGCACGCACAAACACAGAATGATTTAAAGCAGCCCATGCGCACGCGTAGACACACACACATGTATAAATGCATATGCATAAGCTGAAAAAACAGGCGAAAATACCTCTACAAGCTCGAGGGCATCGTTCGACACTTCGACTAAGACGTGATCGACACGTCGCCGCATAAGTCAAACGCATAAAATTGGCATTTACATTATTATTATTGTCACCGGTATTCAACCAATATGTGTAAGATGTTGGCATCGGTCGTGTTCGACTAGATGCCACTGTACGAGGAGTACCTGATAAAGAATTATCTTCATTTTCTATTGTTGCATCATAGGAATGACGCGATCGATGATGACGGCGTCGTTCGTCAATCGGATTAAGCTGATGAGAAGTATTGACAGCTACAAGTGGCGAGGGAGAAAGAAATAATCCATATATTTATATATGAACATATTCTCATTGATAAAACATTCTTTCACGACAAGTATGAAGCAAAAAGAAAACAGATTGAGATAAACTTACTAGATGAATTATCACCATTATCTTGAGATACTGTTGTAACTGGAGAATCGTTTAGACCTCGTCGATTTGTCATATCTAATAAATTATCATAAAAAAAGCGATTTTATCTAAGTTTCAATTTACAATATCAAATAAAAAAGAATAACTCACTTCGTGGATTTGAACGTAAACGTGGTGCTGAAATAGCTCGTCGGCTTGAATGTACATCAATGGACATACTCATAATAGAATCGGGTCTATGCGTAGCATTTTCCCTAGAATTAAATTCAGACGATATTAACAAATAATCTATTATCGATTTATTCTGTTTACCTTCGATTGACTTTTATTTGTGAATTAGCTTTTCGTTCGCGTTCTTGTTCTCGACGAAGTATTTCCTCAATTTTAACCTTGATATTTAAAATCAGTTCAATTTATATAATAAAAACTCTATACATATTACATGACATACTTTTGATTGTTCTTCACGTTTTCTACGTCTTTCTTCAACTTGTGATCGATGATCAGTATCACGATTACGCAATTGCAACCACTTTTTTACTTTAACTAATTGGTGTTGTTGCCTAGAAATAAAACAAAAGCGACCTTGATAATCAAAAAACAAAACAAACAAACAAACAAATCATATTCAGTATTAAGTTCATTAACAGACGAGAGTGCATTGAGGTCTTTTCTTATTCTGCTTTTCCCTCTTCTCTGATTCGCATATTAACGATACAGAATGTGTTTGTTTGATTCTCGCATATTTTTCCTATTTAGACGCGATCGATCATTGAAAAAAAAAGAATGAGACGCCAGTGTTGCTTTCCTCTCTTGCCAGCTGACTCTACCTACCCAAAACAAGAAAAATGGCTCTATCTCACGCACACACACAAAAACGATGCATCTCATTAGATAATCGTCACTCTCTTTCTCTGTCATTCTTTTTCTTTCTTCGAATGTCTGATTGTACATGCTTGTAAGATGCAAAGCGTATAGCTTTCGTCGTGCTGCCTGAGAACGAGAAAAAGAAATGCCAAGCTTGTATTAACAGGCATAATAACTAAAACATATTATTAATGAGTAGCCCTCCCCCTAAACTACCATGGGACTGATTGCGCACAGAAGGAATCAATCGTAAGATGAACAAAAAAAATATGACGAGAAGAAAAAACAACTACATCAAGTGTTTATCGTTTAAAGCCTACGCAAAATAAATGATTGCAATAATTTTTTTAGTCTTTCCTTCTCTTTTTCTTTGTTTTTCCTGTTCTTTTTTTTATTGAGTCATCGCAAAACAGAATCAATCCATTAATAGACGTCTCATCTGTCAGAAAGTATCATTTGTAATCGTTAGTAATACTTACCATTTTTGGTCTTTCTTTCGCAGCTGCTCTTGGAATCGTTGTAGTCGCAATTCATCTACTTCTTCTTTCTTTTGTTTTACTAATTTAATATGTTCGTCATGATTAATCGATCGAGCTCCTGCAAGCAATTTATTACTTAATTTACTTTATCAATTTATTCTGTAGTTGTTTTTCTTTACCATTGGACAATGAGTTCAATTTACTATTCATATTTGTATCAACTATTGCCATTGAAGATGTTGGTCGAACTGTTTCATCATAATCTTGTTCGTCATTAATTAATGAATCTTCAGACATAGTGCCTACGTACAAAAAAAGAAAAGAAAAACCACTTGAATTTCAATTATGAATTAATTGAGCCATTTTATTACTACTAATAATAATAATCAGGCAACTATATAACACAAAAAAAAGAATTCTCAAGATACAAGTGACTCGTTCTGAAAGAAGAGAAAGTGAGAAAAAAAAACAAGTAGGAATGAACGAAGAAAGAAAGAAAAATGAAAGGCAACAACAAGATTTTTGTTTTCAACAAGTATCGACTGCACTATAACGATCATATTGAGTTGTATACATAGATCGTGGTGGTTGATTACCATAATTATCTTCAGTATAATTATCAATATTGTACACTGATTTTTCACCACCACCACCGCCACCATCATAATCATAAATACTTTGCATTGTATGAAAATTATTTACTGTATGATTCATATAATAATCCGCTGATCGATAGTCATCAGCTGGTAATGATGGCGATCGGCGATGGCGATTATGATGAGGATAACGGTCAATCGTACTAGTGGGCGTATTTGAATTTGTTTTATTTGAAGAAGAAAATAATAATTTACCAGCTTCACAGCAAAACAGTAATGCGATAGTGAAATTTATTTTTAAACGTTGAATACAGCCACATTGGGTAACTTTGACACAATAAATGCAAAGAATAAAAGTTGTAATAGAAACTAGAAGAGAAGACATCATAAAAACTTTAGCTTTTGATAATTTCATTCGAGATTGTTGTTCTACAGGTACAATCGAAGCTTGTGCTGAATTCATGAACGAATCATTATTAAAAGGAAAGAATTGTTCCGAAGCTGATAGAGAATCAAATGAATCTGCCGATAATAGAGGTAACCATTGCTCATCATTAACCACGGATAGTGTGTCTGTAGTTGTTGTTTCAATTGAGATTGCTTTAGATGATTCAGCTTTTCCTTTTTTCTTTGATTTCAATGGCTTTATTTTATGATTCTTTGCCGTATCTGTTTCTTCGTCTTCATCACTTTCTGGTTCACTAATTACTGTAGTAGCTTCTGTTTCATCGACATCAACCGCCGATGAAATACTAGCATCTTCATCTACTTCAAGATTATCGTTTGATGTTGGCGGATGTCGAATAAGATCAAGACGACTCAGTTTTAGTCCATATGACATATTAATCGTAGTTAATTTACGTTTACGTGCCCTTGCTAATGTTGTACGTACTGTTGTTGTACGCCTAGCCCAATTACAAATAATTTGCACATAATGATCGCTTTTTATAGGACTTGCTGTTAGTTCAAAGTAGAAGAAGAGTTCTGACGACGGATCATTTCGAATGTAATTCAACGTAAAATTATGTGAGCCAGAGCCGAATAGTGCATTACCATTTGACGGTAAATTGTCCATACATTTTCGTTCCGATCGATCGGTAGAAATTTCTAAATAAGTGGTCGTTTTACAGTTAGTATTTGAATCTTTTGAAGGTCTTAAATCTTTTAGATTTCCAAATTGTCGATTGATTTCTCTTGCACGAAGTAAAACTTGTCCGCTGGATAACGATGAACGTACTTTACATTGACATTCATTATGTTGTTTTTCTTTTGAATTCGTATGGCTCAAATGAATAATGGCTGCTTCATCTTTCCAACTATCGCAAATATCTTTTGCATCGAGTACACAACCGAAATTAACTTGTACATAATTAAAATCCGAACAAGTTGGCACACCTTTTGTTGTTATTGTTGTTGAAAACATTTCAGTTTTAGTTAAATCAATCGCACATGTTTGTTTACCGTTACATGAGAGAATATTTTCACTTGCACCTTCTTGTATACAATCATAGATACTAAATTGACATTGATTTGTTAGTCGTTGTTTTGAATAACCATATATAACACGAATTATTTCGATATGTTCATATAATGAACAACGAAGACGCAATTGAACAACAGTCGATTCTTTCACACAAGCACTTTCGAATTGCAAAGTTTCAACGTTAGCATGAATCACATGGAATAGGCAAAGAAAAACTATCAGATCGAACATATCTACAACCATTGTTGAGTAATAGTTGTATCTATGTAAGTAAAGATAGACAATGACGACAAGTGATGTTTGTCATTTGCCGATAGTCTACGAGACTAGATCGATGTATTGACAAATAGATGAACATGAGAACAACTAGACAACAGTTAGTTAATCACGAATAAGAAAACGATAGAAACAATTTGAAGTAAGAAAAGGAACGAAAAGAAAATCAATCCTAGGAGGATGATCGTTATGTAAGACTGTAGAAAATAGAATATATATGACATCGCAACCAAAGACACAGATAGATTATTATTGGTGAAAAAAAAATCATAATTTTTACTTACGATTTAGTTCACCTTGGATAACATTTGTATCGATTAAAGAGGTTACATTGGTTGTTGACTCACTATCTGAGATGGTATAAGTATCTTGAAATAGAAAAAACGAAATTCAGTAGGCATACTCAAGGTGAATATAAGTTTACCGTCTTCAATAACTCTTGTCGCTTCGTCTTTTTCATCACCTAGAAAAGAAAATTGTCAGTAATCGAGAAAAAAAGTACAAATTTCAAAATCTTTTTACTTTGGTAGCCATTATTTACTGAATTATCTTTACGCAAACAAAAAAAAAGATTATTTTTTTAAATTAAATTTTCTTTCATCGTTTTACCTTCATAATCCATTTTTTTTGCCATCAGTTGAGCTCAAAGTCATTAGTAAATCAAAGATAACACGTCTTTTGTCTTTCTGCTTCACTCGTTCTATTCTCTGTCGTTTGTTCACCAGTAAGAGAAATACGCGTGTCCGTTTTTACCTACACAAAATCTAGAATCATCAAAAAAAGAATAACAAAAAGAAGAAGAAGAAGAAGAAGAACGAATAAAAGGGAAACGAACATTGACATCTACGGCACAGTGTGTCTCATCGACTTTTATACGCTTTAGCGAGAAAAAAAAGGAGAAAAAAAGAACGATTCCATTTGAATAGTCCTCATGCTATTAAGTATGTGGCACCAGGAGAAGAGAAAGAGGTAAACGAGTAGTAACAACGATCGTAGACACCACAAAAACTGAATGCACGGTGTGTGTTATTGTTAAAGCGACAGAAAATCAATTAGATTGAACTTTTTTTTCACACGTGTCTCACAATGACCACTGGCTATAGTGTCTGGCTTTTGTCTTTAAACGTATTGTATAGACGACATCAAGAGAAGCTTAATGCATATACATTATGACAATGATCAAATATACGTAAATTAAAGTGCACTAATGATGCTTTTTCCTATGATGAAAAACAAAAAAGAATTCTTAATAGACATAGAACATATTCGATTTTTACTAATCCGTTCGTTTGATATTTCGATTTCTCTTCGTTTCATTCGTGTGATCAAAAAAAGAAAAAAAAAGCGTTTCGAACCATTGGATACATAACTGTTTGTCAATAGAATATTTGCTTTTAGCGTAGTAAAATACTCTATAGAGAATTAGAAATGAATGTCACAAGAGTTTCAAATATCGAATGATTCAATTAATGCATGTTTCATAGGGAATCTAGGCCGAGAACTCAACTTCTGACATTACAAAATGAAATACTTCCTAAAAATGACATAGATTAGCGTCAAAAATATCTCCATAGATCACAGATTTAAGAGAAAAAAGTCTTCACTTAATACTGCCTAAGAGTAAAATGAAAAAATGATGTTGTTTTGTTTTTCACAAAAATTTGACAACAGTAAAGAATTCTATCTTGTGTCAAATGTTTGTCTTCATCCGTCCTATTAAAAATAAGGACAGGCAAATTCTATTTTCGATAAACATTGTAATGTTATTCTTTGGTATAACCAAATTTACTAACCTAAAAAATAAAAAGGCTTAAAAAAATAAGCTCGCAATCTACGCTAAGCGTATTGATAGAATTCCATTTCTACACTACGACTTTGATTGTGATCAATAACAGTGGCGAATCTACCAGTTAGACTATCCGGCGATCGCCACCCTCCTTAAGAAATTTTTTTCGATTTTCCCCAGCAGAAATGCAACAGAAAATAGTCGTTCTGCCTCAACTAGACTTGAAAAACTGTTTCTTGGCCAGGAGCGCCACTCCCTAACAGATTTTCTGGATCCGCCACTGATCAATAATAATAGACAAGTTGAAAATCTCAGTAGATGAAAAACAAAAAGTATTAAGACCTAAGGACAATTTCATTTACAATCAAATGTTTACTGTTCAAAATATTTTTCTTAGTAGAATACAATATCTTCTGGGATCATGATAGTTTCTAGACGACCTGTCAACGAAGTAAAATGTCAATAAAACTCTTTATACATACCGTACATAAGTCTCAGAATTGTTTTCTAATCAATTATTCATATTGATAATGAAAATGGTACATGTTACTGAATTAATATTTTTTATTAAATATTGAAAGAAAAAAATTTTCTAATACATCCGATAGATTTAGATAATCATTAGAAACTTTGTAATCTTATTGATCAACAATGATACTGCTTCCATCTGAAGAAAGCCATTTGATTGGTGAAGATGGATAGACTAATAAAAATCAACACCAGTTTCTTTCTTTCTTGCTTAATTCAAAAAGTAGAAATCGTCGCTGTTTCATTGTCCATTTAGCTCGTTTCCAATGGCTAATCGAACGGTAAAAGAAGCCCCGACAATTAAGGGTACAAATCCACAATATTTAATTGAGAAAATTATTCGATCTCGAATATATGATTCTCGGTATTGGAAAGAAGATTGTTTTGCTCTTACCGGTCAGTGAAAATTGACTTTATTATTCTTATGAATTTTTTGTTTGTTTTTTTTGTAGCTGAATTGGTAGTTGATAAAGCTGTTGAATTGAAGTGCATTGGTGGTGTTTGTGGAGCAAATATTCGACCGGCGCCATTTTTATGTTTAGTACTTAAAATGTTACAAATATGTCCAGAAAAAGATATTATTGTTGAATTTATTAAAAATGAAGAATTTAAGTAAGTAGAGGAGTTCTTTTTTGATAAATAATATGTAAAACAAGTTATGAGGAGCTCATAGAAAAACAAAAACGTGAGAGATTAGATACGAATACTTGAAGTATGAGCAGATTTGCCTCATTCGAAAGTCTTGTTTTTATGCATAGGCTAAGCCACAATAATATATTAGAAATGAGAGTAACCTTTCAAAAGTGATGTTCATTTGACTGTAATCGTTTAAGGATATTCTAGGTATTGCAGACGATTTACATCCGTACTGAGAAATTAAGATGATCTGTAGAGTTAGTATATCTCTACTAGACTTAACGTCATTCAGTTTAAAAATATCATTTTTATATTCGGATGTTCGTGTTTCTTGAAAGGTTTCGTTCTTTTTGTTTAGATACGTTCGTGCACTTGGTGCATTCTATATGCGACTTGTCGGTACTTCAGTGGAAATTTACAAATATCTAGAACCACTCTATAATGATTATCGCAAGATGAAATATCTAAATAAAAATGATAGTAAGACATTTTTATTAAATTTAAAACAAAAATAATGTTTGTTCATTCTTTTAGAATATGAACTTTTATATATGGATGAATTTATTGATCAGTTATTACGCGAAGAACGTGTATTAGAAGTTCAATTGCCTCGCTTACAAAGACGTAATGTTTTAGAAGAAAATAATCAATTAGAACCTCGTCAATCTGTGCTTGACGAAGATATTGATGATAATGAATCGAGTGCTGAAAGTGAAGAAGAAGAAGAAAAGAAACCTAAAAAGAAAGAAACAATATCAGAAAAGCCAAAGAAAAAATGGAAAGATTTGGACAAGCCAAGCAGATCACCGTCGCCACGTTATGCACGATCAGTGTCACCACGAGAGAAAAATTCGAAAAAGAGACGGTAAAGAAAAAGCAAAAGTTTTATTTTATTAAAATTTTCACTGCGATTTTTATAGACGTTCAAGAAGTCGATCAAGATCGAAATCACGTTCACCTGCACGTGACAGCAGAAAAAAACATTCAAGTCGACATGAGCATCGCGATAAAAAAGATCGGAACCGAGGTCATGATCGCGAAAAAGAAAAACGGCGGCGAGATTAAATTGTTTTTTTTCTTTGTTGTTGTATACTTTGATAAATAATAAAAAAAATGCTTCTTGTTTAGCATGAAGTTATGCATACAGATTTTGATAAATTATATGTTGCGAAGCTTTCTTTCAGTTGTCTATTTTTTGAAAAGCTGAATTGCCAAGGGGGGAAGAGCTTATTCAGACAGTATTTCTCATCATTTATTTGCCAAGGGTTTCATATTTCTTAGCATTCTCTCTCATATTTTTAAATGCACTCGTAGCATAAAAATGATGCTACTGATGGATGAGAGTGGAATAGGCGCGAAAATACCGACGAAACATGCAAAACGAAAAATTCACACTCATACCAATAAATATAACAACGAGTTATGTTTTCTTCTCCAATATACTTCCGATTTTTTTAGTATCATTTCCTCTTATTGAAATCCAGTCTATCTGAAGCTCCGTTTTTTCTGCATGAGTTTGCTCCAAATCACATTCTTGCCTGAATTGAATACCAAATATTGATAGTTTTCGTGGAATGAATTGGTTGGAATTTACATCATATTATGTACTAGGGCCATTTACAATTCAGCATGAATCGCTTTTTCAATTATGCGCTATTTATGGTAATAACTAGTACTTTCACTACCTATGTGCATTGGGACACTATAGAAATTATGTTGATTATAGTCCAGTTACTAATCTGAATTCTGGTACTGATATTTATGCAAAGTATATAACACAGGCTTCAATCTATTTTTCACTTTTATCATTAAACATAGCTGCAATTGAGTTGTAGTATCAACAGAATTATGATGGTAAGTCTTTCATTGAAGAAACAACGCGATTATCCTTCATAAGATTGAATGAGCTCAGACCTATTTTATTCGAGCTTGTATTGTGATAAGTACACTTTCAAGTCCGGTGTCAAGAGCGTACTGAAGCGGACTTCAGCTTTCAAAAACTGTGCAATCTTTTGTGTAGAATCCACATTTCAAGTTTTTCTTTATCTTGCTTTCAGCAGGATTCATCATTCAGCATCTTCTTCTTCAGCTAATTTCACTGTAATCACAGAAATATACCGTCTCGATTCTCCTATAAGATGTAAGCAACTGTTTACTGCAAGTCATCTACCAGACTGCACAAAATTGTGACATACGGAAATTGAATTTTAATGAATTAGAAATATCTCTTGTGAATGAAAGAATCCTGTGGAAAGTCTTTGAATATGTAATTAAAAAGTATATCTAAATTTATCTCTTTGTAAAGCAAAAGCTTGAATAGATATGGAGGTCTAACAAAATATCATATCTGATTATGTCACATTTATTATACACTTGTCTATCATACTTACGCGTTGATTGCGAGATCGCATGATTTGTCTTAAAATATTAGCTATATACCGAAGTAGACGAGTGGAAAGGCGATTCGCCATAACTTTTTAAAATTTTACTTCTAATCGAGGCAGCCTCATTGTTTCTGGTACATTATTCTTCGCTAGTTTTAATCCATTTCTCTGTTGTATTCAAATACTTCAATTTTCCAGCGAAACTTATACAAAACCACAGAAATATCTCGTTGTATTGATCATATTAGGGCCTACTAATCTAATAGGTTTACATAATATTGCTGATTAAAACATTACATCCATTTTAATAACTGAGAAAACTCTCATTTTACAGTCTAAGTAATTTTGTACTCGTTAGATGCTACGATCAATCTACCTGTTTGTTGGTGTATTATCATACCATGTGCCCTATGTGTATCCATTAAGTTCTAGCATATCACATTTTCGATTCGATGAAGAAGCTCGATCTGCCCTTTGCCCATTTGTTGGTACTGAAGGAATGATTTGGTTTAATGGTACTTCAATAAAACCCTCCGGTAGGAACTTGGATCCAGATCACATGAAGTTACCCCGTGGTGTAGGCATCAGTATTGATCGAAGTACTGGCCGGTTAATGGCTCTAGCAGCAAACTTAACATATTCACCTGAAGGCATTCGTACGTGGACCGATGGCCATACTGGCACTATGTTTGACATATTTAACGAAGCAACACATGGGCCAGCTAGTAGAGTAGTCGCCGCTTATAACGCAGCGCGTGTTCACATTTTTCACAATGCGACACAGTTAAGTGCAGCATGGCGGCAAACATTTGCTGATGGCAGAGTTCGTGGTGGAGAATTAGCTCGCCCACCCGACATGCTTGCATATGTCTCTAGGTGAGTGCTTTTCAACTGAAGCTCATTGAATTCAACTATGAGAAATGCTTTTATTAAGAGAAGGGGCTTTATAGAGAAGATAAAAGACATTTTTAAAGTGACTAAGGTACCATAGTTGAAGCTCAAAATGAACGAGCATTTTCTCACCAAAGCAAAACCTATCTGGTCTGACTACTTTCTAGTTTATGTGACCTTCTTTGAAATCGAGCACATGCTTGTCTTCTAGAATTCGAAAAACTGTAAGATGAACTATAGTTATTTAGAAAAACATAATCACATCAATAGCACAATACCAAAGTCGAATATTCTCATCTTATGCATATTGAGTGAAAAATTACGGTTGCTTTTATCAAATAGACTACAATGAAATACCTTTCTTTCATCATCAATATGCATATAAATACACGTGAACATCGTTACTTCGCTATGTTCCTTCTGTTATGAAGTTATCTCAGAAAATACGATGCTTAAAAACTTTCCTAGTCAATTAACTTCACTAGAATACATAGTCAACCGGTCTCTAGATCTTTATATTGATTACGCTTAAGAAAAGTGATCATTTTGGAAGTGTTTACCTATGAACAGTATGGTATGATCTCGACGATGGAGTAGCGATATATAATATTGCATACTGTATAGTAACGACACTGTGATGTCGACGCTGCTTTTCTATTACTCTACACTGTAAACTAGAAAATACATTATAGAGTATAATGAAAGATATTCTAGGAAAGCCCATACGAATTCAATGACGAATTTCTACTTTCTTGAAAATATGATATTCAAGAAGTAGGAGTAAGAAATTCGATTTTCTAGCTGGAAAATCGAATGTGAATTCGTATGGGCTTTTCTAGAAATTGGAAATTCAATTTTCATTTTCAATTTCAAATGTATAGAGAATATACACTGTAAATTTTTTGAAATTCTACTTTTTAGAAAATCGACTTTAAATACGCTAAAGCATTTTCGAAATTATAGAAATTCAATTTGATTTCAGAAAAATCAACAATGACTTTTTAAAATGTTTGAAATTCAACTGCAATTTTATAGAAAATCAAGATAAATTCTACAAAAAGTAAAAAAATCAAAACTACGTTCTAGAAAATCATCTGAATTATGACTTTTATAAAATCATTGTTCATTTGTGTATATAATTTATAGTCGGCAGTGTTGTGCATTCATTATTTTCTCCGCCAGATCTAGGGAGCAGATCAACTATATTTTTTCGAATCCACATGAGTCAGCCCATTTTACATGAACGAACACATAATATCCATTTATTTGTTATTCACGAAAAGAATATTGCAAATAAAAACTTTTCTCACCACTAAATAGATGTTTATAATCATTTCTTTTTGTGGAATTATACATGAACTCTGATATTATATTATTGCATTTAACATTGAGTATCGTATTTCAAGTCATTGTTTCCCGGTCGAAATATTTACACATTTAGACTTTTTTTCTTAGAAAATTTTCCTCTTTTAATGTAATCCTAAAATTATAGATAATATCATTAACTTTTATCTATCATCAGTTTAGAATTATAGATCAGATTGCTGAAGACAATCACTAGTTGTTTCTCTTGAGGATAAAATCTTATTAATATAGACAAGATTTCGAAAGACCTGTATAACTGCACAGAGGCTCTTCAATGTTATCGAAAAAGCACTATAGATAATTGAGAAATGATTATCACCAGATCATCCAAATATTCTAATGAACCAAGGGCAAGCCGAATACACTCTTGGTTATTGTCAAAGTCACTGTCAAAATGTCAAAAACTAAAACATAGCACTGAGACATTATAAGGGAGTATTGTAAGTAGACTCAGCAACCTCCTTTTGTCATAACACTAACGAGGGATGGTCCTCAACTGTCCAATCGCTTTTGAGTTGATATTTTGGCCAAAGGTAGGGGTCCGTAAGACTAGAATAATTCTAAAAAGATTTGGGCCGCTCAGCCTTTCGAGCTGAGTTCTGGACTTTGACGGAATTTTTCGCCATAGATAGGTCTAATCATCATTAGAATATTCTGAAAGTTTCAGCCAAAAAAAGTGTTCCTTTATTGAGATACTGGATTATTAAAAAATAATCCCTTCTCGCAGGCAAGATACAAAATGTCAGTTTCCTTGAAAATTCAATATCTCGACAAAGAAACACTTTTTTTTGACTGAATCTTTCAGGATATTCTAATGATGATTAAATCTATCTATGGCAAAAATTTCAGGTCAAAACTCCGTTATTTGATTTTTTGCTTAATATCGAAAAAATGGTCAAAAATTCCGTCAAAAGCCCTGAACTCAGCTCGAAAGGCCTAGCGCCCCAAATCCTTTTAGAATTATTCTAGTTTCCCCCCCCCCCCCCGCTACCTTTGGCCAAAATATCAACTCAAAAGCGATTGGACAGTTGGGGGCTATCTCTCATAACTGCTTATTTTGCCATTTGCCGAACTTACAAATTTCGAAGATCAACAACAGTAATTTAGGATTCGTGTTATTATAATCAAAATTTGTCGAACTATCGTTATGTGATCCAAGTACTAATTTTTGTTTTGGTTCGTATGACAATAGTTGGGAAAGAAACGGATGCTAAACGGCGGCAATGTAAGTCGATATCGATTCTCTTATTTGACTTTGTCTTTAAAACTCAGCTCTTTTCATACATGAATCCTATGATATGAAAAACAGATTTTTCTTCATCTCTCACATACAATCTTTGTTCCATTATAAGTAGCAGGATCAGTCATGATTTACAAAGAGATCTAGTTTTTTTTTGTTAACGTCAATTCTATTTCAAAGAAAAGAATTTAAGCTTTCAGGTATTTTCTCTAATACTGTTAGTCATCACGTTTTACAGTATCTTTCTCTTTTGTAATATAAAGTGCGTCTACTTTTAGAACAATATATTAACTGCAACAACTACTTAACCTTAATTTTGTTATAGGAAAGTGTCATTCAAGCAAAACTTTTCGATCAATAATTCTTTTATGTAATCAATCGGAAAAAAATCCAGCATGCCACACTTCCGCTGAGTAAATACAACCAAAACATTGATAACTATTCTAAACATTATTTACTCGTTTCAGTTAGATATAAGATATCACGCAAAGTAAATACACACATTCAGATAAAACTTTCATTTCAATGTTATTCATAGTTGGTATCATTATCTGTTTCACACATATTTTTGCCATATTAGGCTCACCGCCTATTGTTTTATGGCATGGTATGGGTGATAGCTGTTGTAATCCATTGAGTCTTGGATCAATAATAAAATTGATTGAAAAAGAAATTACACCGGCTCCATATGTCCATTCATTAAAAATTGGTGCTAACGTTGAAGAAGATACAGCCAATGGATTTTTTATGAATGCTAATCATCAAATTGATTATGCATGTAAATTATTAAATGCTGATAAAAATCTTACGAATGGATATCATGCTGTTGGGTAAAATAAATAGACTTTAAACTATAAATTTTCTAAAGATAGTTTTTCGATTAAAGATTTTCTCAAGGTGGACAATTTCTTCGTGCCATTGCTCAGCGTTGTCCAAATCCACCAATGCTTAATTTAATTTCTGTTGGTGGTCAACATCAAGGTGTTTTTGGATTTCCACGATGTCCTGGAGATAATGTAACAATATGTAACTATATTCGAGAATTGCTACGTTTTGGAGTCTATGAATCAATCATACAAGATCATCTGGTTCAAGCCGAATATTGGCAAGATCGTATGTAGAGAATGAGTTCAATAAAATTTAACCGAAGATCACTGTCAAAATTCTTTTATTTTAGCTCATCAAGAAGCAACATATCGTAAAGTGAGCGTATTCCTAGCTGATATCAATCAGGAACGTACATTCAATCCAGATTATAAAACAAATTTCTTAAAAATTCGTAATTTAGTTCTTGTAAAATTTTTACGTGATACAATGGTAGATCCACATGAAAGTGAACATTTTGGTTTTTATGCTGAAAACAACACAGCAAAAATAGTTCCATTACGTGAAAGTTCATTATATGTCAATGATTTATTGGGTTTAAAAATAATGGATCAACAATCACGTATTAAATTTCTTGAATCAGATACAGATCATTTACGATTTACTGATCAATGGTTTATTGATAATATAATTCCATTTTTAAAAGACTAAAAATAAATAAATGAAAATTTTGTTTGTCTTTTCTTTTTGGATTTTATTTATACACAATAAAATATTCTAAACATTATATAACATATATCCAGAGAATGTTGAATAGGAATAACCGAACACTTGAGAATTGAAATTTTCATTAGGACGATAAGCAGCAATAACATTTATTTGATCACCTGTTTGGCAATAGAGAAGACAATCAACGGAACCACTCGCCCAACCCCATGCTAATGTTTCATTATTTATTGTTGCTACTGATTCGACCCATACGTTTCGTACACTTTCTCCATTTCGAGCAATGTAAACTGATGCCTGTATAAAAAAAATATAGCAATCAATATTATTAATGTAGTTCATCGAAACATCTTTTCTTTTTCTTTTTTTTTTGTCTAACCTTAGCTTTCGAAATAGATATCGTAAGAAAAAAATGATAAAGACCATTGGTCGGAACAGTAAATATACCATTTTCTTGTGAGAAATAATATGATACATCCGGCGCATTGACTGCTTCGTTTAATATCCACGGTCGAAGTATACTGTCAGTATTTTTTGTAGTAAATAAACGTCGTAATTCAGCATAAAATGAAGGTGGACGTTCAATAAAACCATCACGACCTACAAAAATCTAAATTCAATTGAACACCAGACTAAATGAACCTATTCTTACCAGGTGGACCTGTAAAACCTTGTAGACCCATTGGCCCGGGTGGACCTCAAAATAAAATAAGATGTTGATCCAATAGAAAAGATTCAAAAGTCAAGATTTACCTGGTGGTCCCGGTGGTCCTCGTAAACCTGGTAGACCTTCAACAGAAATCGATAAATTCTCCGATTTATCTATTTCAGAAAAGAAACAAAAAAAAAGAATTGATCATATTTAATCAAGTCATTTGATTTTATCTCACCTCCACATTTTAGTTCGGCAAAACATGCACGATTACGTTTACTACGTTGCGTAACCGGTACTATCTCGGCATAAGCAAGCACTATAAAAATGCTATAAACTAATGTTTTCCATGCCATCGTATACAGCTATTATTTGCAATCAATACTATTTGAAAAGAAAGCTCATTTCACTTTTTCTTCATGACTTCCACTCAATTTGATTCAAGTGGTTCCTTTTCCGTTCTATGGCTATTAATGCATAGATACGAGCGAAGAAAAAAGGTCGGAAATGATCCAATTGAGATATTGATTAGGATATGATGTCCGGGGGTGAGAATGAATTGTAAAGACGGCTTAATCAACAATAGTTCATTGATTCTATGTTTTCGAGACCTCCTTTTTTTTTTATTCTGCTCAATATTTGCTGCCTTTTGATAAAAAAAAATATAATAAAAGAAAATAATGAAAGGAAATAAATGTTCACGTTCACTGATCGTAATCATCGTATATTTGATTAGTTCTTCTAGTTCGTTCATAATCTATATAAATAAATGCATAGAATAACTCTAAAAAATAAACACGCTATCAATCAAAACTATATACTTGATCTGTCATGATCATTATGCTGTCTTGGCAAATAATCATCTGCATGTCGTTCATTAGAATCATCTGCATGATAATCTCTTGTTGAATCCATTGGCTGATATTTTACTTGCTCTTTAGCATATTCAAGAGCCTTCAAAGCAAAACAAAGACTAGAGATGTTTTATTAGTTTTTTTTATTGTGATTTATAATGTACTCGTTCTCTTTTTGATGCTGCTTTTTCAAGCTCACGTATGTCCGAATTACTTAAATGCCACGGTTCTCGAGGTGCCATTTCACGTGGTGGTATTTGGCGTGTTCCAGGATTATCTACCATTTGTCGTTCAACTTGTGCTCCATATTCTTGACGTTTTCTCGCACGTTCTTTCTAAATTTAATAGGAACAGTTTATTTTTCGAATTAAGAGAAAGAAAATAACTAAAATTATACTCGATCAATAACAGCTTCGTTAACTTCAGCAAATGGATTTTGTACGTTCAATTTTTGTATATCTTTATAATCTTTCAATGTGTATTTTTTATATGGAAAATAATAACCTTGTGCATCACGTAATACACGTCGTCGTTGATTTTCTAAATAACCATCTAGAAAAAAATAAAAAAAGATAAATAGAAAACAAAATTATTTTATTTTGAGAATCAAACCTGCTTTCATAAATTGTTGAGAATAAAGAACATCGTGAATCGATGGTTTGAATTTTCTCTTTAAATAATCGTTGCGTTCTTGACGCCAAATTTCAAGCATATCTTGACCATGATAAAGTTGTGAATGATAATATCCTGGCGGCCAATTTGTTCGCGAATATTCTTCATCGTCACGACGACTTTTTCGACCACCAGTATCATGAGTTGAATGTTTACTTTTACTTTTTCTTGATAGTTGACTTTTAGCACGATCGTCAGGTTCAGTTTCATATCCATTTGCGCGACCATTGCGTTCGTCATGATCACTATGAGCATCATGTTTATCTGTAGGTCGTTTTGGTTTAGCTCTTCGTTTTTGATAATCAAAAAATGGATCATAAGGATCATGATAAGGTGGAAGATAAGGTGGAATATCACCATGTTCTCCATACAAATGATGACCACCGTATGGGCCAGGATAAGGTCCATAGGGTGGATAGTAATCAGGGTATGGATATTGTCCTCCTAGATGATGACCAGGAGGTAATGGGTAATCTACGAAGGGATCTTGATAGGGTAGTAATCGACCACGACGAATTGGAGGAAGATGTAGATGTTTCTCATGATGTTCATCAGAAAATTTTGTTTTCTTCTGAGATTTACTTCGATGATGTTGTCTATGCTGACCTTCGTCGCCCGAGCTTTTGTTGTCGTGTTCACGATGTTCATCACGACGACTTGTATGTTGTTTTGGTACTGAATGAGATTGTTTTTTGTCACGAACTGGTTTTTCTTTTCTGCTATGTCCAATATCTGTTTTCGGACTGTCATGGTGAAATTTAGGTTTATTTTCACTTGTCGGAAAATATTGATCTTGACGTTTTTTTTCAAGGCTTTTTTCTTTGTGTTTTATAGCTGCAGCTCGCATAACACTTGATTTCGTAGGTTTCAAGTCTAGCAAGAAACTACTCGTTTTCGTTGATGGATCATTAAAAGTATTATTATTATTATTATTCGGACCATTGGATAAAGAACGATGTTGAATCGGAGGTGTTGCACGACCTTTGGGCATTTGATGCTCAGATCGAGTAAAATTTGCTTGTAGAGGTGGTTGCGTTTTAAGTTGTTGTTGTTGCTCTTTGGGATTATGACCTGAGATTTGAAGTTCAGACCGAATGAGATGTGTTTGAGATCGATTGGACTGGCTATCGTCGACAACTTGTGGACGTTGCTGTGTTTTGTACCCGTGTGAATTCTAATAGGTAACAAAACAAATAATTGTGTTTTGAAAGTTTTCCATTAAACTAATTAATAGTTCTTATAATGTTGTGGCTATCTATCTTTGAAATGGCCTTGAAAAATCCCTTATGGCTATTTGTTTTGAATCATACTACTAATGGAATATTGTTCATTACATTTTAGTACACAACTACTCGTATGGAGAGAACTTTGTGTCATGTCGGTCCACCATTCAAACCTACAACTATTTGCAATTATAGTATTGAGCTATGGCATCTGTCGCTAGGTAGCACACTGTATACCCTAAGGCAAACCTATTCTTCTACCACTTTGATGACTATTTTACGAAAAGAATGTTTTGATGTTTTGGATTAGCAGTAAAAACAACTTTTGTCCAGGGAGTACTGAAAAATATCGAACATTTGAGTGAAAATTTCAATTGATTTTAACACGGACGCTTTGTTTTCTATTGTCTCAATAAAATAGACTTTTGAAAACATCGAAAACTAATGTTATCCTATGTGAATAACTTTGTATAGATAAAAATCTGTTGTAAAAGCTGTAAAAGTCTACTTTTATTATTGTAAATAATATTTGATCACATGGTCGTATGTTTATGTAACACTTAAAATACAAGCTTTTACAGAAAAAATCTTTTGTTGACTTTTCCATCTCTACTCAAAAACAATTATTATGATATAAAATCTCATGAGAATTATAGTTCTGAGAAGTTTTCTTTTTTCTTTTGGACTAATGTCTCCCAGTAAAAAATCTACCTGTTGTTGGTTCTTAGATGCCACTTGTTGAGTGTTCGTATTTGTTCTCTGTGATGTTTGTGCAATAGTCATCTTATCATAACTTGTATTATTATTATTATTATTATTATTATTATTATTACTATTAGTCTTTCTATTCGCATCTATTGGTCTATCGATTTTAACGGGTGCTTTCGAACTTGAATATGCGTGCAATTTTACTTGTTGATTATCAGCAGGATTAACATTGAAACTACTTGTTTCATATTGATAAGGATGTGATGCTAACGGGCCTGAACTTGCATCAAGTGCACCTATGAAATAGTCAACGAACTTAAAGAAAGCAAATTTTCTAATTCGCTCTCACCAAAACTAGTTGATTGATAGGGATCAGGTCTCGATCCATAACCAACATACGTACTAGGAGGCAATGTTGAATAGGATGTAGCAGCCATCAGTAGTCAATATGAATGAGAAACAACAAAATAAAAGTGTGTGATGATGCCATTTGGTTAAAAAAATAGAAGTGGTTGTGAATGCAACAGCAGAATGTGTTTTAACCAAACGGCAACGACGAAAAAGAAAGCTGAAAAAATATATACCGCCGATGAAAAAGTAGCTGCACTTTATTCATCAATATTTATTGACAAAAGTGAACAGCGATAGGCATGGTAATGGTGAAAAACAATAGAAAAAAAGTCGAATCACGTCAAATGTAAATAGAGAACAAATAGAATTCATTGTACAATTTTCTATCGATTCTTTTGATTGTGTTGGATTATGTAAAAATTTAATTATCATTGTTTTCTAAGAGTACAAACGAAAGAGTGAGATATCAAACGATCTAGGCTTTCTTTTGCAGATGCAAATTTTTAACAGGATGTTAACATTAAACATGATGATTTCAACGGAATTTATATTTAGTTGGCTTCTATTGACATGCATTTTTTGAAAAAAAAACGAAACTACAAGTAAGAACGACATGAAGAAATATTATTTTTACTTGGTGAAAAGTAATCATTAACGTTTGGCGAACATAAATAAACAAATTCGATTGTACACGTTTTATGAAAGGGAATCTATTCATTTACTAAGAACAACTACGGGTTGAAGCATTGATCTACTCGTGGTAAATTAATAGCTAGCTATAATTATATTTCCAATGAGAATAAATTAAACATAACTTTTTTTTTAGAAAAAATGTTCAAAAGAAGATCGAGAAACAGAAAAAAATGATGTTAGGCTTAACGGAGCTGAGGATATGCTTAGAAAAGAATATATTTAAAGTAAAACATTCGACAGGGCGTGGCTCTTATCTTTACCCACACTTACCCTCGGGAAACTTTATTTTTCTGTGATTTTCGATGAGAATAATTCTTGTTTTTCTACTCGTCATCTTCACTGTTAGCCGCCGTAGTATTGTGAGAATATCTCTCTTTTGATGTAAAATCCGTGTTTTTCGATAGTATTCAGTGAACCATTTTTTTTCTAATATTTTTTAAGCGTTTTAATAGATCATTTGCAATTATAGTATATAGGCTTTCAAAATTTAAATTCACAGTGGTGAAATAAAAAAAAAAATTTTAAAATCAAGTAAATAAAAAACAAGAATTCACATGTTCCAATAGTCAAAATTAATTACGAACTTTTGACGACATTCAATTGTCGTTCATCATCCGATATTCCAATCCATCTACGTTCCATATTTAAATTATCAACAGTTTTAACAGCAGTTTTTAAATAAAATTCACTTTTGCTGCCGTAAACCTTTTCCACTTCTTTTAAAGATCGTATAACTTTCACCACGTGAGCATCATTCATTAATTTCGAATTTAAAAGTCGATCAAGAACATAATCCCAATTCTTTTTTTCGCTGTCCACTTTATAATCATCAATAAAATATTCATTGATCTCAGGTCGGACTTGACACACGTATAAAACAATAGCAAAGTAAAAATATTGAAGAATAATATGTTCGAATACTTGTTGATTATCTACATGTAAATGTATCATACGAATAGCATGCATTGAAGTTAACAAATGAGCTAAGAAAAAATCGAATCCAATTTCATTTGGTTTATGTGTTGCACCGTAGATATAAACTGCTAAATCAAATAGTTCTTCCATTGTTTTCTCAATATTTTCTCGATTCATATTCCATTGGTTATAATAAAATAAAATACGATCGGTACAGTTTTTAATAACTGATTCAAGATTGTCAATAGTAGCTGTATCATAAATTGGAAATTGATCGTCTAAATGAACATCTTTAAAAATTTCTATAGCTGATTTTGAAGGACATTTTGGTGGCTCTAATGTATCGACAATTTCATGAAGATAGTCACAGCAAACAGCCGACATTGTTAATGCTTCGATCCCAACAATCGGACTGTCTAGTTCTAATGCATAGCCAATATGAATAAGTGAATGTGCTAAGCCTCCAACAACACCGTTAATCAACGGATGACTTGGATTATCTAATAGAAATTCAAAGAATTTTTTCTTCCAATCATTGCCAGCTGTTGTTAGTTGTTCACGGAAAAAATCTCGATAACTTTGACAACAATCAGCGTCACCAAAATATGATCGCCAATTGGAAATATCAATTTCATGTGGAGATGGTTTATTTGAATCAAGTCCTTCAGACATTATCTCATAAGCTTTTTCGAGTTTATCATCGCTGACACCCAATAAATAAAGTGAACCTAAGTGATGTGCATTATGATTATGATATCTGAGTTCATTGAAAAGAGCTTGATAATTTTCCAATGAATGCGATAAAAGCTTGTCTAATACAGTTCGACTCATTATTTTTCTTATGTTAGATTTACTTTATAAATATATGATAACATGTGTATTTAAGGCAAACAAAGCAAATAAAAGTAAAGTATATTGCGTTACTTTTTTTTGATTGGCCTGATCACCTAGTTTAGATAGCCCATTATCAGGTGTCCTTTTTTGGGTATTGGGGAGGGGGGGAGGGGCGATTTATAAATAGATTGCATTGTATTCTCTTATTTATTTTCTAATAAATACTGATATCGATATATAAGTAGATCGCAATATTCTGTTTTATTGTTATAAATGAGTTGCGCAAAATTTGTTTGCTGATATCAGTGAGGCACTTGAGTAAGATGAAACAGTTCGAAAAGGATTTTTAATAGACTAAGTCATCGGCTCTGTGAGACAACGACATCTTTATCGACGGTAGCGGAGAAAGAACAAACAGCTGGTTTCATTTTTTTTTCAGGAATATTTCTGTTTGCAACTTAGCATTCGATTATGCAACACATGCATTTTGAAAACGAACAATTTATTTTGATTGCTTTTCAAAAATAAAAACTGTGAACAACGAATTTTAGTCGATAAATTACTTCATACTAAATTATGACGTTTGAAAGTCTACAAATGTTTTATACTAAAGATTAAAAAAAATACATTTTGCGGACGACTACATTTCTATCGAGATAAAGAAATTTGTGATAATGAAAAGATTTTTAACATCCTCGCAAGTAGAGTAAAATGATCAGGTGTATCTTTACTTGAAGAAATAGTATTTTCAGAATTTCTATAAATTCTCTGAACGACGATAGAATTCATTCTTATACGTGTGAGACATTATTAAATATATTTATTTCTTTTGAATTATTTATATCTGATCGATATTTCTCATTGTTAACTAATCGTCTAGATAGATTAGTAAATGATTTAAAACATATTTGTAATCGTGTCTGTGTAGAACAGGTATCAATAGGAGATAATTGTTCAATCGATGGTGATGATTGAGTTAGATTACTCGAAGAAGTTAATGACCAATATCGAGTAGGAGATTGTCGACAAAAAGTTTCTTCTCCAACTGTATAAAACGATGTTTTTCTAGAGACCGATGTCCGCGAATCTAAACCTAAAAGCAAAAAAATGATCTAGGCCGAAATTAATTCGTTTGTACTTTGTGTATCTAGTTCATCCCAATCTTCTTTAAACGTATCTCTGAACAATGGTGGTTCACTAAATTCTAGTCGTGTAGTCATCTTTCTGTTCATAGGTTGTTTTCGTAGTTCGTAAGGAAGATACTCTTGAATAAGTGGTGACATCGATTGTCGTGATAATGCAGAATTTATATTCTCATCAATTTGCTTTATAGATTTATCATCGATTTGTGTTGTTATTTCACACCATGGTCGTTTTCGTTTATAAATAAAGTTAATATATAGTCTATAGAATAGATAGACAAATCCACCGATGGCAATCAAAGAACAAAATACGATTAAAACAATCCAACGAGCTTTGAATTTTTTCATATAAAAAAAATTAACTTTCCTTAGTTACCCATTCGTTTATTTTTTTGGAAAACTTTACATGCGAAATAAATAGTAATAGAAGAAAACAAAAAGACAAGCAGTTGCTGAAAATTTAGACATCGATATAGTATTTGTTCGATTACATGTCGATCCTGTACAACAATCAACATTAAGATAAGTAACACCAAATGCAAATGTTTCATTCGAACATGGACCACATTGTTTAAGAACATATGTATAGACAGTACCTAATTTTGCTGTTATTTTCTATAGAAGAAAAAAAATATCAACATTAAATAAAATTTGCTATTTCATTTTCTAAGATAAAACTCACCATGCATTGTGTTACCGATGAAGTGCATGTGACCGTATTTGTTTGACTATTAAAAGGTATTTCACAATTTTGACATTCATAGCAGTCAAAACAAGTAGCATAGTTCAATAGAGCTGCATATGAAGAAGAAAAATTAAACATAGTTTCATTATAAAGATTTAATTGAACAAAATGTACCGAAAAAAGTCGTTATTACCAACAATTTCATTGTTCGTAGATTCTGTTTTTATTCTTTCAATGTAAATGTACAGTTTCAATGTTTTGTTTGTCTTTAGTTTTTAAAGCGAAAACAACGAATTAAACACAGAGCAAAAAAAAAACAGAGCCGATAGACTATTTATTCAACATTAAAAAATTAATGCAAAACGAAGAAAAATATTAAAAAAAGAAAGAGGGAGAGAGAGAAAAGAAAAGCGAAACTATGTGTGCAATTCTTCAGCATTAAATGCTGACTGTTGTTAATCAATAAAATTTAAGAAAAGAAAAAGCAACACATGACGATGTCATGATCAACTGACTAAGACGATTGAAAGATATTGAATGTTAACCAATATTACAACGATCAGCATTACTGCAACATTTAACATCCATTCTTGAAAAACCAAAATAATAACTCTTTTCTGTACATGAATGATGCGCGTGCTTTACATACATAATTACCCATTGTTAGAATGTAAGCGAAGATTTTCTAGAAAATACAAAACAAAATTCAGAGAAGAAGAGAAATTTCGTTTTATTCTTTACCATACAAGGACACGGACATGTATTATTTGTGAATTCATTGTAATCAGCAGGCTCTGGGCTCCAAAACGAAGTCATTCTGATATTAAAAAGAAGAAAAAGACTCGATTTTGAATTGGATGTTATACCAATTTTGACAAACATAAAAGACAAGACCATTAGAATAGCCTAAAACATGTTAACTTATTGTGAGTATTCGACTGTTTATGCCACGAGACTTAGAAGCCAAAATTTTGCCGTACAGAAAATTAAAAAATCAAGTTTTCATTGTTTAAGTGTGGTATGAGAAAAATGTAAAAACAATGAATTACTTTTAAATAAAGTGAACAAGAGCAAATAGGTTCCGAAAAAGATATGCAACTAGCATGAGATGCCTAGTTCGAATTCGAATATAAATGGACAACCAACTGCATGGTATCAATTCGAAAATAAGTGATAGAAATAGATTTAGTTTTAGTTTAAGATGGAGTGAGTGTGGGTTAAGGGGGACTAATGTAAGTGGTAACTGTGGTGACGGTGCAAGTGAGGGGGTGGGTAGGAGGTATACCCAGAATGGGTGCGGGGAGGGGTACCCGGGGTACTTCAAATGTGATTGCGGATGACGGGTATCGTAGAGGAATGCTCCAATGTGGATGCGGGTACCCGGGGTGGTGCCTGGGTTGTGTACCTTCGGATGTGGGTGTGGTTGTAGGGGTATATATGTATTCATATGTTGCATATATCTGAAAATTAAACTAAAACTAAATCTATTCCTAGATTTAGTTTAACTTTTTCTTTTCTCCATTTATACTCGAACTCGAATTAGACAGCTACCTTATCGTTCGACGAAGAGATGTCGAAAAGTTTCATAAATAAAAGGAAATGGTTTATTTTTCAAACTCGATACATTTTGAAATAATTATCAAGTCCGGAATTCTATACTAGATATGATATTCTTATGTGTCTGTCTATTTTTAAGATATGATTTTCGTGTCTTGAAAGTCAAGTAATTATATTCATTCTAGTAACGAATAATGCATAGAAAATACACCATAACAAAAGAAGACGACAAAAATATTGATTAGAAATGTACGAGACCGAACAAAAATTTCTACACTCGAATGAATCTTTCATAGAAATATGAATTAATAAAATTATAAATACGTAGTAATGCAAATATTTATAAATACTCTTCCTAGAAAACAAAATGTAGCTATTGAATTTGAATAAGTATATTAGAATTCTAAATGTATTAATTATGATAGAGTTCACTTTGCAGATTTGACATAAAAAAATAATCAAGCCATAAAAGAAGTGTGTCATTCAGAGGGCCATTAGAACAATTTATAAAGTTTCGTTTTTTTTTTGAAAGATTGACTACAAATTCTAATTTAATTAAACAGCATGCAATTATCTTTATTACATAGATAGCTACCAAAAATAGAATCAAGTTTGAATATTCATGTTGACTTTAGCATGTCGAACAGAGAGAGAAAAAGGTGACTATATATGCAAATTGCTCATTTATTCTTTATTCTACGAAGTCGTGCAATATTTTATTCTCCTGTTTTCTTTGCATGTCGATTTCATTATTCCTTTGCCTCGTATAATAAGCATCGATGAGTACTCTTCAATTTTTCAGAAGATGTACATGCATCTATTCAATCGAGGCGCCATTTATCATATGCGCCATCACAGGGGGTTGTATGTAAGAAAAAACGCCAATGATTGAAGAAATGTAGAACGAGTTAGCCTTTCTTCTTTTCTTGCCGATGTACTATAAGAAAAGCAAGATTGATGATAGTGAAACTGATAAATCTTCATAATTTCTATTGCCACTTTATTGATATTTTATTTTTCTGCAAGCGAAATCTATTTAGATTTAAGTGAGTAATTTGATCGGGGAAAGTAGAAGAGAACTAGAATAGAGTCGACGAATCGTGCTGTAATACTAAATGATTAATGATGATGATGATGAGCACACTCGGAATTGGAAAAGAAAGAACGATGAGCACTCGTTATTTCTTAGGGAAATGCGAGAAAGAATGATAAGAAAAGAAAAGAAAAATAATTTCAGACTTGTTTTTAGATACGCCACTATTGTTCGCCTAAGAAAAGAACACCCTAAGATTCTTTTCGATCAGCACCATTTTGCATCGTGCCTTCATTCATTCTATCACCATTATCATTGCCATTGATCAAATGTAATTATATGAGTGAAACTCTTGTTTTATTATTTTTGCTTATGTTCATTATTTCCTGTGTCGGTAAGCAGTTTAGTTTTTTTTCGTTCTCTATTCCTGATTTTTACTGAATCTTATGTAATCATCACATTAGAATGTACAACTGAGCAGCTTCTCATAAGAAAATTATTACAATATTATGAGCCAAGCGTAAGACCAGTTCTCAATGCTCAAGCTGTCGTTAATGTTTCATTTCGAATGGAAATTACGCAATTATTTGAGCTGGTAATATTTCATGTAAACTTGTTATTTTTTTCTCCATATTCGATTTTTGTAGGAAGAAAAAACACAAATATTAACAACCAATGTACGCATCGAACAAAAATGGAAAGATGAAAATCTCGGGTGGAATCAAACTGAATACGTAGGTGTTCGTGGCATACGTTTGCCGTCACATCGTATTTGGTTGCCGGATAGTTATATTTATAATGCAGCATTTGATATTTCAAGTGAAACACCAACGCAAGGCGTTGTGAATGGTACGATGGAATCGATTTATTTAAATTTTTGTTCTTAAAAATCTTTTGTTTTTAAATTATTTAGGTCCTTATGTTATGGTTTATCACACAGGTGAAGTTGTATTTCCTGTTTTAATGAAATTGCATACAACATGCAAAGTCAACATACAATATTTTCCATTCGATCGGCAAATATGTGGACTAAAATTTGCCTCATGGATATATGATATATCATCGGTTAAATATGATATTATACCAAATACAAATGATCAACAGCAATCGGAAAGTATACGAAATAGTGGCTGGGCTATACTTGATGTTAAACAGGGTCTTATATGGAGGTAAACAATCGAATGTATGGAATTGTTTCAATTGAAAATTTTTATTTTTAGAGCAAAGAATAATAAAACATATACAGAACTAGTTTATGGTGTTCATATTCGCCGGCGGCCGTTGTATTATATTTTCAATGTGATAATTCCATGTGCCATGCTGTCATGTTTGACGTGTATGTCGTTTTGGTTAGTGAACAATTTTTCTTTCTAAAGGTTCAATAAAATACTTGATTTCAATTCTTTCCTGTTCAACAGGTTACCGACATCATCAGGTGAAAAAGTAACACTTGGCTTGACTTGTTTTGTTGCATTTTCTGTTTTCATGCTTATGGTGGCTGAAAAAGTTCCTGCTACATCAGATACAGTACCTATTATAGGTAAATTCTATTTCGTAATGAATCACAAAACTGACTTTCTCTCTGTCTGTTTTCCCAGGTATCTATTTGACTATTGTTATGAGTTTAACAGTAAGTTTGTGGATAAAATTAATTTCTAATTGAATACTAAACGATTATTTTTAACAGTCAATATCTGTAATAATGGCTGTAATTGTTGCTAATCTTTACCAACAAGCAGCAATGTGTACATCTGACAAACATCGTGCACCGGCATGGTTAACTAAAGTTGCACTGATCTATCTACCATCAATTTTTCGTATGAAAGACAAGGTTAAAACTGTGCTTAATCAAAAAGTAAGAACGTGTAGACGAAAGTCGTCTGATAGAGATAATAGATAAGTAAGAGACTCTGACGCATAGGGACTTTTTTTTTATTGCTCTAACGTTTAAATCAAGAGAAAGCAAAATCACGAGTTATTGAAGCGTGAAGTAAGTGTCAATTAAATCATGTTTTCTTAATCGCATTTGTGTTTGTCTCGGCGTCTTTCGTTTGTGAAAGAGAAGTGTTTAATAATTGAAAAATAAAAATGCGCGCAAACGTAAGAATCTTGAGAAACTCTTCGTGGGAAAATTGGGGCGCCTATGGTTTTGTCTTCGGATTTTTCTTGGTATTGATTGGCATTTTGACACAAGTTTTTGAATTTCCGCGTGTCTACAATGGTGCGACAAATGTAAATTTAAATGGTACTATTTACGTGGGTCTTTATAACATGACAAATTATTATAATCATTTTTGGCCATGGACATATCCGGCTAGTCTATTCGGTCTTTTCACATTTATAACTGGCATAATCGGTCTGCTAGCTGGCATGCGAGGAACTTATACAGCAATCTATGGATTTTTTACCATGAGTGTTATATCAGCATTATTTGCTATTTATTTAATTATTTATTTTGCGTTTATTATTTCATTCTATCGATCGAATGGTTGGGATAAACCAAGTAATCGTACACACGCTGAATCGGTTTCCTATAGTCTTGCTAGTACACAATTAGCAGTGGCATTAGTTAATGCAATCGTTAGCATATTATCAGCTATAGTGACGGGTCGAGCAATTGCACTTTGTGTTGACAAAGGTGTTAAGGAACAAGATATGATAATAACATATTCAGCACGATCACCATTGCCTCCTAGGGCTTATTAAAATCTACATAAACTTGAAAGATTACTATATTTACATGAAAATATATTCTATTTTTAATCTATTTAAACAAATCGAATGTAGAGAATAAAACTATTTCTTCTTGTTTTTCATATTTTGCAATCGTTAGTTTATCAATCGATAACAGGTGACACAGAATGACAGTTATTTTTGCATTAAATCATAATAAGATGAAAGATATTAGTACTTAATTGGCACGTTTAAATCGATGAACATTTTACTGTAGCTCATCATTTAATTGTTTTATTTATTTACAGGAAAAGTCGCCGACATCCTATGGTCTATCATGTGAACCAAGTATATTGCCATCATCGACAAATCAAAATGAAGTTGATACAAATTATGAAAATATTATTGAAAGTTTACTTCTACAACAAGTATTATTATATACACAGGAACGATGTCAAGCAACATACTTGACTAGTTCGAATCCAACATTCAAAACAACTAATTCTAAGTGGGAACAACAAAACCAAAATAAATTATTTAAAAATTCGAATGATGAAAAGTTGGTGTTAACCTCATCGATACGTAGAAAAACTCATAAAAAACCAAGATTCTCTCCTAGTGAACCAGACAATAAGAATTCAAGTAGTTTAATTGAAAGTATTCTTTATTATTATAGACAACAGAAAGATCAGTATACAAGTTTTGATCGAAATCTAATCGAACTTCTTGTTAAAAGAAATAGTGAAAGAAATACGGGTTCAACGTCAACAAGTAGCACATTTTATTTTCGTCTGCAATGGCTTGCTATTGGTCTGGTTGTTGATCGTTTATTCTTTTATATTTACTTTACAGCGACATTTGTTTCCTATGCAGTTACACTATGGCTTATTCCCTATGCTCGTGCAGATTTAACGATTGATATTCATTCGTTGTAGTTGAGCATTAAAATAAATAAACTTATGAATCATCAATTTTTATCAAAGAATGGTTCACATAAATGAAAGATTTCAATCAAGTCATTTCCTAATGTGTTTATTCAAGTTGAATACAATAAAATCAATCTGTACTTTCAATACAAAACTAATATAAAAAAAATGTGTTGATACAGCATTTTTTGTTTTGCTAAACAAAAACTTAATAAAATCATGGCCTTCTCATTTTGAACTTAAAGATTAATCAAATACTAAATGAAAAGGATAGCATGATATTGAAAATTGCTTGATTAACAAAGACACAAAAGACAAACAAGATAGCCTGATCACCGGTTCCATGCAAAAGGCGGTGGGAAAAAATAGGAGAAAAAGGAACAAATTGCTTATGAACATTTTGTTCTATTTACTCCTTCTTTGTTTCCGTTCGTTTCTTTGAAAAGCAACTTAGTCGTTCCAAAATAGCTTGTGTTATGCTACCGGGACGACGCTGATGATTTTCTATCAATAGTTCGATTTCTTTTTTAACCTTAAAAAAAACACGAATTAATTTAAGAATATTTTACAAAATTCACATTTACTTGACCAGCAAGAACTTCTGCTGTTATGTCGGGATCATATGGAATAGGTTTTCCAAGATAAGTACTAAACAAAAAAAAGAATATTTCACAGGGGCAAACATCTAATGTATATTTACATCATTTTAACTGGGAACATTCCGTATAGTGGAACAATTGGTAATCGAGTTTTTTCATAAATATATCTTAGAAAACCTAATTAAAAATGAACATGATGTTGTCTTTCGTTTCATTCGGACCTTTAAAAACATTGACTTACGACGACCAAACTTCATAGAACGTACAGCTTCTCGACAATTCTTGGTAAACATTGGAATAATGGTCTAAAAATGAGAAATAAATATTTAGCTTAAATAAATTTTTCTATTCACAGCTTGAGATTCAATGGCAATTTTAGCAAAGCCGCGCCTTTGTTTCCATATTAATCTATAATTATGATCACTGAAAAGTGCTTCTCGTACACCACCTTAAAGAAAACCAAAAATTAAAAATTAATTTTAGCTCTTTGGAATATTCTATATTACCAGGTGAAATAGCAAGCACATGACCTTCGTCAAGCATTGACTTGCATACGGCTGATGTTGACGGTTGAATTTCTAATGCTTCAATAAGAGTTCCTAGGCCTTAAAAGAATCAATTAATTAATTAAAAAAATGCAGTTCTCTTGATAATTAAAATTCATACCGGGTATTTTAAATACAAATTTATCAGCAACAACACGTACACGTCGATTACGATAAAGCCATACTTTAGCAAATAAATAATAGAAATCAATTGGCAATGCTGCGTGATAGAAAACAATAAGCACTGGTCCTTTTGTGGGAATATTTTCTAGTCCTTCAACTTCGTAACCTATAGATTAACATTAAGAAAAATAATTTTAAAATGATTAATCATGATTTTTAACAATCCAAAAAAGCCTTTCTTTTAGAACCAATATTAATATTTTAGTACTTCGCTCACCATGCCATATAGTTGCTTGTAATTCCCATAGGATAGCCAAAGTTTTCACTGCCCCATTCCAAATATCATTCGAGTATGCAGTCTTTCAAATGAAAACTCATTTGATTTCATTCATCGATAGAAAAACTCACCTACTTTTAACCGATTCCAATGTTTGTAAACCAAACAGAATAGTGATGAGCCATATACAAATAAAAGTATTGTGGACGGTAAAAGAAATAATGTTAATAATAAGAAGCAAAGTGGCTTAAATAGAGCCCATAGCCATGCCAAATAGATTAAATCGAAATTCGATTGTTCAAGCGATGTTGAAATGTAGTCAACTATTTGATTATATACCATATTTAAGAGTTTTTTCCTCGACTTTGCATACAAGAAATAAAATTTATGTGTTGACTTAACCTAGAATCGGTCAAACAATGATTAGAAAAGCAAACGAGACACATGCAATAAAGAGATAATTGAATAGATAAGAATCTAAAATTTTAAAGTAAATAATAATAATAAATTCAGAGAAAAGGTACTCTCTAGACAAATCTTTGATTTCATCTAATATCTATTATGAACACGAGATTTATTTTTTATTCGAGTAAAAAATGTTAAACGTTCATAATTATATACACAGAAAATCATTCTGAATTGTTTACATCAAACAAATTGTAATTTGACCTCAGTTTTCGCATGAAACGTGTCCGATAGATAAGTCCTATCTTAATAGTTCTATAATGACAAACATATTTACCTGCTTGTATCTGCTTTTGATTTCAGTGAACCATCGGATGAAAATATTTCTATGATAATTGTTTTCATGGCGTCAGAACAAAATTTTCAATTTATTATTTGTCATCATATTGAAATAGATCTTCATTGATGTTATTTAATCCGTCAACACTAATCGTGATTCTCTAATTTTTAACATTACTAAACAGTTGCTTGTGAAAAGAAAACATCTGCCGACAAGTTTACACATTGTTTTCTATTAGTAAAAGTAAATTGACATCAGACGCCTCGTTGTCAATTTTGTTTTCTTCATCTTAATTGTATAACCATATAGTTCAACTCATTTATGAATATAGTATTATTGTAAATGTTGATGATAGTGCTATGGTTATTATGAATTTTTTGATTAGATCAAGCGAAAAGGTCAAAAATAGCGTCATGACTCTTTCAGTCTACTGCAAAACATTGTTTTTTTTGACTCAAATCTGGCAAAAATAGATTACGAGTATTTAGAATCTTGAAAAACTATCTTCCCAAAGATTCTTATAGATATTTTCTCGATTTAAAAACTTCCCAATAGGAATCTCTTCCTATAGTGTTTTTCCCGAAGATTGATACAGATTAGTTAATTGGTCCGAGAAGTCTTTTTAAGACTATACTACATAATCTATTGTTTATAATTCCCTATAGTCAATCTCATTTTACTAAATCCTATGAGATTTTGTCAAATGACAAAGAAACTCGCTCAGAGTTAGAATATAATTCAATAATAGAATCATTCATTCTGGATTCGCTGAACATTTTTCAAGCTGCTTCTTACGGTTCAGCTGTTCAGAAGGCATTGCATTTATTTTGAGAGTGTGGTTGTTAATTCTCTTCACGTCAGATTGTTTGTCTAGTGATGTATGTCCTTCCGATTATTCTATGGTTCTCTATTTACTTTTTGCACTTGTGATTTATTCTATTTGTACCGTTTTTCATGTACTCTTCGTTGAGTCATATATGACATTTACTTTTCATTCTATCTCTTTCTTGGACACCCACATGAAACACTTATTATTATGGTGAATTGAAATGCAGCATTATATTACCTGAAAGAATAAAGTTTATAAAAATTATTTAAAAAAAACTAGAAAAAATAAAGATAAATCTTTATTAATAAATATTTCACACACCGGACAGAATGACCAGAAGAAAACAAAAATAAAGAATAGAAATCTGGAAACAATATGATCACGAGGAAATTACAAACGAAATGAAACCAAATATCACGAATATGTCTCATTACTTTTTTTATTGATGGGAAAATAGTTCTTATTCAAATCGTTATCCATCTGTTTCACCTTCTGCATTGCTGCATTTATCCGAAAATGAAGACGAGACTCGAGCTGGTACTCTTTGTAATCATTGCTAAGAAGAATAACAAAAGAATTAACAATATGAAAGAAAGTGATTCTTACATGGACTTCTGTAAGTATTCATTGGCTTTTTGTTTCTGTTTTAACTCTATATAAATGATTGCTTTTTCGAATACGGCATTCGGCGCTAATAGAGATTTTTCATCAAATTGTTTAGCCCTTAAATAGTAACGAAATTATTTAGTCATTTTTAACTACAAGATAGAGAAAGAAATAGTACGAACATATTAATTATTGCATCGAAATTTTCATGAGCTTCATCGTATCGACGTAGAAAATGCAGCAGAACACCACGAAGTAAAAGACCGGAACCGTAGCTATCAACATAGAATTGATCATCTATTTGAATAACGAAAACAGAAGAAACATTTTCTAACAGAATATCAAATGAATATGATTTACTTGTATGATTAAGTTCGACATCTTTTAATGCATTATTAACAATATTAAGAGTTTCTTGTAATTTGTTATGATCATGAGCAAGAATATAAAAACCATTCATAAGATAAACTAATTCCTAGAAAAATAATAATAAATATATAAAATAATTAATTAATTTAAATTTGCGTATTTTTAATTAGAAAAAGATTTTTTATTAAAAATCTATTCTAGATGTCCTTATTTACCAATGCCGGTAGGAAAAGCCATTTTTGTTCAAGAAAATGTTCACATTGTTTTATTGCGTATTTTTCTAATGGAATTGATTTGCCGGCCAGACGAATTTTTAAATCCGGTACACGTCTAATACGATTGATATTCATAGAAAGTTAATTTTAAGTTTCAAAATTTTTACTTGTATAACTGAATAATTTCATCGGTTGCAACAGAATTATTATCTTCAAATTGAAATGTCGCTAGAAGAAAACAAGATGTTGCTTTACTCCAATTATTTTCTTCAAGTAGAGTTTTAGCCATAACAGCTGCTTCTTTCCATTGTCGTTGAAACCTTGATGAATCAAAAAAACAAATAACGACAATGAATACAATTGGATATATCTCCGGCAACTTACACATGACACCAAAGTATTTCCCAAAAAGCAATCTAAAACAAATTCAAGTTCATCTGTCGGATCAAATTATTAGATGAGCGTCTTACATGATGAAGATTTTTCCAATCACTTTGACTGCGAATTGCATATTCATAAGTTTGAATTGCCTGAAGAAAAAAAAGATTTCAATTGCGCTTGAAATTTATTTACTAATTTCATTACTTCATTGAGTCGGCAGCGAAGTGTTTGAAGTCTTGCTCGAAAAACAAGAAACATGTAGGACTAAAAAAAGAAATTGATTAGTAAGCCTGGACAACGAAAACAAATCAAAGAACATCATAAGATTACAAGAGTATAGATTGCTACTCAAATCCTTGTTATCGATTACGGCAATAGAACAATGCCATTGGATCTCTCGCATTTCAGAATTGATTTCAGTTTGAATATTTCCAATATGATCGATCTTCATTGTAGACCAGAAGAAAAGGAAGCCTAGTTCGATATCGATGATATCTTCTTACAAAATATAATCAAACATATTTTGTTTTTTTTTAAAAAAAAGGGTTATTGTAACTCTAGAATATGAATATCGAATGATATATCATGTGACCTTCTACTTTCTTCTGTTTTTTATGCCGAAATACGTTCACCTTTCAATAGTGAATATATACGACGAAATCGATCTGTTAAAGTGCAAAAAAAAATCAAGAAGTAATTTGAGTATAATTCAATAGAAAAACGGATCATATACAATATAAAAAGAGAAATAATAAGCAAAAGCGCCAACCGGAATCTAACCAATAACCATTGCTGGACTCTATCCGTCCAATGAGTGAATATAGTAATTCGATATGACAACATTGAAAATACAAAGCAGAAATTAGATATTGGCACCGACACTGTAGAAACCTAATTCTGTTTTGGCCTCTTCTCTCGTTCTCTTTTGTGTTTACCTCTTCGTATCATTCGTCTTACTGCTATTTGGCAGATAGATGCAAACGAAATTCTATTAACACACTATTTCAAGCATGAAAACAAAACCCGAAATAAAGAATAAATCTACTGCAATCAAAGTAAAAACAAAGATTTTCTGTTTCTATGTTTACATTTCTTGAAAAACTATTTTCCAATAGCATCGTCATAATAATCGCCAAAAAGAAAAATTAAAAATCAATTTGTCCAAAGACTCATTTGTTGATCAAGAGCAACAATGTAAATATTTTACGTTAAAAAATAAACAATTATTTGTAGATTATTATTTAGTATCAACATGTGTTTGGTGCAGACAGCTAGTTGGTCAATTTTTTACAATACAAAATGATGAGGCTGCTTCGAAAATATTATGTAGTGAAGTATGTTTTAATCAATATCGTCGAGCTGCATTTAAAAACAATAAGGTTCGAATTCGTTATTCTTCAATGTAAAAATAATTCCACATTTTCAGATTAAAAAGCAATTGAAAATTGAAGAAGTAACTTCACTGATAGTAAAATTCCATAAATAATGGTTATTATGTTATACAAAAACAAACTTTGTTTTTCTAGCCTAAGAACACTACCGTATCAAAGTCAACAACAAATGAAGTCAAACGTGGTAATCAACGAAAAGTCTTATCACTACAGTGTCAGTCAAAATCCTCAATAAAGAAGAATGAAGCTACTCGAAGATCATCTCCTCTAACATGGTTACCACGCATGCCAAAATATCACCGATCATCATTTCGTCCTAACGAAGCAATAACTAATCTTTCAACAGATTTTACTCTTTCACCTTTCGCTTACATTCCAACAGCTCCTATCAATCTAAATTATCATCCAAATCTATCCGCCCCTTTCCGTCAATATCCTTCGGCATTACCAATGAGAACAATGCCCATAAATCCTTTTCCAATAGTAACAAAACAATTTCCACCGAATTATACGTGCATTCTACCAAGTTTTATTCAGTTGCCAATATCGATTCCACTATGTTTTCCTGTTCAATCGCCATACACAAAATGTTCCATGGATGTCATGAATGTTCGAGCATGTCAAGCTGACATACAAAATGCTATTGGCTGATTCCCAAATAGTTAACAGCAAGGAAGACGACTATCAATTTAGAACTTATTTTAACTATTAAAATAAAGCGTCTCTATCTCATAAAATGGATAGATGATAATGAAATGCTCTTTTTCTTTCTCAAACAGGTCGAATATATCAATAGGATAAAAAACATAACGACTTACATTCGGATTATTTTTTAAATAATGTTCCACTAGCATATCAGATTTTTCAAGATCACCATCACCATTTCCTAAAGATAAGAGTTAATTTTTTTATATGGTAAACAATATTTGTTTTTCGAAATTACCAAAAATATGTGCAGCATATGTGTGATAACCAAGAAGCAATAAAGCCGATAACGGTGCCCGTAATCCTTTGCTCATGGCACTTTTCTCGAGTTCATTGAGACCAAAATCCTACAATAATAATTTTCTCTATTGGAATTACCACAAATAACATACAATCAAATCTTACCCGATCGCCAGAAAAACCAGCAAATTCCAGGCACCGAATAATTCGTTGTGGTAGATTAGCAATCATCTAAATATTATCAAAATTGAAATCTAAGAAAACAAGTTTGTTTTGTTTTATAAGTACCAAATTAAATGCTCCATTACCCATTCGAACTCCACTATCAAAATGTTCATAGGATAAATTCGATGAGAATCGGGACGGATCATTATTTTTGGCTAATTTCCTAGAAAATGAATAACCTCATTCGGAAAAAAATTGATTCGAATCAAAAAATAACCTACGCAAATAGGTCATGACATTCTTTAATTTTTAAAGCACCGCTTATAAAACTAAATAGTCCTTGATCTTGAATAAATGTTAATAAAGCTCGAATAAGTAATGCTTCAGCATAGACTAATTTTGCATGCAATTCATCTAAGATAAGATAAGAAAAGAAAAGAAAAGAACAAATGAATGCGCGAATTTATTAATCAATTTTCTTCCAAAAAAAAGGCAAATATCCTGATTAAATTTCTATAATTCTATTCGATTTATTAACAATGAACACATTTCATGAGTCATTTTCCCATTGATTATTGCAATCGAAAACTATTGATATGCATCTCTTTCGGTACAACTTTAGTCGCATGCTGTACAATGTTAATATTATTTCTTTATCAGTATCAACGCCGTTCAATTATTAATTTAACTTCTAAGAAAATAACAGTTCCGGCACAAAATTCTAATAGTATTTCAAACCGATCTAAGAGGAAAATCGATCAACAGATTGAAAAACTTCTTCGGTTAACACCAAGTATCCCGTTAGAAGAAATTAAATTAAATGAATTTAACCGAATAACAGTCAAACCATCAATAAAAAATAGTTGACATTTTCTTTTTTCGTACTTACATTCAGTCATGACAGGTTTTGATGTTAAACTAAATGTTATCCATGGTCGATAGGGTTCGTATTTTTTTGACATGTTTGTTGTGTGACGCAGTGCTTGAATTGTAGCTTCAATATCATCCTAAATGTGAAACTTAAATAACCATTTATATAAAAAAAAGATTTTCGCTTACTTGATTGAATGTCATTCCGGCTTGCATAAAACTTATGGAACTATGCAATAAACTGTGATATAAAGATCGATTTTCTCTATATTAAAAAAAATACAAATAACGAAGAGATATTTGATAATAAGAATTTCCATTGATTTATTAAATTCATACTGTGCTTTAGTTTTTCTCAGTGCTTCATTGAGACGATTTTCAAATATGAGTTGTGAAATTTTCTGACATTCAACTAATGATTGTACTAGATCAATTGTTGATTCGTCATGGACTTTTGATAATGATGGTCTACTCAAAATTCTCGAAATAGCTTAATAAGAAATAAATTTGAAATTAACGAACTTATTTAGATGTGATTTTTGATGATTGTCATCATCATCATCATCATCATCTAAACTTTCCAGTGCATCTTCAAATAACTAAAATAAATAAATATAAAAAATATGATAGTTTTCTTTTTTTTGCAACCAAAACAAGATACGTTTTATCTACATATCGAGCATTTAATCCATTGTATTAGAAAACAATTTAATACGAAATCCTAAATAAAATTTATTAATATTTTCAAGGTCGAGTGCCGCTGGCTGTTTTTCTCAGATTCTATTACTTCGCTTGGAATTTAATCTGTGATCAAGTTTTTTCTTATTTTATAAAATAATTTGAGTCGATTATCTTGTAAGAGAATACCTCTGAAATAGACATTCTTCGTTTTTCTTCTTCTGTGAGTGTGTTTATTTGACTAATTCATTTGTGATTTCATTCAATTTATCTTTTGTAATCACTTTATTCTGTACAGATGGCTTCTGTTTTCTAAGAGATGACAGATAGTCATCACATGATTATATAAAGACGAAATTAGTTTTTACTAGATATTATTTTCTTTCTTTCTTCCTTTGCTTTCTTGCCTGCCGTGCTCCTCCTTCTCTTATGTTCTCCGCTAGAAAATAAAAATGGATGGTATGAAACATGTGCCATTGTAAAAGCGACTTTGTTTTTTGTACATAAACTCTTTCATAAGGCGTAGTTTGTACGATCCAATAGACTATTCTATTTGTCATTCCTATATATACCTAATCAATGTAACGATAAATAAACAAAAGAAAAAACAAATCATCTTACATCGAGAAAAACCACTACATAAATGTTCACGTAATCAAAAAGTGCTTGTATTTATATTTTTTAATAGAGCATGCTTCGCCAAGATTATACTCCATACTCATTTTTTGACTCCAATACTTCATCAAATTATGGTATTATGATACTTAATCATTCATTGACTAGTGTTCGAAATTTATTAAGAAAAGAACTGTGGGAAAAAGCGAATGTACGTGCTTGCGCTGATGGTGGTTCAAATGTACTTAAAACTTATTCCGATGAAATACATGACAATTTTATGCCAGATTATATTAGCGGTGATTTCGATTCTATTAATGAAGCTACCTATAAATATTATAAAACAATACCAACTGTTGAGCTTATTAAAACTCCCGATCAAAATGCAACTGATTTTACTAAATGCGTTCGTGTTATGTTAGAGAAAAAGTCGACTTTAAATGATCTTCTCGTATTCTGTTCGTTGGGTGGCCGATTTGATCATACTATAGGTATTATACATTCGCTCTATATACTCAATAATCATTATCCTAATTTACAAATATATTTAATTGCCGATTGTGATATCACTTTTTTATTACATGCAAATAAACTTAATAGAATTCATATTCAATCAATATATAATGGTAATACATGTAGTTTGTCGCCGATCAGTCAATCAGCACATGTCGATACTGAAGGACTACGATGGAATTTATGCAAAACTCAAGAATTAAGTTTTACTAAACTTGTTAGTTCATCGAACACATATGAAACGAAAACAACATCGCATGTTGACGTTCAGACTGATAATGACATTATTTGGACAATGACATACATATGTAATAAGAAATAATTAGAAGAAAAAATAAAATTCCTGTCCCTCCTCCTTCTCCGCCTTGTTGTCTTTTTTTACCTCATTATTATCGTCATCGTCTTTCCGAGAATTTGCTAGATTGCTTAAGGATTTTGTCGTTGTTAAATCTGTTGTTGAAGAATAACCATGGCGAAAATTATTATGATTACTAACTGGAAAATTCAATGATAAATGATTTGAATTCGGACTGGTAATAGAAGTCGATAGACTAGTCGTTGAATTCGAATGAACGAGCGTATTGGGAACTTTTAATGGATGAGTGCCATAGAAAAAATAACTATTTTGAAGTTTATTATTCGTTGGAGTAAAATTCGAGGACGATGACGATGCCATATACTACCACAAAGATTAATTCATCTAAAATAATGTTACAATGTCAAAAACATTTCTTAACATACGTCACGACGATAATGTTATTGTCTTTGGTTCCCGTTCTTCTCTCACTTTTTTATATTTTACCGTTTTCTTTCCATTGACGCATACACTTAAACTCTGTGACGAGTGATGAAGAAAAACGTTCTTTATCTTTCTTAGACAACATCGAAAGCGTAAACTCTTCATTTTTATCATTGTTTATGTATGTCTGGTATATTTGTTATTTCTCAGTCTGACTTCATATTGTGACACTTTTAATCAATGTTATAGCCTAAAAAGCAAGATGACTTTATTTGAAGCACGACTCTATGTTTTTGCCTCCGTTGTTGATAACACATGTTCTATGAGAAAAAAAAGACAAAAAAAAAGGAAAGTTACGCATGCACGAAAGACGTGATCTTTTCCTCCCCGTTTACCTCTAGTTTTGTATTCCATAAAACACGTTAACGAAGCGCATGAAGAGGAAAACGATCGTTTTTTTCTCCCTACCCCTCTTTCTCTCTTTCTTTCTGTTGCATCTTTTATATTTTCTTGAAGTTACAAAATAGAATCGTCTAAAACAATGTGATAGCATTTACATATGCATAAAATCAAAAAAATATGATCTTTTCATGAGGAAAGAGATGTACATAAGCAGAAGAGAATACAATATACCAATTGATGGCAATTTATAACGAGTGTATCCCGGTTCTCTCCGCTCGAAATAGAGAGAGAGAGAGAGAGAGAGGGAGCGAGAAAAAGAAAAGGGCGTGAGAAGAGAATCAAGATATGAGTAATGAAGCTTCGAGGCTATTGTTAGTAGGAAAAAAAGATTTGAACTAACGGCAAGAGGAAGAATTGTCGTGCACGCTTATAGCAATAATGGAAAGGCTCTATGTTGATTCGCTGTTATTTCCTATCTCTTCCGCCTGGTGCACTAGTAGAAAACCCTCTAGCAACATTATCATCCTCATCAACAACTAAAGGAAAATGCAGAATCGCAGCTACTTCTTATTCTATGTCATCCGTCTAATTTTACATGCACATTTCATCAACAACTAGCATTGCTATGTACATGACATAACTTATTTCTTTCTTATTTTTCATGATATCGTTGCACTGAGAAAACGCATGCATACAACGATCACAAGTGCAAGCACTGGATCATCTTAAAGAGTAACAATGTGCATGCTTATACATAGAATCTCTGCTAAAACTCATAATACAATAGCTAAGACATTCCTTCTTTTCTCGTTTCATTTCCTCATAATACCCTGATTGACTTCTTTCTACTATTTTTGAACGATCTCTTAGAATATAAATATGATTTGCTCGATGATAAGAGAAAATACAATTATTACATCTCATTCTTCATATTCCGTAATGATAGTAGAGAGATTATTCTATGAAGCAAAAGAACATTAGCAATTATAGGCATGCGAAAAACAAAATAAAAATGGGAATAGAACTCCAGAGGACAAATATAGATTAAATGGATGAAAGTGAAAATGACATGACATGTCAACGCCTTCGTTGTTACATAATGTTTTATATGTATATATATATATATATTTTTTTTTCATTTCGAAAATAGAGGTATCATCCATGAGCTATACATGACACTAAACATGTTTTTCGTTCTAGTCTCTTAAAATAAATTACTTCAGGATTATTTACATGCATGTATTTTTCACGGCTTTTCCCCTCGACGTCAAAACATTTACATAGTAAAATGAACTATATTTTTTATTTAGTTCTCATTGATTATTCTAATAAATTATCATGATAAAACAGCAAAGAAGAAAAAAAATGATATGAGATCGAACACAAATATTTTTGTTTTCTTCAATTTAAATATTACTGACCGATAGTTTTTCATTTTCATTGATCATCTCATCAAGTGATTAGTAATAAAAAAAAGAAAAGAAAGTAAATCATAGAATTAATGTTGTTGGCATCTCTTCAAGGTACCATTTATACAACAGAATGCACAATGATTCTAGATTAATTATTAATTGATAAAGCAGTCTTTAAATGCAGCATTTCAATAATAACATGCATCAATTTGAGCAACAATTCAATGCACTTTTTATCATCCTATTAAGCTTATATATATATATACTACATCAAATTACACACATAACTAAATTTTTCTAGTACGCTTATTTTCTAAAATAGTTCATGTTAATAATGCTGCGTGATGAATTTAGAAAGAAAAAACTCAAACGATCTCAGCTTGTGAATAAATAATAACTGCAGTGTCTATATATATATATATGTATATGTATATATCAAAAAGACTTTTCCATGGTCCACGTTAATAGAGGAAACTATTACAGTAAACCTCAACAAACGAGACAGCCCACCAGATTTCTTTTGTCGTTTGTCATCTGAGATAATGACGTCCTGAACTATGAATTCAAGCATAATAATGAATAGAATTTGCCTATAACCCGTTTTTAGAATGATTGAATTCACCGGGCTTCTGCATCATGCAAGTCTGGGTAAAAACGATTTATATCTCAGGTATATTTTATATTATTTAAATCATATAATAACCTATTCTAGTCATTTTATAGTCAATGCTAATGAGATGGCTAACACTGCCGATCTGTCATTTACAACATACGATGAATAAAATAAAAATTTTGTAATGAAAATTTTTTATCCGTATTATATATCTTACTGTTTCTCTGTGGATAACATTAATCAGAAGGAGGAAAAAATACGCTAATTAGCTCTCCTTCTTTTGTAACCCATTTTTATGTAATCACAAGAAACCATGTAAGTAGAGGGCGAACATCCCGCCGATAGTTGTACGACGTTTTTTTAAAGCAATCTGTCTAATGTGGTCATATAATATTAAACTCATATAGAATGGAATTTATATTGTTATTTTTGTGCATGTAGTTTAACCTCGTAATTATTATCAGTAATAACAAAATATGCAAAACTAGCGGAAGAATTTTCATTACCAATGTTTATCGATTGACGCTCTCAGTGAATATATTTTAATAGAATCTATAGTAGATGTCGTTAAATAGCTAAGCACATTGTTTTGATCAATTTCAAAACGTCCTTGATTAGTTTAAGTATTGAATTCTTAAGAATAATAGGAGAAAATCTGATATATTTAGTGCTTAGTATTTGCTGATAGTATCTATTATTGAATTAGTCAGTTAAAGTAAGTTGCAATCAACAACATATTTTTACTTTGAGAATCTATTCTTTATAACGTGTACCTTTATCAAAACAAGAAAAAAAAAGATCTTTGGCAACATGATAAGACATTGAGAGACAAAATAATAGATTTTGTTTCGAATGCTTTGGAAAAGAAATGTTATACTATAAAAATAATTTATATATCCAAGAAAAGAATAGATACGACTAATGTTATTTCTTGAAGTGTATTCATCCGAAAAAAAAGCAATCAATGACTTCTTTTGTTGCATTTAATTGCGTATCTACGAATATATATATTTATAGCCAAACAGAAGACATTGAATTGCATAGCAAATATAGGAGCACTTACAGTGAAAAACACTCGTAGCATTCTAGTTCCGCTTTGAGCTATTATGTACCTCGTCACATATGATATATTCAGAAGAGAGAGAGAGAGAGAAGGATTCGAGTATTTGGATTCATTCTAAGAAGTAATGCCTGTTTTACTAAAAATCTCTATCAAAAACATGATATTCCAAAACCCTAATGTATCTTTCTCATGGGAACGTATTTCTAGTTAGATTGCACTTTATGGAATATCTCTATTGTGTTGTGCGAAGAAAATGTTTCAAGAAAGACGTATTCATTGTTGTTGAAACCTTCGGGACTCATTCGTCGTCAGTATTAACTATATTGATATGCAAAACTTTTGACTTGTAGCAAACGGTTATACGTTTTCGCTAGGGGGTTGAACTATTGTAGACTTATTCTTATCTCGATATACTCCATCGAATGAAGGAAAAAAAGTAATCAGATACTTAAATGTAAGATTTGGCGCCGCAACAATCTGAAAAGAATTTCTTTGGTGGTAATCTATAATGCAATGAGAAGCATCGGGTCTAGCGAAAAAAATGATTTAGTCCAATGCCGAAGTAAACAACACTACATCAATTTGTGAAAAATAATTGAATGATTCTGTAGGCGAATATGTCTAACAGAACAGGCATCGCAAGTAGTGAGCAGAAATCGGAACAAATCGAATTAGACTGATGTCAAAGTTAGTTCAGATCATTTTCAAGGGTCATCATCAATTTGTCTTCACGTCGGATCTATCGTCATTCAAAATTTATTGGTCACGCAATGATATTTGAGTTGATATTTTCAAAAATAAATTTCGATAATTTACGAGTTTGTCATGTAATGAAAGATGCTGTGCTAACGAAATCAGTCTCGAGTAGTGCTCTCTATGCCCGAAGGTGTCTGAAAGATAAATGAATGCTGTTCTCTACAGCTATCAGATATCTTCAAATAACAAATCATAGAATGCAAGAATAACGATTGATGGAATCGTCTCCGTTTTCAATCATTTTAATTGTAAAGTAAAAGAAATGAAGGGGTCGATAAAAAAAAGATTAACAATGGCAACGAATTTACTTATTTAATAACAAATGATCATTTTACCTGTCATATCGACATTGAAATATATAAAAAAATCAGCTCTACAGTAACACTTCATTGATCGGTTTTAGGTTGAACTGGATCTATAATATCGATGTGGTTAGTGAGCAAAACAACAGAGGTCTAGTGTAATTCGATTCAAAATAATAGGTTGATTTTTATCTCAGATAATTTTACAATAATACTAATGGTTATGGAGCAATCAACAAGATATTTGTCTTTGCTAGACCCTCATTTATCTAACATAGAATACAGAGATGACATACGTCTCCGTGGTATACATATGTTAGTATTATACAGAATGACATAGGTTTGATTTGTGTATTTTAACGAAAACGTGTGAAGGCAATATCTAATGTCTTAGCAGCTTTGCGTGAACACACATAATTAGAATGTGTATATTGTAGTTTAATTGCATGAGAATAACCCTCACTTGTCAACTACATATATGTATATATAAATTTCGTTTAGGTTAATATCAACTACGGAATGTTAACACTCGGAAATATCCGCTTGATGAATCGATCCTATACGGTTACGATTTGTCTGCTCATAACATAGATTTCCTTTAATGCTATCATTCTAATGTAGTTTGTATCTTTTTCATCCTAGTCCAAATTGCATTACATTTTGCATACGAAACTCAGGGAATTTCTTCGGTCGGGTTGTTCAGTGCAAAAAAAATTGAAATAGATACTAAATCAATCAATCAGTTGATTGATTGATTGATTGTAACGTAATCTTTGTTCTGCCCTATTTTATGTATCAGCATTGTTAACTTTTAAAAGCCGGAAGGCCTTATCGTCAGAAATTGGATAAACTAACCATTAAAATAGAAATTCTAATACCCCAATAAGAATTATTCATAATATTAATAACAAAATTTGTTTTTTATTAAGGAGATATAGAATGTCCATTGGAAGGGACATTCAGTCTTAACGGACCACAGTTTTCACTATTTTCAGTTCAGGTAAAAAAGAGTCTTTTCTTTGAAATAATTTTATTTATATGTTTGTTATTACTCAAGAAAACCGATCGAAGCAAAATTTCACTTTTTTTCAAAATTTATCCACTTTCTATTTCAAAATAAGGTCTGACGGTGGGGACCTCCGAGTATTTTGTCGACATTATTAGTGAAGAAAAGACAGTGGTCTTATGATCACACTGGTAGCTTTGATTTACAAATATAGCAGCTACAGAATGCTTTACGAGAGCAAATTCAAGACTATCATGAACGGTTCAGGGCTGAGACGAGCTAGATCCCTCCACTGAAAACGGGAAAAAATGTGGGAATTCTTGAAATTTTTCGACGGCGAGCTGAAGAATTAAGTTTTCCTTGATGCTTCTGTGTAACAATATTTAGTATGATAAGAAATCGATGAAAACTAGCTGATATGATAATTAAAGGTTGTTAAAATTTTTAGTCCGCCATGACCGAATGTTCCTTCTAACGTAAGGGACATGGTCTTTATGACATCGCAGTTCATCAACAGACCAATCGAAACAACATCGTTGGATGATTTCATAAGATAGAGTAACGATGTGCCGCGAAGATGCAACTTGAAAAATAGATTTTCTTCCAATATTCATCAGTAAAAAAACGTTTCAAAATAAAAAAATTGATATTTAAAAAGTTATCAGCCTTAAAAAGCGCATTGTTTTCTCCAACAATTCCTGAGATTTGTCTTTACTCTTTTTTTACGATCTACCAGATCATCTGAGTCGAGGAAAATAAAAAATATTGTGCATGCACTAACATTATGCGTTTTTTTCAAGTTTTCAAAATGTCCCTTGGAAGGGACATTCGGCTTTCAAGAGTTAATAATGATGAAATTCATGTGGCTACTATCGTTGCGCATAAAAGTATTGCGTGTATAAATGAAAACTATGGTGAACGAAATAGGAGGATCAAATGTAAATATAAACAGATGTGTTATTCAGAAAGGTTTTATTAACACACTAGGCACAAAATATGGAAATTAAAAAACAAAAAACAAAAGCGAGAACATATTTTCAAGTAGGGTTTTTCAAACGTTGTTGACGAGCAGTCGTTCCATTTAGTATTTGACGTGATGAAAGCCGCTCAAATGGCGGAGGTCGGATGGTTAAATTAGGTGATGGATCAACAACACTTGAAAGTTTTTCATTGGCGATCCGATGGCGATGGTGACTAATATTTAGTTGCTGTTGTTGTGGTAATTGAGATGCATTTGATTGAGTTCGGTTGATTTGACGTCTCTGAATAACATTAACTTGCTGTTCGGTTGACGTTGTCGAATGGTGACTATTGGTACGACGCACTAAATTATTTTGTTTGATTGTTCCTTCTGCTCGTGATTGATGTATTCGAGTTATATTCGATGTATCCTAGAATGAGAGAAACAAAAATGATTAATTTTGCCACTTTTTCGGATAAATAGAATTTACTCTTAGTGTCGGTTTTTGTCGTGCTGCCATCGACGTATGACGTTTGATACTGACTTCATTGGGAGGAGCTGCCATTCCTTCAATATTCATTCGTGAACGAATTTCATTAAGATTTTTTTGTAATTGTTGAACATTATTTTGAGCACGTCGCTTGATCGATACAACAAAATTTAGAAGTCGATGTGCTGTTGACGGTGTTTCAGTGAGACCAGCTGCAGAACGACTCTGCGGATTAAAACTCATTTTACGATGATGATGATTATTTATGGAACATGTTTCATCATAATAATAATCGTCATCATGAACAATTGCTGAACTTGTCGGTAGTTCATCATATTTTTCAAGTTCGGCACGAACTTTCGTTGCTGCCAATGAATATTTCATGGCCGACGCTTTCTTTTTCTTTTTCTCATCCATTTGATTTGGATTGGGCTTTACCTTTTTCGGTATATCTTTCTTTTTACTTGTTGCTCGTATATAAGCTTCTTTGAGTGCAGTAATTCGATTCCATACGCGATGATCACCACGTGTACGTTGAAGCATATTATGAATGAAATCAACATCGGTCTTGTCCAAGCCTAATGCTAAACCAGGAAAACGACGGCTAGGCGGTGGACTTGGTGGTAAAGGTGGCGGTGGCGGTGGAGGAGGCAGAGGAACTGATGGTGTTGAATGAGTAACATGAGATTTTTTATTGGATATTTTTCGAACTGGTATTCGTTGTACAACAGATTCAGTTTGTGAAACAATTGTACTAGAACCGCTGACTGTAGTCGATGCAGCGGATTTTGGTCGACGGCGTAAGAGAAAATCTTCGAATGTATCATGAGTGAAAAATTCTTCTTCCTCTTCTTCTTCTTCTTCTTCTTCTTCTTCTTCTTCTTCGTCATCTTCATTTGTTGTTGTACCCTAAATTTAAGTAAAACGAATGTACATGGCCGTCGAGAAAACAAAGATCAGTTTTGTTTCGGTATTTACCTTATGATCAGATTCTCCATTCTCTGAAGCTGAACAAATTTGTGGAATTGCCTCTTGTTCTTTTTGTTGGCGTTGCTGTTGCTGCTGCTCGTCGGGTTGCGATTGATCGCGACCATTATGATTTGCTCCTCGATACCAAGAAAATACTCGATCTCTCAATGCTCCATTAAATTGCATCGCGCGTTCAAGTACGCCTCCTGCTGATGGATGATGAATATTCGTATTTATTCTATTGTTTAATGAAATCGGTTGTTTTATTTCATTATAAGTATGATCAGATAGTGGTCGTGCTGTTCTCGTTGACTGGCTTAATTGATTTCCATCTAATTTCATTTGTACAGCGCGTTGCCGTCGTCGTTTACGTAACGTACGTCGCCAACGATCATCTAAAACCATCGGATGGCGAACTGCAGTAGTCGAATTTGAACGTGAATTTTGTTGTCGATTTGCATTCAGATTATGATTATGATTATGATTATGATTATTACTAACAGATCCTCTTGCATTACCGCGTGGCCCGATTGAACCACGTAAAGCAACAGAACCGCGTAGACGCCGTCGTCGCGTGCCATGCAATAATCGTCGTTGACGCGCATTTAAAAACGATGGAATATTTTCCGATGGATTTATTGACATTTTTGTACGATATAGATCACTTTTATCACCACAATTAGGAGTCATGCTGACGTTGAGTTCTTTGATCGTCTAAATAAATAAAATTTTTATTGTTTTCTTTCTCATGATCAATGAACCCTACTTGAACACTACTTGTATTCGAACTAGTTTCGAGAACATTAGCTTCATCACCATCGTCTTGTTCTTTTTCATCTGGAGATATTAGAATCATTGATGATAGACTATGAGTATCTTGTTTTTGTTCATTTCTTGGCGGGATAGCAGGCGGTGGTGGTGACATTTGAATAGAAAATTGAACTTGTTTAGTCGTACGTGTTGGAATAACTGGTGGTTTATCATCGTGGTATTGTAAATTAATATAGATATGTTCAGATGATACTGGAATAATATTGTCATCGAGTATATTGAAATAGGATGGTGATCGTTCGGCTTCAATAGTAATTGCAGATGATGATGAAGTTCGTTTTAAAAATTTTGTTTGTGAGTAACATGGTGGTGGAGGTGGCCGACGTGTTTTAATATTTTCGTATATTCTACTTGAATTCGTTTTTGCACTTTTATTTTCTATATGAATCTCTTGATAATGAACATGATTTGTTACTTGATCAGAACAAGTCGATGGTCCGGCTGATGTTGTATTCATTAATGTAGCATAAGTAACTTCATTTGAAAGGGTTAGAGGCTCTGATGGACGTAGCGGTGGTGGCGGTTGTAGTGGTGACGGTAGTGAATTTGATACAGGCATGTTAATGTAAACGCCTTGAAGAAGGCCGACAACTGGCGCTCGAGCTTTTTTCTTGAATTGAGTAGCAAATGAAATTGTCTGTTGTTTCGTATTATCATGACTTCGAATCGAAGATACTGTATGACAATTTGTATATATTCGTGTCATCGTTTCTGCTGAGAGGGGTGTCATTAGTGGCGATGGTTGTAGTGATGGCGGAGAGGGTAGTGGTGGAGACACACAATAGAATAGTTCAAGAGCATTATGTCGGTTATCATATGGATCAGGAGTATTTGCATACGATGGTAAATCAATGTCCGATGGTAATGGAGGAAATTCTTCTTCTTCTTCGTCTTCATCGTCGTCATCGTCATCAGCAGATTCCTCAATAGAATTCTCGAATTCCATGTTTTGTTCGTTTGTCGACGTTGAATTCAATGTTTCAGTGAACATTCGTTACACACCCACCTATCTCTTGTGTATGTACATATGATTGAGTCCGAATTGGTAATCGTTTCCTTCCTTCTCTTTGCTTTTGTTGTTCGTTCATCGTCATTAGAAACGAAAAAGAACAATTATATACTATCGTCGACAAAGTCAATTGTAAATAAATATTCTTATGTCATACGTTTCTTATGCGAAGACATGAAATAGAGAGACGACAGTGACCAAATATATACATATGTTTAATATATTTCTTGTTTTAAGTGAAACAGACATTCACCATAGTGTGATCGAACGATTGAATAGATTAAATGGTTGAAACATAACTAATCCATGAGCTGACTATAAAAGTTCTAGATCTGTTATTCTCAAAGGATAATTCATAAAAGTGATTATCAATAAAGAAGAGATATCCATGTTAACTTCATAATCCTTGACGAGTAAATAGTTCGTGAAACATCCGGCAACTGGTTCAGCGAGTAAAATAGAAGACTGCGTAATTACAAATTATTAACGATACAAAAAAGAAATGAATGAATTAAAGGTTAGACAAAATGATGAACACGCATAGAAGTATTTATATATAGAAAAGTTAAACATGCAAAATCAGTCGTATAACAAAGCGAAAAGAATCGTTTTTAGACACGATCAATATTTATAATTACATAGATGTGTGATTTAATATCAGGGAGAGTTTTCTTTAAATTCTGATTTAGTATTCTTTTAAATGAAATATTTTCTTCTGTTGTTTGTTCTTGCACTTAGTCATGAATATAGAGTACGGATGATAAGTATGAAAAGAAGAGAAAATTTAGTTTATCAAATTTCATGTAAAAAACGCAATGACGTATCAACTACTATTCTGGTTTTGCCTGCTTATCTTTCATTAAAGAAAAGCGTAGTATAGAAGACTTTGACTTCATTGTAACATTAATAATGATAGTCGTGAGTATTTACGTATTCATTATTTTCAATATTCATATAGTTAAAACAGATGATTGTCAATATTCGACCCCTGAGGGGATCTTCGATTTGAGAACGTTTGGTTATAAAAATCAACCAAAATATAAAAATGTCGCTGCTAGTGGCTCACCGTTCCTTAAATTTTCATTTAATGGCTGTTTTCCGTATTCAACAACAGATACTTGTAAAAATGCTGCTGCTTGTGTTAGTAAGGGTTTTTTAATTTTACATTAATCGTAAAAAAAATGTCTACTACTATTGTTGAATTATTTTAATTCAGCTGATCAAATCACAAGTACTGATATGTTGATCGCTCGTCAAGTAAATCGGAAATTTACGTACGCTCATGGTATAATAACCATAGTCTATACAGATGGAGCTGCCAGTACGGTCAATGTTTTTCTCATCTGTAACGACACGGAATCGGCTCAAGCTGCACAGATCAATGACAATACTTATTTGTTCAATATTGAAAGTAAATGCGCTTGTCCTGGCAAATGTATATACACGCCAGACGAATCATCAGGTGGTTTAACAGGTGGAGCTATTTTCATAATAATTCTAGTTTCTGCGATGGCAATTTATGCTATTGCCAGTGTTATTTTCCTTCGATTCGTAAAACATGAACAAGGTATTAATCTTGTACCAAATCGAAATTTATGGTTACAACTAGGACATGATTCAATTCATGGCGTGAGATTTCTTGTTGCGAAAATTCAGCGAAGAAATACATACGAAGAAGTTTGAAAGAAAAATAAAAGAAAATTTCTTGATCATAATGTTCCTTCTGCTTTTATTTCTTTTTCTTTTGTATTCTATATAATCACATTTATTATTATCTTGTAGCCATTGTAACAATGTTTATTATTCTTCTTCTTTGTAGTATTATTATTCTTTGTGAAAATGTTTGTTCCGAGACTTGGCTTCTCGATTTGTTATTTATTTATTTTAATTATTCAAAGAGCCGCTAGTTCATCTTCATGTGTTTATGATGTTGATCATGGGCAAAAACTAGATATTCGTACTCTAGGAAATTCCGATGGTAAACGACCTAAATATGACAACATCCCAAATACAAGTCCTGTTAAAAGTAGTCTCAGTTGGAATGGATGTTTTCCTTATTCAAAATTTGATGGTGGCAGTTGTAAAGACGCTGCAGCATGTCTTAGTAAGCCGAATAAACTTGTTTTTCTTCATTCTAATATATGTTACAATGTATAGCTAGTACGACAACGGGTCAGTCAGCGCTCATTGTGAGACCCAGTGCTGTGAAATTCGAACCTGAGGAAAACGTTAATCTACTTGTTTATCAGTCGGGCGAAACAACTCTTACTGTTTATTTAACCTGTGCTGATATCGATGAGGATAAAATAAATTCCCGGCAAGATAGTCCAACAATATTTAATATCTATCTTCAATCTCGATGTTGTTGTCCTGGTAAATGCCATTTTTCAACTCAATCTGGATCTCTAACTGGTGGTGCTGTATTCGTTATTCTATTGGTTTCTGTTCTATTCGCTTACATTGTTGGTGGAATGTTATTTTTAAAGTATGCTCGTGGTGCTACTGGTACTGATATCATACCACATCGTATGATATGGTTAAATGTAGTATCATATGTACTAGATGGACTCAGATATACTCTTCAAATTATTCGACAAAGGGGTCTAAATGTTGATTATCAAAAAATATAGACGAAGAGAAAAAGAAAAAAGAAAAGAAAATCATTCAGTTACATTCTTTTTTGTATAGAACTTATCGCTGATAATTATTGTATAAGAATAAGGGGGGAAAAATGAGAAAAACAGAAAAAAAATCTGAGTGATCTTCTTCAAATACCCGAATATAATTAGCAAGAGAGAAAAAGAAGAAGAAGAAGAAGAAAAAAAGATTTTCATGAGTGATAGATGCATACAAGGCAAGTGTTAACAGTAGACATCAACAAACGAGTAATTGGAGAACGAACCATAGATAGAGAGGAAAAATGGAAACGATGATATTTCCGGTCGGGCGTATACTTCTGGACGTCTCATTTTCATAATCGAAACAATTTTTGTTCGAGTTTGACTAATAATAATTTTAAAAGAACGTAAGTAAGTTGAAAATTCTTCTACGTGTTGAACTTTTTATGTGCGCAATTGAAATTATATCAACATATATGACTGGAATCAATGAAGAAAAAGAACAACAGAAAGCTGTGTTAGAGATTTTTGCCTTTCCCTTGATTCGTTCTGTTCAATAGAGTTCATGGATGTGTGTTTGTGCGCAAGCTTGTGAACAATTTGTGTAAATAACGCCAATAGGGACTGTGCTAAATATGATTGAATATAAACAATATGAAGGGCGAACATGTCGATTGACATGCATGGGACAGCTAGGATTCTCCTTTATGAATCCCATATGTGGCAAATTTTTGTATAATAAGTTATGTATCATTTTATGTCTGCTTGACCGGCACTCCTATTATGCGAACATCATTTTTCTGTGCAAAACTAAATCAGTTGTTCACAATGACGTTGTCGGTCACAAAAATAGAAAACATCAGAGAAATACAAAATCTTTTCATCTGAGAATTAAAGCGAGAGAAAAAAAAAGGCTAATATTCGTGTAATACTCTTCCTTATAATATTATTTTCGCCTCCTCGTTGTTTTGTGGCGTAGTAACCTTCTCTCCAGGCGTTTCTGTTTTTTCTGTCTGATGCATGTATGCATCGCATTTGAACTACTTTTAGATGTTGTTAACTGAAAAAAAAATAATGTCCATTGGCTAATGTCTGATGTTGGCTTGTCATCTACGTTTAATCTTACGTGGCCGAAATATATCAATGAAAACATGTACGAAACATCAACTAATCATAGCGATAATGAAATATCGTCAGATAGAAAATTATCCAAAAATCTTTGGGTAATAAATCAATTTACTATTGCTCAACGAACAGTTTTTATACTGTCGTTTGTAAGTTTACGGTTTCTTTCTTTTTTACACTTCTTCTGGTTAATCAATCAAATACGAGATAATGTGAAAATGTAATATTAAATAGGTTGAGAGAGAGAGAGAGAAAGTAATAATGAATAATTACTTTGGAACATGAAAATGTACGATGAACTTGCTTTTCAATGGCAAATTTTGATGTTTGATGAATATTGACAATGCAAAATTAATGTTTTTTTTTTACAAATCTATTTGCACGAGCAAAACTAAACTATTTACCCTGTAAATTGAATAGATGGTTGCTTTCTAAGATATGAAATGTAGATCGGACAATCGACTTTGAAACTCGATACAGTTTAAGAAGGTTTCGCCTATCGTTTTTTTCTTCTTATAAATCGTTCACAAGAGGATTTATCTCTAAAAATTATAAGACCGATTAAATATTTTTAGCAATTGCATATAATTGTATTCATACGCAAGAAAGAATTTGATTATTTAATTTGCGCTTCTTGTTTTATCTTAGTCCGATTAATGGTTTATTGAACCATGAAGATTAAACTTTTTTTATAAGTTTTGTTTAAATATTTCTCAAACACAAAGAATACGAAGTTCCTGAGTTCTTTTCCATTTTATTTCAATGCCATAATTGATAGTTAATTGATGATTAATTCATTCTAATTTCTAATATGTAAATATCTGTAATTGAATTTTACTTCGTTTCTTTTTTCCTTCCATAGATTATTCTTTTTTGGATTCTATTTATCTCAAGCTATGCACTAAGTCGTGTTATTATTCGATTGTTTTCGAATTTGAAACGTTTTCATTTCCACCACGATTTAACATCCATATCAAGCGATAAAATTAGTCGTGCATTTGTTATATCATCGACTCAATACGGTTCATTTCGTCCAACACATTTATCATCATCATTATTGTATCGGTCGGACAGTCTTTTCTCAAATAGTGATTTCATCTTTAACAATGAACAAACAACATCACAAAAATCTCTCAATAGAATTTCACAATCAAACGAAAATAATTCTAACTTATTAGAATATTATTTAAACTCGTATAATCCCTTAAAAATTGATTTAAAGGATAAAAAACAAGATATTGTTACAGTGTCAACTATTAAAGATGAACTTCATGAAAAAGCACCCAGTGACACCGACACATGCCCAATTGCTAATTGCTATTCACTGATTGGTACAAGTAAACGAAAAATACACTACGGTAGACAATATAGTCGTCTTAACGAACCAGAAAACTGCTCGGCAACAATGAGTATAGCCGACGACCGACTGTCTGAATGTAGTACAAAATTAACTACTATCACATTGCCTACACTGATGATCACAGATTGTTCAAATAGCCAACGATTACATACAGATATCATCGAACTTGATGAAGATGAGAAGGAAAAAAACTGAATATTACATTTTGATGTAGTTGACCTACTTATGTGTGTATATATATATATATATATATTTGTATGAATGTCATTTTGTTTTTTCATTGATTGATAGCATTGGAAAAAAAGGCAAAATATCAAATGAATTCATCGATTACTTTCATGGATTTCTGATAAAGAAATCGTTTGTTTGCATGATCACCAGAGGATGATCATATTATCGAGCACAATAGAAATACTGAATTTCTTTCCTCTTGTCTGTCGTTCATTGTACATGAGAATTTATCTTGTCAAATGAGCAATCACGTTCTTCTATTTCCGGAGATGACAGGTTCATGTACAGAAGGGTCGGTTTGCTTTTGATGATCGTTTATGGATGTCACGGTGTTATTATTGTTCAAAGTAGCGCTTCATTTCTATGCCTCGTATATTAATTTTATGCATCACATTTTTATTTTATTCTTTTTAAATGCCCTACTGTGTCGATCAATGACGAACACAATGGCGTCATGACTGAATACGATACGATCGATTTCTTTTCTTTCTTAATTTTGAAATTGCACTTTTCACGTTTATTGTTTGCTTGGATTATGGGGGCCTGATGACTGTCTAACATGTGTGCGTATGTATGTCTTCTTCTTGGTTCTCTTTTCATTCATCTAATATAAAGTTTAACGAGACAAATAGACCATTGTGTGAATAAATTGACGCGGCGACTGGTCAGAGTGAGCACGAGCAACCTTTCTTCTCACTATTGGCAATTTTCTTTTTCTTATTTTTGCCACCCTTCCTTCATGTTATTCTTTAATTGAACACATCAACCTCCTGTCTGTCGTACGCACATCGCCATATATAAATTCGCGTTCGTATTGAAAAAAGAAAGAAACAGGAAGAAGAAAACTTCCGCATAAATATATGCTTTCAAAGGACACACTGATATGAGTGATCTTGTTTGTTGCTCACGCACTCACACGCATCTATTCACTCTTTCATACGAACGAAAACAAGTAAACGCGACTTGTAACTGGCTCATTTCTTTCGTTTAGTAAGTTTGAAGACTTTTATCGTCAATGAACCTTGTCGATTAACATCAGCGATAATCTAATGACTCACATCGAAGAAAAACTTTATCTACGAAGCATATTAGATGCTATCGATGAAGTATATAAATTGAAAAATCATCATCATCATCATCATCAACAGCAAACATCAACATACGAAGAACGTTTAACCGCATCGTTTAATAAATTACTCGTTCCCGATTGGTACAATCATGATTATACGTCAACAAATGAACTGCGTAAAACAAAATCTCACGGACAAGTATCTCGTACAAAACGACATGAATACAAGACTTCTGATCTATCATTATCGTCGTCCAATAATTCAACACATCTCTCTAATGGTAAACATCGGCATCGATCACCAAGTCGATCTAGGTCAGAACGACCATCATTGAGAAATAATTCGACAACATCTAGTTATGATACAAATGAAAGTATTATTATTCATAATCGACGTTTGACTAATTCTCATGAAACATCAACATATGTTCCTGGACTGCAGCGTGTTACTCAATCATCAACTTGGTATAAACCAAAAAAGTTTATTATCAATGATAATAACAATGGTCATTCGATTCAGCTACCCAAACCTTTACCAAGACATTCAAAAATAAGTAAGTGAAATTTGATTATAATCCTGATACCGAATGTCAAACAACTATTAGATAAAAATCTCAAAATGTAAATCACTTTTTTTCTTCTTCTTCTCTAAGGTGTTACCTTTCCGCATTGATGATATTATGCATTCGAATTATATAACACGATAGATTAGATATGCTTTATTATGATTCGACGTTCACACACACACACACACACACACACTCGTATATGCGTGTTTCGTTTTGCTTTCGTATTTGTTAGTGTTCAAAAACAAATCTATACATTTTTTGAAAGACTTCTCGAATGAAGCACAATAATAGTTTGAATACGATAAATTAGATTGAAGTTTTATTCTTACTGCATTAAAACAAAGCTACGAATGAATGGTACTCAATTTGAAGATTTTAATGGAATATTTATCCTTTTGAATAATAGGCAGACTTAGACAAGAATAGTCTATTGTTTAAAGTACGATAAATAACATGTCAGAAGCAAAGCAAAAAATGCTAATAGCTAAAAATAATGAACTGAAAAATTAAATTGTAGTTGAGAAAAAGAAGAAGTGCTTTTTATGAAACCTAAAATTATCATATCCGTTTTAAACATGACAATGTCGTTTTGAATATGATCATTCATTATGATAAGCTCATATTGACTCTGAATTGCATTTGATTCAAATAATAGAAATTGATTTCGACAGATATATCACGTTCAGATAGCATCCGTTAGTTCGGAGATGAAAAGGCAAACGTGGTAGAAAGCTTCTTTTCTCGTCTATATGTCGATTTTCTGCTTATATATGTCATGTTTTATGTATATCAATCTGTAATATCGCCCGAACATATGTATTCAATCACTAATATCTTTTCCTTTCTAGATCTTTTGTTGTTGTATATCTAATATTTTCTTGACTTATTGTAGTCTTCGTACGATATCTCACTTGAATTGTAGATGCTAATTTAATGCAATATGAAGATAAACGTGCTTTGTATGGGATCAAAGAAAGCAATCGTATTGATATTGAGTGTTCTCTGTGTTTAGATGCCAGGGCCAATCTATCGATGATTGATCGAGAAATAGTAAATATGTCTTTATAACAACCAAAATAGGGTCGAGCCTATTTTTCATCGAGTAATGGAGGGAAAAGAAAGAACAGTAACTCACACAAAAGTCTAATGTTAATCTGATGATCATGAAATAGAATGTTTGTGTGTGTATAGGCGTCAGTCGAAAGAGAATTAAGAGTTTTTCTTAGATTCAACACTAACACCATTGTATTCAGATGTTATTCTTGTCACTAGCTATTACTTCTAGGGCTTGTCTCGTCATCGTATTCTTTCCCGTGTAGGCAAGAGAACGATAGTCCGAATGTGATATACACTCGACAATTTTGATGTATACATATGCGTTTCAAAAAAGAAAAAGTGTGTATGCTCATAAATAACAGAACGGACTAGAGTAAGTAGTAAAAGAGAGAAATGTCAATGCACGTTTAGATGGTCTGGCATCAACATGCATTGAAGAAAAAAACAAGAGTACATGACGATTCAAAGTTTTTCTTCTTTCTTCTTTTCTTCTACTCGATCGACCAGCAGCTACTAGTCGTTATTGTTAAAGAAGAAAGATACGAAATGGTATGAACAAGTGCCAGAGAAGAAAAAGTCTTACTATTTGTTCGACGAGTCACCTTTTATATTCTCTCTCTCTCTCTCTCTTCCTCTCTCTGCATATAAATATATTTGTCTATGTCTGTGTCGTTTGAGTGCCAAGCATTGTGCATACGTACATGTATCCACCTGTCGACTGAGTCTCTTTCTCTTTCCTATTCTCATCATAGTATATTTGTTCATTGATCATCAAGCTAAAAGTAAATAGCACTGAAACTAAAGCGTGCGAAACTTTTTTTCTCCTATTCATCGTTAATACGTTGATATTTATTTTCTTCGGTTTTAGTTGATTACATTTTCGTATTTTGATTTGATTGCTATTATCGATATGGTCACAGAAACCTCAGCGAGAAAAAACAAAGGAAGCTCGATTATTTCATTTTATAAGGTTTACGCACACAAATCTTAGTACATATTTATGTTATCTTGACGACCTTCGAATCGAGAATATGTATACATTAAGATCAATTGATTCCTATCTCGTTTTTTTCTCTCTTCACGAAAAGAAAAACGCACGTCTCGACACATTAGAGTTAACTTCTCTCTTGTTTCTTTTTATTGCATGCTAATGTGCTTTGGATTCTTTGAAAATAAGTGAAGCTAATAATATTCTTAAAATTATTTTCCCAACGTTAAACTTCTCGTGCCGTTTTATCTTAGATCAAGATTCGACAAGTTCAACTGATTATTCTTCGTTGTCGTCAACATCAAATATTCTAATTACTGATCATCTTGTTTCTAATGAAACTATTCGACATCCCTTAAAACCAAGAATAATGTCTCAAGCACCAATACAAATTGTTGAAACCAATGAATCATCATGCCATGGTGATGTAACCATTGTTCAAGAACGTAAGATATTAAAAATTTATGATGCGAATTATTGGTAGTTGAGTTATAAAAAGTAATATCAACTCTTGATATTTCTTAATCAATTACGTTTTACGACAGAAAAATCTATTTGCAAATCTTTATTTTACGGACATATGTGAAAAAGGTTATGAGAAGAGAAAAGAAGAACTTGCATATTTTTACTAAGATCAATATGAAAAAAAAATGTTGCATTACTATATATTGTAGCTACATCGTCACGGACTGTTGGCATCCCGTCATCGACGCTTACTACTGATCCTGATATTATTAGTAGTACTGCTAATTCAAACAACAACATGAGTCAATCTATGACAGTAAAAAAGTGTTCTAGAGATTCAAAAAGTAGTGTTTCATCCGATGTTGAATCTTTTCATTCAATGGTTTTACCATCATCGGATAAAAATCTTCAAGCAACAGATTCATCTTCTTATGCCAGTATAAATGAACAATGTTTATCGTCAGCAACATCATCCTATCATACAGCAATCGCAACAGATGACATGTCGTCAACAACTGATTATGAAACACCTACGCTTAAGTTAGAGAATGAAATATTATCTGCACATAGTTCAATGTCAGATTTAAGTAACGCTGAAACACTGGAACCGAATGTTGATGGTAAGTGACTGCGTAGATTGATTCGATGAGTATATTATCTAGATCTTTATTTATGAAAACAATACTTGAAAAAAATAGTCAATTGTGTTGATATGAAAGACAAAAGGAAAAGAGAAAAAATCCTTTTACCTTGAATAAAAGAAAAAAATTCTTCAGCATATTCATACAGAAAAAGAAATGAGAAGAGTTATTGTTACTTTTTTTTGATCGAGTTACCGCGTTTAGATTACAACTAAGGTAAGAGCAAACTCTGATACCTTTTTTTTCTATTTTCTCAATAACATAAAATAAACTTTCAATGGTATTTTCATGTTTATTTATCTACAGAATAAAATAAAGATTTGTACTGTAAAAGAAAAGGAAAAGAATAGAGTAGAGTAGAACACTAACTGTGAGGAATGAATTGAAAATAATATTTCTTACATATACGTGTATATATATATATATATATAAAGAAAAATATTCAATGTATGAAGAACGTAAGTCAAATAGTAAGTTACAAGAGAAAGAGAGAAAAGAAGAAAAGTAATCTTCGACAGCAGAGCTTTCAGCACTTGAGGCAGTAAAGACTGAAAAAAACATTGTTGTAGTTCTCTTTTTATTCTTCGTCCATATACAAACAAAACACAGGCACTCGTTTTTCGTCAATATTGTAGTTGCAATAACATACTTTTCAAACTGGAAGGCCGATGTAAACTAAAACTGTTAGAGATCGTTTTTCTTTTTTCTTCTTCTTGTTAATGATCGAGTGATGAAATGCGCGTGCCAATGACTTTTTTTTGGTGAAACATTGGACACGAAATGACCACTAGTTACTTTTTTCTTACTACACGTAATTCATTTTCCGGTAATTAAATGTCTGTACGGTTATAGACATAAATACATAGATGTGCGCGTCATTTTCTTATCTTCGTTACCTGATATAGGGGAAATACGGTAACCGTAATAGCGTAAATGTTCAGCGTCACCAAGAATGCAGAAACAAAAAAAATTCAGAGCGACGGATTCTGCCGCATGCGCGCACATAAATGGGCACGACATTTTTTTTTCTCCTTCTTCTTCTTCTTCTTCTTCTTCTTATCTTTGCTCACTTCTTCTTCCTTTTTTTCTCTATTCTAACAGACCTCAACATTGTCGTCATTTCAAAAGAAGAACAAAAATCCGCCATCATCCCTCCAGTCAACGTTGGCATGGAGAATTTACCATTGCCACATATTTTATGTAGCACTTCGAGTCCATCACCATCACCCGCACTAAGTGATAGTTCACCGTCTACTGAATCTCGTCCTATTGAAAATAATAATTGGTATGATAATGGTTCGATTGACACATGTATTCATCAAACATCACTTCAATCGCCAACAATAGAATTACGTGAAATAGATTTAAATGTTGTTGGCGATGAATTCTATTTATTTTCTCCGCGTAATACAACCGATGATGAACCATCAAGTTCAATGAGTGATGATAAACACGATCAAGAATTCGAACAATTATTTAATTCAAAACAAATGCCAACACATTTATATTCAAACGAAAATGAAACGACGGATGATGTTCATTTTTTCGATGAATTTCATTGTTCATCAACAGTTGACCCGTTTGGTTATAAACATAATAATAAATCGGCAATGATAACAAATTTAGACGATCTTCCAGCTGATTACGATAATTCAGGCGAAGACGATAATGATGACGAAGGAAATCATTTAAAAGATAGATCAACTTATTTATTAAATACAAATTATCGTCGTCCAATTCAAGAAGATATTTTATATGAAGTTGAACATGAAAATAGCTATTCTGATAACAGTCAACAAACAACATCGCTAATTCTAGCTGACGAGAGCGTACGTATTTGTCTGCTTTGCTTCTATTTTTTTGCCTTGAAAATATTAAGGCAACGGTTATATATTAGCCAGATGTCTTCTTATTGACATCTGTGTATATCCTAATTGATCTTGTTTAGACATCGATCAGCATTGATCCGAACTTGGACTTTCTGACAACACTCGAGGAACCGAGCACAACTGATATCAAGCAAACATCATTACTAGAAACAATTTTACAATCTAACCAAATGAATTCGTCATTGAAACAACCAGAAAGTGAACTGAAAACATTACCAATAAATATTCCACCTTCGCCAATGTATACATCAACACAAAAATCTTCATCACTTCATACTGATATATCGACTTATCCGAGTATCCACAATTATGAATTATCAACTCATCAATATTCAGATTTCGCTCTATCATCAAGTCCATCATCGTATACACCGAAGATTCGACATCGACATATTTCTGTTGGCTCCTATTATGATAATAAAACAACAACTGTAGCAATTCATCCAAATCATACACTTTATATACTTGGTAGTGCACCTGTTAGTCCTCTAAGCCGAACAGCAGCTTGTGAAACACATTATCATAGTCCAATATCATATGGAAATGCTTCCTTAAACACATTACGACGTATGACTCCATATTTTGAAACAAATACACTATTGCAAAATTATGATTATCAACAAACATTGTCATCTTCAAATAGAGACGATCAACGAAAGCCAGCAACTGTTCCATCAATGGAACAAACACAATCTGTATTTACTACTAAAACTGAATTACCATTAATATCTCCATCATTGCCGTTGCCACCTCCTCCATCTTCAATACATACGAGTTCAGTAATCGTTGAAGAACATGAAGAACCAGCACCACCGATTCTCGCCTCACCTTCGCCACCTCCTCGATTCGATGTACCACTTGTACGACCAAAAACCAGTCGCGGACGAGTACCGCCTATTCCACCCATACCACCGCCTCGTACAACATCTATAGACAAAGAACAGACTCAAAGCATCTCCTTCGAAATCGATAGTGCATCGTCAGATAATGAAAAAACAACAACAATAAATGATGATTTACAATTTATACGTGGTACAATAGAACGTGTTTTCGATCATCATGGTGAATCAACAACAAGTGAATCAAGTATATGCAACGAAGAATTATCAGACGATAAAAACGATGAATCAATATCAGAATCAAATAGTTCAAAAACATTATCGAAAAAAAGCGATCAATATCCAGCTGTCGAAGCTGTTCAACGTTTTTATCAAGCTAAGCCGTCATCGGAGGCTGAGGAAAAAAGTCCTAAACAACAAGAAACAAATATTGATAATGTACTGTCTAGTAATCATTCTTCAACAACCGGTAAATTATATTCTCGTTCAAATCCAATAAATATTCGAAAGAAACAGCGTGCAAAATCGAATTCAGCCGATGATGAACAAGCAAGTTCAGAAGAAGTGGATGATACATTGAACGATATTGAAGAAGATGATTATCAAGATGATAAATTAAAACGACAACCGAGAAACAATAGTTCACATACAAGTTATGAAAATTCACCAACACACTCATCGAATAATAGAATCAAACTAAACAAAGCATCGCAAGAAACACAAACAATGCCACGAGTAAGTCGGTTTTGTAAATTGAATAAATCATATCAACGAAATTGAATTAGTCAGGAATTTTTCATCGCAAATGAAATGAGATTTTCAAGCGACAATTTGACCCAAAGAGAAAAAATGCTATTTCTATTTTATTATTAAGTAGAAATGCTTTCTTCTGAACTAATCATTCTTTAATATTCTAATAGTCGGTGCTCGTAGCTTTGAAATGTTTCCGGTGTTCTTTTTTTGATTATGACACGTTTTTTTTCTTCTACGAGAAGACAGCGATTAGAGTTTTATACATGATGTCATACTTTATTTAAGAAATAAAAGTAAATTGAAAAAACATTTTCTACAGGTTTACGTAATCAGTTCAAATATTAATGCAGCTTCTACCGAATAGATTTTATTCTTACGATTCTTATGAATTACCGATGATGGAAAAGCTTTTTTTTTAAACAATCGGAGACTGTATTTTTCACATCGCAGAAGAGCGTCACAGCTCTTTTCTAACAATGGTATTAGAAAAAAAAACTCAGCGAGAGGCCGTTGCATTTCCTGTGTTCCTACCTTAGAAGATTGAAAGCAAAAAAAGTCCCGAAAGTAAAAGAAAATCACTGATAAATAGCCTAAAATCCTCTTCTTCCGTCTATTGTGATATTTAAAATTGTTCAAGTGAAGGTCATAAATAATGCACCCAATATCTATTTTGTTCGTTTTTTGCGGATGACATTTAGAAAACAAATATCTCACACAATGCCATGCGAACTTTTAGAATGCATGAGACACACAGGAAATCCAATTGACAATTTAAATCATAATTTCACGTCTGGAATAGTTACAAGCTTCAATGAAGGAGATTTTTCCGTAAAATCTACAAAAAATATCTTGATTTTCTTGTTATAAATCAGTTGCAATTGAGTCCGACAGACGTAGTCGTCACAAACTGTCCTAGCGACGCAGTATGACCTACGCATTTCATAGGAAAATTAACTAACAGCAAACTTAATTTTTAGGTCGATTAAGGATTTTTTCTCCTGACGAGATCAGCCTGACCTTCGGAAGCGATGCATAAATACTGACTGCAATGAGCTTATTTTTTTCCTCAATATTACCGTCGTTGCCCTTGGTTTTCATGTTGTGATAGCAGAGTGTGCCTTGTTACAACACACTTACAAAGGCTTTTTGTTGACACTGATTTATTGTAAGCCAGGCCTCACTGCGTCACTAATATATGCAATATTTAATCAGCATGTGCGCGGAAGTTTGTAATATTAATAGAGTCATTTCTATTCATAAAATATTCAGTTTCTGTGAAATCATCATATGATTCGTTTGCAATCTATCTATAGCGTATGTTGAAACTTATTCTATTCCCCAGAAACTTTCAGATCATGATAAAAAAATCGATTGTTTTCAGTCCAATATTTTGAATCCCTTGTTTCTTCTTGTAGCTCAAACAAACTAATATAACCGTTAACAGTGCATCGAGTTCTCAAACAACAATTCAATCCTATGACACAGCTAACTCAACTGTTCCACCAATTGATATAACTACACAAATGGTTATTGAACGAAGCGATAGTTTTGATGATGCTCAAATAGGTGAAATAACAGGCGATATGGTTATATTCTATGATGACATTGAAATAGTTGAACATTCATCAAATATAAGTACATCTGAATCTGATTCATTTTCATCTATGAGTAAATCTCTTGAAAACGATAAATTAAATGAACCAATTCCACCACCGATTCCTGCACGGGCATTAAAACCTGTTCATTTACTTGATAATCAACAACAACAACAGCAACAACAACAACAGCAACAACAAAAATCACCTGCCGTACAGCAATCTGAACCGATTATAATTTCAACATCAAAAATCAATCGAATATATGAATTAGAAAAATCTACAATACGTAAAAAATTCGATGTTAACAGTGTTAATACAATGATTAATCGTAATGATTATTTTATGGGTCCAATTGTAGCACATCGTCATCCATCGGCACGACATTTTGTTGGTAAATTAAATAATGATGATATCGCATCACGTAATTCAGCATTGGTAAATTCGAATACTGCGGCAAAACCATCATCAACAATGATTAAATCACAAACGCTACCACTGCAATATGCACATACAAATGGACATACAACAAATATTGTTCAAGATACGCCGACAAAAAGTTCTTTTTCAACATTACCAATACGAGCTGTATTATCAGCTGATACAAATGAAAAATCTCGTTCTCCTATTGCCGATACGAATGCACTAGTTAAACAAATACAAAATTCGCTAAGTCGAAATTCGTTACATGATACACAATTCAATTCACCATTGTCGATATCAACAAAAGATCTGCGTACATTTGTTTCATCAACCTATTCACCATCCGATGAAAACGTGATGGACGATAATGGAATTGTTCATGTACGACAACAAAATTCAACTTATTATGATGATCAATCATTTCAACGGCAAGCGAGATTATCAAAAAGTTTTCACAATGTATCCGAATATAGTAGCACTGATCAACATCCAAAAAATGATAATCATTTTATAGCACGTACACAACCATCGAAATCAGTCGAAAATAATCTTCACGAAGTTAGTTCAAAGCAAACAAGAAATTCACAAATGATCTTAAATTTTCCGCGCGTTGCTGCAAGTACTTCGTTTTCGACATTACCTCATTCAGACGATAATGCCAGATTACTGGTAAGAAAAATTCGAATATCTACCACCATTTTCTCGTTTTTTGAAAGAAGAATTCTTTCATAGTAATTAAGACTTTAAAGATTTTGTGGAACTCACATAGATTTTCGAAGAAAATAGTGAGTGTAAGTTGAATTGTTAGGTTTTTGCGGCTCCCCTGTACACCCTCCTTCCAATCTCCATTACAGACATAAAATATAAAAAAACTAACACTTAGATGTACTAATTAGAAACGTTTTTGGTACAGGTCGATTGCCTATGTTCATCACTACTCACATCAGCAATAAAAATCTAGTTTCACCAATTAGAAATCATTATAATTAGGATTTAATCTCTAATTAATCATCAAAATCTGTCGTTTTTATTATTATTATAGTCCATAGTTACGACAGTATTATATATTTTTATTATTACAGACGCTAGCAACTACCTTATGCTACTATTGCACTCGTTACTTCTACCCCCTACAATAAATAGATGAAGATTTTAATCTTTTTTTTCTCACACAAATATCTTAATCTAGAGCTTGAATCCACTTTAGTGTATTTACAATTCGTAACTTTTCCATCCACTGGGAAGCTTTTATCAAATTTTCGTTTATGAAAAAATGTATCAATTTCTCATCTGGTAATACGAAAAACTATAAATTTCTCAACAATATTGATAGCTATATCCTAAATACTGTTTAAACTATTATCATTCAGAATATTTCTCAATGAAACCACTAAACACTTCAGCATACTGACATATTTTAAACAAAAAGTTTTTCATACGTTCTCTCTAGTAATATTTCCTGTTGATAGATCCAATAAACTTCAAATGTTAAACAGGTTTTATTATCCTATTTTTGAACAAAATATGATCTCACTACACTGAAAAAATAAAACTTCCATTTGATCAGTATCTAACTGACTGAAATATGTGAGTTCCACATTTTAGCCCCAACGGGGCTGCGCTGACAAGCTTTTAATATTAGTACTCGATATTCAAAATTTAAGAAGTCGTCGGCACGCGAGGCTATCGGAAACGTTGTTACACATAACCTGATTAACAGGCTGATAAAGACTGGAACATGCAGTGATGTCCCCTGGGAGGTTTTTTTCAGGATTTTCTCAATGATAGACGATCATTATGTTAACAAATTTTTTTTCGAGTTTTCTATTGGTTGTTTATCGAGAAAATATAGACTTAAATGGTTCTGAGTAGTTGAATTCTAACGGAATAATCAAAAATTAATCTATTTGAATTTTTTGGAAGAAAGCTTTTTAACAGATACATATGATCATTAACAAAAGAAAATTGCTTTTCTTATTTCTTCTAGTCAATGAAATGGTATACAGGACAAGTTAGCGAAAATTCTGAAATATGTTATAATACACCTCATATTCACAATGAGGATCTGCTGTTTAATTACATATCTGCACATAGCAGTCGAGAAACTCAAATGTTACTTGCACGTCTTCAAACATCGACTGATACTCGTATTCATGCAGCACTCGATGATGTACGTTTGCGCGTAGCTCAATTCGATGCATCGAAATCTCCAGATGATATTCATATTTTTATGCGCTATCTTGAATCACGATTACGTGATATTAGTAGTAAGAATTTATCAACACCATCCGCCACAACTACAGCCGCAAGAACATCGAATCGTGTTAACGGTCAAAGGCGGTTATCAAATGGTACAACAGCAACAAATGGATATCATTCTCAACAACAACAACAACACCAATCGGATGCACTATCAATAAAAAGTCGAACAAATTCAATAGTAACAGGTGTTAGTAAAGAAACACCACCGCAAAGACAAGTTGGTCGACAGCAACTTCGATCGAATGGTAGCAAAGCAGGAGAAGGAGGAGCAAATGGTCACCAGCCACTACCTCCTCCACGACGAGCAAGTCAAACAAGTGTTAATCAAGGTATATATATATATATATACGAAAATAAATTACTTGATGCTATCATGTTAAAATTTTAGAAAATCCTGCTGTATTTGATGATATGTTAAATACAGTATTAGGCTTACCAAAAAAAGGAGTAACTACTCCGCCGCCACCACCACCACCACCACCATACCCTTCTTCTCAAAGGTAAAATTGAAACTATAATCAATACATAACGTCCGCAAAACGACATTTTTTTTAAATATCTTCAGTCGTGAAAAATTGACTCCTTTAGCGCACGCACAAATAAGCGCAAATACAATAGCAGTTAACAATCTTGGAAACGATATTGGTAAGCGTTTATTTGAAAGTGGTACTTATAAAGATCCTCGTTTAATTTATGATGTAAGTTTCATATCGAATTGACATATCCTAAATTGAAAGATGCATTTTATTTTAGGGGCCAAGACAAAATGAGAAAGAGGAACAACCTCTTGAAACATCTGTGTGACAGACGATGCTCGGATTGCAATAGCAAATGCATTCAAAGTCGCATTGGGATGTTTTTATTTAAATTGTGTGCAATTTACATGTTTCTCTTTCTCTACTGTGATATATATTTGTATAATTTTTTGGCAACTAATTATCTTCGTTTCGCAAAAATAGAATATTTAATCATAGAGACTGACTCTATGCATGTTTTATTTTTTAACTCGGTGTCGGTTTTTTATGTATAAACGACGCGTCTTCTTTATATACCTGTCTTTAATCCAGCCCAATTAATCGGATTAAATTTGAGTTATACATGGGCGAATTATTTTTCATTTGTTCTTTTCATTTACGTAATATATTATGCAACAAGATCTTCTTTTTTTATTGTATGTTACATGTGTTTCTCTCTCTCTCTCTCTCTCTCTCTCTCTCTCCTGTTCTTACGAGCGTATTAATGCTTTATTCGATGATCTGTTAGTTGCTATTTCCTATTTAAAGTTCATTTCTGCTTTCTGTCTGTGTATACACTTTTAGTGTTCACGTGGAGAATATTCTCTCGATGGCTGTTTGTTAAAAATTTTCTTCTTCATTTTTTTGCTATAAATTATAAGCATGCAAAATATCAAATTGGCTTCAGTAAATATTACATATTACAAGTTGTTATTAAAAAAATAATCAATGTTACACAGAAACTTACACCGATTTGTTCTCTTGCCTATCGATTACGGTTGAAACGAGAAGTTTTTCAAAAGAACTACTCGACCATTTTTATTATTTCGCGGAGAGATTGATTTATTTCAGATTCATTGCGTACCCTGCAGCTATTATGACCTTCAGATACGTATCATGATGGTTTCATAGATCAAATATATATTTATTTGATATGATAATGAATTTTTGAAAGGATTCTGAAATCGCAGAAGTAACTAAAGCTTCGTTCTATTTATGCATGGCATCGTTGAGTATCTAAATTTAGTTGGCATTATTTTCTAATATGAAAATAATACTTGCAAACGTTTATTGGCTGTATTTGCATAACAATCGAAATTTATGAATATTATATGTTGACAACTCTTTATCTTGGCAATCTTAAATGATTCTAAATAAGTTTCACTGTCACATCGTGTAAAGTTTCTTGAGATAAAATTTCAAACGATCATCAATACTAAGATAATGTTACTTCATCATAGTTGTACAGTGTTTTTTTCTTTCCAGGAGGTGTATTTCAGTTGAAATTTATAAGAAAATTACTCCTAATAGATTTTTCATGTAAACAGAATACGAACTATTTCGGTCAAGAAGTGTATCAACCAATAAAATGCTTGATGGTGTTCGTATGATACAATCCGTGAATGCATTATGCTTTTTCTATTGAGTGTTGCTTGCTCATGCAAATAAAGCAAACCAATCATGTGCATGTAATTACCTTATTTTTCTACTCTCTCATGTGCACTTCAATGCGACAAAATAATCATGACAATTAAGAAGTGTGTATTTTTTGTTTGTTTGATTTGGTATTGAATGACGATGAATGCAATTATTTATTTTTCTGCTTACATTCTGTTCCTTAATTGATGCACAGACACTTATTCGTCATTGCATCGGAAGTACTTGTGAAATAAATATTTCGAAGCAAGCTTTGGAGGCTAAAAACGAAATAGAAACGTACATCAAAAGAATCGCGAACTAAGAAAACTGTTGCAAAAGTGACTGAAAATAATACACGTCGAGCAACGACAGTACACTGTTTACATAGAAAGATCCACCAATTATGGACACAAATATATTAACAAGAGTGCCTACTAGTGATTCGTCGTCATCTTCGTCTAGTGATCAACCGAAGAATGTATCCACTTCGTCTGCTGTGAATGTAACGGAAGCAGTAACAACCACCGTCAACAACGATCCTGTGCTATCACAACCCGCTCGTCGTGGATTCCAGAATAGTATTCTTATCTGGCTCGATTCCAATATTGATGAAACCAAGGAATATTTTAAAAATGCTTTGAAACGTCTACGGCATGTAGTGCCATCAGCCACGATATTTACCGATTCTCAAGAGTGTCTTAATTTTATCAGTGAAATTAAACAAAAAAAAATATTTATGATTATTTCTGGTTCATTAGGACAATATATTGTACCAGCAATTAATGCATGGCCACAATTGGATTCCATTTATGTATTCTGTCGCGAACCAGCGTTTCATAAACAATGGAGCAAAATGATCTTGAAAGTAAAGGGCATTTACAACAGCATGAAACAGATCTGTGAAGCGTTGCAGATCGATCGGGACATCTGTGAGCGCTCTATGATCCCGATTACTTTTTGTGGCATCGATCCGTCGTTTATATATGTACAGTTATTGAAAGAGGCACTTTTACAAATCGAAAACGACGACACAAAATCTATGAAAGAATTCGCTGAATACTGTCGTCTTCGAGATGATATTTCTAAGAGTGAAATTGACAAAATCGAAAGAAAATATCAATCCCATAAATCAACTTACTGGTATATATCATCCTGCTTCATGTACAGCATGCTCAATCGTAGCTTTCAACTAATGGATGTTGAAGTTATAGTTAAAATGAATTTTTTTATTCAACATTTACACAAAGAAATTGAACGTTTACATCGTGAACAACAGCAACAACAACTGTCCACGAAGACCCCTCCAACTTGTTTCCGAGTTTTCCGTGGTCAAGGTTTATCATTGGAAAATTTCGAAAAAATGATAAAAACTGAAGGAGGACTCTTGTCTGTTAATAATTTTCTCTCGGCAAGTCGTAATTTGAATGCTTCTCTTCATAATTATGCATATCCGGCAACACGGCATCCCGATTTAATTGGCATACTGCTTGTGATAACCATTGATCCTAAAATTTGTGCAACCTCATCAATACATTTCGCTGATGTGAAAACAGTTGATCAAAATGAAGGACGAAGAGAAGAAGAAGAAATTCTTTTTTCCACACATACGATTTTCCGCATCGATCGAATTAAACGAATTCACGACGATCATACTGATAGACTATGGCAAGTAAATCTTACTCCTATTGGTGACGGTAATCATGATATGAATACGCTTACACTACGTTTACGACAAGAACTGACTTGGAAGATCGGCTGGTCTCGAGTTAGTGAAATACTTATGCGAATGGGCGAACCACTAAAAGCAGAACATCTGTGTAAAATCGAACTTGATAAAGCATCTTCAGATCAAGAGAGAGCAGACTATAACAATCAACTTGGTAAGCTGTATGCAGAAACAGGCAAATATTCGAGAGCACTTTCATCGTACAAAAGAGCTCTACACAGTAGCATGAAAATTCTTCCAACGAATCATTCTGATTTGGCTGATGCCTACCGTGCTATAGGCATGGTCTATTTTCAGATGGGCGAACATTCCAAAGCGCTCTCATCACTCACACAATCCATTGATATCCAAAAACTAGCACTTATTACAGATGATATCAAATTGGTTGATTCCTACGACAACATAGGTATGGTGTATTTTCAGATGGGCAATTATTCCAAAGCACTCTCATCATTCCAACGATCACTTGAGATCCAAAAATTAGGCCTTCCTGTCAATCATCTGGTCTTAGCTTCTTCTTACACACGCATCGGCAATGCGCATGCTAAAATGAATGAGTATTCAGAAGCACTTTCATCGTTCAAAAAAGCACTTGAAATACAAAAAGTAGGTCTTCCTTCCAAACATCCTGACTTCGCAGAAACGTACAAAAACATCGGTGCAATGTATAAACACATGGGCATGTTCTCGAAAGCAGTACGCTCACAAGAACGAGCACTTCAAATCAAAAACAAAGAAGTCTCTTCAAACCATCAGGGTCTGATCATTTCATAGCGCGTAATAGAAAACGTATGCATATTACAAAACAGCCGAAAAAACGTAGTGAAAATTTTATTTAAAAGCATCATAAGCGAATAGAGATTACTTCAGTCACATGAACATTATGCATGAAATATGTAGAACACAATGAATGTAAAATTAATGAAACAATAAATGCACATCGAATGCTAAATATATTTGCCTACGATCTTCCAATGGTCTTAACTCAATTCACTCTGTAGAATGAATCATATTGATAAAAAAATTATCTAAATTTCAGTGCGATCTGAACGCAATTAACGGTGGATGCGATTATGTTCAGTAGTGGCATTTTTTTGAAGCTTTTAGTTCATTTCTATATATTAGAATAATTTACAAAAACAAGAGAAAAAGGAGCATCCTTATTATCAAATATAATGAATTACTTAAAATTTAGTTTATTTCCTAGAACGCTACGTAACTGTTCAATCGTTCAGCATAGAGATTAGTCCATAACACAAAAATTGTTTATTTCCGTAGTAGATATCAATCAAAATAAAGTTCGATATCGTGTGACGATGGTTTTTATTTATCAAATAGACAACGAATTGGTCAACAGAAACAAAACTGTAGAATATGAATAACTGTTATAATATATTTCCAAAAATGAAGCCCGTAGACGATATTTGATCAATAAATCATTTTTTAAACGTATCTTTTCGAATAAGTTCCTCTAAAAACGATTCTAAAATAATTCGGATACTACCGTGTGTAAAAAAATGAATTATTTTGTTTAGATACAAATATATATATATATATATATATATTACAGATGAGGAAGAAAAAAGGAAAACTAATTGCTCAAAGCCTTGAAGTACTCGATGAAATGCTAACAGAACGATCACGTTGATCTTTCAGATATTTTTGACGAGCATAAGCCGGTCGAATAGGTAACATGGTCTCAGGACTTAATTCAACAATGACATCATTTGTCCATTGATTCTAAAAAATAAAAATACTCATTAATAAACACAATGAAAACAATTCCGGGAGTATTTACCGTATCTGGAACTCGTCTCCACCGACAAACAACTTCATCATCACCAAGTTTACCTGAGCATGTCAATATTAAAAATTGACCATTGCATCTAAACGTTGAATAGAAAGCAAAATGCAACGGATCCATGTATTCGATTTAGTTACTTTGTTTTACAAATGCATTTTACTGGTGCATCGGCTATTTTCGCTTTAAAGAGAAGATTAAATGAAAGTGTAGCTGATGCTTCTAGTGATTTTGGTTGCTTAATAGTTGCACTCGGCAGCTTTATTTGCTGAGGCTCCTGGCACCATTCATCCGACGATATAACAGCTGGACTTGAGGTTTGTGCTTTTGTTGATGTCAATGTTGTACTTGAAGCATCCGAGTCAACAGTTCGACGTTTATTTTCATTTACAATCGTAACATAGTCCAATGTGGAATTATGCCGTTGGCGACGTCGACACAAATATGTCGAACGGTTTTGTGCTTTGTTTTGAAAAGCAATTCGGTAAAGATGACAATTCGACGGGTGATCCATATTCCAATAGTCATCGGATGAATTCAATATTTCTACCATAGCTGATTCCGATTGTGAACGAGATTTTTGTCGATTATTTACAATATTGGGTAAAACTGCTATATAATTTCGCGTTGTGCCATTAATCAGGTGGGTTGTGATGCTTGCCGATCTCGGAACGTATCTTTTATGCATTGAACATATCGAAGATGATCGTATGGTTTTTTGTTGAAATGAAAAGTTTAACACAAATATAATCCCAGTTGATGTGCCAATCCACAGTTGCTCGTCGTGTACAAGAAATGAAGTAATACGAATTTGATCCGTAATATTACTTGAACTTCCATCATCAATTGAACCTAAGTGAGCTCCTTCTTCCATCATTGCTAATTGTTCGTCGGTTTTGCCAATTTTTTCAAATAAATGATTTAAAGATATTGTTCCGTGTAGTTTACATTCAGATTGATTCCATGCTTGTAATACATTACTCGTTGATCGCAGTAATATCCATATATGATCAGAATCTTCGTGGTCATAATAAAGTAAACATGCTGGATCAAGACTTTCAAATGTTAAATCAATACTTGCTAAAATATCTAATGTTCTATTGACATAATATAGAGAATTTAATTTATGAAGTCCAAAAAAAAATGATATATTACTTTTCATTGACAATTGTCATTTTATTCGAACTCAAACACCATAATTTATCGTTTCGATAAGCAACAGCTGTTAGAGCTGATTTATCAATCGTTATACAAAATGCTTCCTCTGGTTCACGCTGCTCATATAGCTAAACATAAAACGAAAAGCAACCGAATTTATTCTATTGATATTTCATTATCTAATTTACTTCAACAATAGCTAAATTGCCACACGATAGGCCACAATAAATTCGATTGCAGTTAGTTTTATTTAAACTAGTCATACAAAGAAGACAACTTCGTAGTCTAGTCGCCCATAGAATTTGTCTATAACCAAAAGAAAATAAAACGAAGTTTTTATTCGATTCTAAAGGGTGGCCCAGAAACAATAAAAGGGTTCAGTATTTCGTTAGTATATTGCCCAATTTTCATTGTACAGGGTTGGACTGTTTCCTATAAGATGCGCCACTCAATTCTTGACGAAACGGATGTCGAAAATTTTTGTGACGAGAGCTGACGAAAAAAGCATTTTAAACAGTACTGAAGACGTACGAAAAGGCCAACTATCAACGATGAAAAAACATTTTTGTAGGATTTTGGGGTTGATCAGTTACGATAGAAATGAAATAAAATAAGCATCCTGTAGCCCTTCAAAAGCTCTATCGATGGTTTATAACTGGAGAATTATTTTACTCATTCTTGTGGCATACACAGATCATTTTCTTTTTCAGACTTTCGAGAACACTAGCTGTTTCAATCTGCAATTCTGAACCTCCGGCGAAAAGACGCACGACTAAGCCAAAATAACGTCTTTTGGGTTCGGGTTTTCTTTATTTTGATGGAGAATGACTACTGTATGAAATTCACAGGCTCCAGCTGACCTCAAATTCTCTTCTTCAATTCATGGGGCAAGAAAAAAAAAGGATTTGAGACATTTTGAATAAAATTTTCAAATGATTGCAACGAGCTTTCAACTACGTGACCAGAAACAGTACACTTCAAAGATACTCAAAAACATTTTCACTTTTGTTTCAATGTGTAAAGTAGAGAAAAAAATGTTCTACGTTTGATCTTTACACTAGTTGTGAAAGTTGGTCGTTCTGTACGTGTTTAGCATTATTTTCAAAATTTTCTGCTTACATCTATCCTCATAGAAGATTTTGATGTGCGTTTGGTGAAGAATTGAATGGCGCATCTTTTAGAGAAAAATCCAATTCGGTACAATGAAAATTGAGTCAGATATTAACGAAACACGAAACACTTCATTATTTCTGGGTCACCCGTTACATTCAATTTCATGTACCTGTCATCAATTGAAAAACCTAATAAAGTACCACAAAGAGTGCCAATCAAGACAAGTTCACTATTGACACATGCCATACAGAATGCTCTTGAATTATACTAGTCGTAATCATCACAAATTTCTTTTTAACTAGTAAATAAAAAAGAAGTTTTTCTTACAGTAACCTCAATATCCATCATAATTCCACGCTCAACATTGACTTCGAAAATATGTAGTGAATATTGTGAGCCGAATGCAATCCAAACAAGATCTGAATAAATACAAAGCGAATCGGTTTTATCTCGAAATAATAATTATCAATAAACAGACTTCCTGGTAGAACAACAGCGCAATCAAGTGTTGTTGTTGTTGATGTTGATGATGATGATGAATTAATTTCTTCAAACTAAACCAATAATGTTCTTTTGTTTTTGTATAAACAATCTTTCGAGAGGAACTTACTACAAAATCTCGTTTTGAAAAACCTTCTTTTGATAATTGCCGTTTAAGAACTTTATCGGTGAGCATTTTCGTCCAATACGCTTGCTTAATATGGATGTCTTTTCGATGACAAAATGGTTTTAAATCTTCAAACGCAATCTATAGAATAACGAAGGAGAAATTTGCACGAACAACAAATTAAAAATTATTCTACTTTAAAAAGATTTTCAACATCAATCAAATTTTTCGTTGAATCCTTAATTTGTTTCATCATAGATATTGTATCACTTTTAGTTAGAATACTTTCACGGTTGATAATAAGAATTGATAATGCAAAACGAAATAAAACTTTTGATCCTTCCAATAGAAAACAATCCCATATTCGTAGTAAAGTTTCAAACGGTACAGTATCGATAAATATCGCCATAAACCAATTTAATGTTAATGAAGTTATTTCAACTTCATTGATTTCAAAATGTTGGTCAATATCGGGAGCTTTTTGTTTTAAAAGATCTTTAAGAACAAATTGATCAACTTGGGCACCAATGAGGCCGACGTCATAGTAATTATTCAAATGACATTCAGTTATGGCTATTAAAAGCCAAAAGGCATCTTCAGGTTCAACTAATAGAAGTGCAACAGCGACAATAAAATTCATTCCTTGACAGTAGCCAATTGCTGGATTATGCAAACAGAATACTTGAAGAACTTGACGTAAATGGCGGATCTAGAAGAGATAGTTTTTGAAAATTGATAACAAGGCGAAAAAAATTCATCACTAGTCGATTTCACGAGCGGAGAACTTGAGTGTGCTATGAAGTTTAAATTTTCTGCGATACAAAATTAGGTCATTATCTATGTCGTTTCGCAATCTTGGAATACTTTTTCGTCATGAACAAAACAAGATTTTTTATTCTGTGTTATGTTCAGGGCAAACGTTTCTACAATTGAAAAATTCTCATCGCACACAATTCTTACGCCCTCAGATTCTCTGTTTGCAAATCGGATATTGGATGGCATTGTTCGGTGGAGATCCAGTGCAATTTGTTTTTCGAATTTACTATTAAGCTAATAAATAAAGTTTTAAATTCATTTTTTAAAATTAATAATCGAATCTTACATCTGAATTCGGTAGTAGATGACAAAGATTTTGATAATACAGCGCACCTTTTTCTTTTCGAATATGACTTGTTTGTTTTTGAATAAAAATATGCCATATTTCAGTACGAAGATGATCAGGTATGCCTTGTCTTACAAGATATTTCAATGTTTTCTTCAAATCAACACATTCAACAATAGTGAAATCTTTTGATTAATTTATCCTACCGAAACTGTTGAACTATTCTGATAAAGTTTAATTAATGATCGCCAACTACTCTCATCAGTACTATGCGCTTTTGAGTCGTAAAAGTGTGTTAATTTAACGCAAATATATTGCAAACGATCGTTTAGATTATTTTTTTCACGTTTAAAACCATATGGATCTATATACAAACCAGATCCATCCATACTAAAAATCAAAGTAAAATTTAAAACACGATCGATAATTGATTCAAAACAAAAATGTAACCTCTCAAATGACGGCAATGATGGATCACGTTTACGACATTCAGCTAATAGTTCTTTCAAACGATCACGATGCTATTTCATCAGAGAAAATTTTTATCAGATATGAAGAAGAAGAAGAAAAAAAAAGAATCTATACTTTTGTTCCTCCATATAATCGACCATATTCAGACGATAGAGTTGTTTGTAATAAATAAATATAATCACGTTGTAAGCTTTCACGTTGAGTTTGTTGTGAACGAATCGTTCTGAAGAGAAGATTTTGTTAATAATAATTTAATTAAATAGGTAATAGCTCTCAGACAACTACTTAAAAAAAACTTAAAGGCAAATGTCACACGGAATTTTTCTCATACAGAACATCGCATTCATAGTAGATAGGCGACGTCTTCCATTGAATTCGTCGCGCATTTTTTGAGTTTAGTGCAAATTGATTGAACTCGAGAAAGACTTTTTAAATTATTGAGCCTGTAATATAAAACTGAGACCGACTATCGATTATTTTGAACCCACGGAAGTTTAGTTCTTACGAAAAATAAAGTACAACGAACATTAACTACGAGATTAAGTTGATCCTGCGTTTTTTCAATTTTCTACCTAATATTTTCAATTTATTTGAATCTGATACTATGCAAAAACCGAAATGAATGGAAACATTGTTAGCGTTAGTGATGTAACCTATTAACGCTAAACGAAGATTAAGATGTTCTTCTAGTGTCTAACTGGTTAGGACGCCTGTTCGGATAGCGGAAGGTGAGGGTTCTAGTCCCACGAAGTTCACTCTGTCTTCGTTCTGCCACATAACATCAATGACACTGCTTGTCTCTTTCGCTCTTAATATATCTCTCTTTCATTTCTTTTCATTCTATACATATTAGAGCTAACAAACATCAATCCCTGGGCTCATTTATGCATTGATTGCGGGCTCAAAAAAAAAAGAGAGAGAAGGGAGCATATTAGTACTCAAGAGACATTGCTATGAGTAGGTCGATGACTGGATTGAGCGTCTAATTCTCGATTGCATATTCTTACTTGACCAGTTCTAACCTAGATTCTGTTTTAAAATACTTACTTAAGGAGTTTACGCATCTTAATATCATCATCACGTAGAATGCCATGTAATCGTGCAATCTCACAATGAAGAAATTTAAGTTCATTATTGGTTTCACGACTTCGTTCATTGAATACTTTCGAAATCGTTTGCTGTCTAAAATATAATTTTTACCAATGAGCTAAAAATGTTGTTTTGTTTTTGTTTTTGAATCGATCATACTTGCTGCTTGATGTTGCCGATTGAGCAACATCAGATAATTGTTTTTCAAGTGTACGTATAGCATTCGACTTTTCCTTGATAATCAATTGATAAATATTTTCTTTATTTATTAGTGAAGCTAATTCACATTTCAACGTTCTATTTAAAGAAGAAAACGACCGTGAAAGAGCATATTATGTTCAATGAATAGATAATATTGTATTACAATAATGTTTCCTGTATATTATTCTGATGTAATCCATCGTTCACATCTAATAAACGTTGATCGCAAAAAGCTGAATCGGATGATTCAATCGAATAGCTTGATGAACTCGTTCGATTTGGAATCGATTCATTCACTAAATCAGATGACCGACTCCACGCCGAACGGCAATGCGAACATAATGATAATGAACATCCATGGCATAGTTGTAAACCTGCAATAGATTGTGTACTAAAACAAAAACATATCTCTTCTAACATATCTGAGTTCTGTTGATAATTAACCTTAATTTTCGATTCATACTTTCTATCATTATAGACGGACGATATTTTTCTAGAAAGATTATTCTTTGAGCAAAGAAAAATTTCATTTAAATAAAGGAATTAGACACAAACCATCGTCACTGGGAAAATCATTCGGATTCGTTCGTTCGGTAATAAACATTCGTGGATGTATAAATTCAGTTGGTGTTAAACTATCTGGTTCATGCATATTCCAAACTAGAATAATTCATAAAAATAGAAAAAAAAAACAGGCTTTCTTTATTCATATTTACCATCTTCATTATTAATAATCTAATTTATTTGAAAATTAGAATTAAATTTAAAATTCATTTAAAAAGAAACTCCACTTACTTCATCAGTGTCAAGTCCTGAATGTATTCCATGCACGGACGATCCATTATTCGATGATATACACGAATCGCGTTTACTCTGAAAGATAATAGTTTAAAGATTAAGACTCTTCGTTTTCTTACTTGTAACCCGAGTAGCCAAATCATTAATGCTTCATGATTTTCAGCTCGTAAATGATGTTCTTTATTATTAGTTCTGTAAATAGATATTTTTGAATTATATGCAAAAGAGAAAAAAAACCTATCAACATACAAAATAATAAAGACACGTTCTTCTGTTGTACTTAATGTAATGGCAGCTCGATATAATGATAAACTTTCAATAGGTGTCTTGCTATTCGTTAAATCACGTTCAGACTGATAAAACTCTAATGTTCGAATCGATTCGTTGAATGCACACCAATAACGACGCGTAGGAAGAACAAGGCTTAGGGCTAATATTGTTAAATTTAGAAAAAAAAGAAATGAGATATGATTTTTTTAATCAATAACAAATATACCACCACAAGGCTTCAATGATAAGTAACCCGACAAACTATAACAAGCAGTCCGTTCCATTGGTATATGTCATCTCTTGTTTCAATTTGTGCTAGTATCGAAAAAAAAGCAAGAGGCAATAGGGACAAATAAAATTGATGATTAATCTACCTGTTTTATTTTAGTGCCACTATTAAAAAAAAATAGAAGTTTCTGTTAGATGAGAATTAACGACGATCGAGATAAAATATGCACGAATACGAAAAAGTGATTATTTGCAAAATTTTGCCTCCTGGTTTTTCAAGCCGTTGTCGATCAGTCGGCCGGATTTTTCGTAAATGTGTCTGTGTATTTATGGCTCTTTTTTCTTTTTCGTTCCTCTGCAAGAATCCGTTGTTTTTTTTTCGTATATTCCGTTTTTCGTCTTTCATCGCTATCGATTGGCAACAGCAGCCAGCTGTTGGAACTAATATTAGGTTGTAACGAGTAGGCACGAGTATCAATGATAAACAACAAGAAAAAAATACGGCTTTATCTTTGTGAATATACTCGTTTTGCTATCGTTCTACTTGGTATATTTAATTGTAACAGCTTGATACTTTTGCCAATGAGAAATAAAGAAGAAGAAAAAATAATGAGGACATTTTCTATGTGAATTCAATCATCATATTATCTGATTATTTTTTTAATAATAAAAGCTAAAATTTTAAGAAAACATTCTATAAATAATTTTTGAAAGAACAAATTTTTTATTTAAAATTTAGAACTTTTTTGTTGTTATTGCAATACTTCCGTTGTTAGTATGCAAAGAAAACAATGTTAGGATCGTTTAGTAATGACAGGTGAGCAGTGGTATTTCTTCTTTTTGCTGTTACTACATCGTTATTATTTCACTTCCGTTGCATTGTCAAGGTAAAGCAAATCTCGAGTGTTGGTCGCGCCGGTACGTTGTAGAATCTAAGCTATATGGTGTATGCTTTCATTCGTCTTATATTATTCCGTTTGAGCACGGAAAACATGATCTTCTCTCTGTGTCTTAGTCGTCATTCTTTTTTTTGGGCGACGAGAAAAGGAATTGTCGACTTGGTCGGAAAGAAGAAACACACACACCGTTTTTTTTTTGGGATAAAGAGAAGGAAAAGGTAAGAGGGGAAAATAGTGATGTGAATAGCAGTGCAAAATGTGTCGTTCGTCTTCATTATCAATCTTTTTGTTAGACGAGCGGAATGAGCATACTCACTATGTTCGCTTTCTGTTTTTAATAGTTTGCCGACATTGCACACGTAAAGACTTTAACCGGCTTTCACCTTCATTGATTACAATAGCGAGATGTCTTGTAGTCAAAAATGTGGAGAGAGAGAGAGAGAGAGAACGCTCACAAACATTTTTTGGGGAGAACAAGACAGGAAGAGAACCTTCCGTCCGTGGTGCGTCGTTTTTCTCGCATGTGTGTAGCCTGCAGTTCATTCTATGAAATTGATTCAAGCATCGTTCTATTAGTAAGACAAGTTAGCACACGTCGATGAGCATGTCAACCTGAACGTGCGACGAAGCATCAACAGATTAATAGTAAGAAAAATAGGGAGAAACTAGAAAGGAAGAGAATATACTTGGGCTATTCACTCATCACTTCAAATTTTCATAAATAATGACAGAGTCATTGAAAAGAAGAAAAAGAAATGGTTAGTACAAAAAAAACGCATATAATAAGATTTTCCTTTTTCTTCTTTTTTTTGTTGGCCTGAAACTATCTCATTATAAACTAGGTGAAGGCGGTGATCATTTTTTTGTTTTTTCTTTCTTTCAGATATGCTTGCTCATTCACCAAAAGATCGTTCTCGATCACCTCATCGGAATAATAATAATAATAATAATGAAACGACTGTTAATCAAACAAATTCGTCGGGTCAACATTTATCATCAACATTGAAATCTTCAAATCAAAATGATACATCTTCTCAAATCGATACGAGCAATAAGGATGCTAATATTTCTAATAATAATAAAAGTAAAAAGGAAAATGAATCTCAATTACGTATGAAAAGTCTCAAAGTAAGTTAAAAAAAAAACTTCGGAGAGCAACAAATTAAACTTATCATATTACTCTTTTCAGTCATTTATTCAAGCATTAATTAATGATTCATCATCATCATTAGGCGCGACATTTGATGAACAAGTCAAAGCACTTGAAAATGCTTGTATGAAAGAATTTCATGATTTATCGTCGGATCGTATTCGTCGAATGATTCGAAATATTTTCAAAGTACGCAAATCTCAACAACCGTCACATTCAACAAATTCTTTTCTACATCAAGTATAATCATTGATAGTTTTAATAAATTTTAATAAAACAAAACTTGTTTTTGCTTTGCTCTTCCTAATAGGATCATTCAAATGTTTTACCTACGACAACTACCGATCGTTTTAATCCGACTGAAAATAATTCGAAGAAAAATAGATCAAACCCAACTTCAAATAGCACGACACCAAAAACTGTATGTATATAAATCTGAGATTTTTCATTAGAAGAGAATCATCTTTTTCTGAATCCTTCATTAACGAAACCAAGGTTTCGAATTAATCATGTACATTTTTTATCAAAATGACTATCGTAAAACTTTGCGAAAGTAATTTATTTCTTATTTTTCTAGTCTGACTTGGTAACGCCATCAGCATCGACATTATCAGCGCTTGATGCCGATTTTCTTCGTCATGCATTTTCTCAACAATTTCGCCCATCACTTGATCTATCGACTTATTTTTCTGCAGCCACTGTAGCTGCAGCGTCGAACGGTACTGGTTCGTCATCATCTCTTTTCCGTCCGAATTTTTCTCCATCGAATTTTCTTCAATCACTTACTGCTCCACCTCCGCCTCTTCCAACAACACTCGTATCATCTCATACACATACTAATGGTTCGTATCGAATTGTTTCGCTTGGGATTTTTATTAATTAAATTCTATTTATTTCACATAGGAACAACTGATTCATCAGCGACAAACGCCAATAAATTGCCGAAACAAATAAAATTATCTAATAGTGAAATGAGTTCAATTAAAGTTCTTGCCAATGCTTATCGAGAAGCCGCTTCTTATCTAACTCGATCAGCTGATGAACTTGAACAATTAATATAATTGTATCATTATATGTTTTGTTTCTTCTTCTGTGTTTTTACTGTAAAAAATGAACAAAATATTTCACATCTACTAGCCAATAATGTTAAGCTTCTACATAATATTGATATTTGCTATATACAAGAAGACGTCATTTCAAAATTTATTAGCTATATAAAACAGATCAATGTGTGATAATAGTCCACTTGTGCGGCTCTTCACACATATTTGTCTTCTTGTGTTCGTATAAATCTCAAGATACACTTTTTTCAAGATAACACGATATACTATAAAAAGTGAAAAATAGTCGATACGTATGTCAACACCGTTGAATGAATAGTTATATGCGTTGATAAGCTATTCATTTTTTAAGGATGACACATATACGTTACATTTTTCTGATATCATTATTGATACGAGCTGATGGTGCAAAACGATCATCTGAATTATCACGTCTACTCATTATTTCACTGGATGGTACTGTATATGAATTCAACGAGTTTGATTCTAGGATTTTAAATAATTTATTTTCAAGGATTTCGTCATGAGTATTTAAATCAATATGAATTTCCTATATTGAATCAATTTCGTAATGAAGGCGTACAAGCAACACAAGGAATGAAACCGACATTTACGACAATGACATTTCCGAACCATATTTCTATTGCGACAGGTTTATAGCTTATATGAATAAGAAGTCTTTCATTTTTGTCTTTTCTTGGCAATTTAGGAATGTATCAAGAAGATCATGGTATCGTACATAACTCATTCTTCGATCGACTATTGAATAGGACTATTGGAATGGGTTTGTATCTTCTTCTTTTTTTGTTTTAATAAAAATACTTTCAAACAATCTTCAATTTCTTTAGGTAATCGTGACGATGGACAATGGTCTGATCCGAATGTCGAACCAATATGGATTACTGCGACTAAACAAGTATTTCGTTTGTCTTATTGAAATAGTTTAATATGCTGTTTTTTGTTTCAGAATATAAAATCTGCTGTTCTTTTTTGGCCAGCGTGCCATAATAAATTTCATGGGATTCGTCCACTTATCTATAGTTGGTCGTATACTGATGATATACCGTTTCGTGAAAAAATTGACAATGCCATTGGTTACTTCCGCGAATTACCTGTTCAACTCGTTCTGCTATATCATTTGTAGAGTTGAAAAATAGATTATATTTCTTTTTCGAAATAATTATTTTGATTCTTTGCGTTTTCAAAGTGAACCAGATAAACAAGGGCATACATATGGGCCGGACTCCATAGAAGTACACGATACAGTAAGTAGAATCTTGCGGAAGCGAACGTATTTCTATGCTTTGATTTGTTTGTGTCTAATAAGTTGGTGCGTCTTGATGGTGATATTGGATATTTATTAGATAGAGTACAGAAGGATCTCGGTGATGATTTAAATATAATTATATTGTCCGATCATGTAAGTGCAAACACCTCGAGTGATGTGAATACATTTGACGATTTTAAGGGTATGACAAATGTAACAAAAGTAACAAGGCCGTTCTATGAAAAATATCTTAATCGATCATCGGTTGACTCAAATATTCTCTCTGGTGCATTATTCAATGTAATGCCAAATAGTGGAAACGTGAGTGTTTCGTATAGCAAACATTTTTAATTCTAAACTATTATTTATTTTTATTAAAACAAATCAAAGACTGAAGAAGTTTTCAATAGTCTAAGTAAAATTCCTAATGTGACCGTATACAAACGTGACGAAATGCCAGAACGTTTTCATTATTCAAAACCAAAACATCGACTTGGAGAACTTACTGCACTGACCGATACCGAAGGTCACATTTTATCGCCAGTAAATCATTCAGTTGACTTAATCGAACACTGATATCAATTTATATTTAGGCAACAACTAATGCAGCTTATCCAAATAAGGGTAATCACGGATGGGATAACGCAGTAAAATCAATGCAAGCAATATTTATGGCTCGCGGTCCTTTATTTAGTAAAAGTATTCAAATTGATTCACTTAATAACGTTGATATCTATCATATTGCTTGTCACATTCTTAAAATCAATCCGAATCCGTATGCTAACGCTGGTTCCCTTGCTAATCTAACCAGTCTATTTGCTCGCATCGAAAATACTTCAACACAAACTACTTTCACATCTTCCAATACAACTACAGCAAGACTTACTACAGAACTATTCTTTACGACTAAAAGCCGTGCTCACTGCTTGTGTTTCTCTCGTCATTTTCTTATTGCACTAATGTTCTTCGTATTATCTTTCACTCTTTGAACAATGTGGCTAACAGGGGGGAAATCCTGTTTTTTTTTAATACTATCAAATATAATGTTCAATTGAACTATGAGTACTATTGATTATGAATTTCATAAGTAATGTGTCTTTTTCTTGTTTGCTTGAAGAGAACAGGATTTTAATGTATTAGTATGATTGATTCTCGATATTGTTAAACTATCAAGAATAGGCTGATTTGTGTCACTCTTTGAAAGAAAGAAAAACACTCCGATTCTATGAATAATTTATGTATTCGCCCGTCATGCATGTTTTAGTTGGCTCAATAAGATGGTAATGTTTACTAGAAAAATGGTTTGTTATTTCTAAAAGAAAGAGAAACAGCCATTTTTAATTATTAGTTCTGTTATTTTTGTTGTAAATCAACATTGCAATATCACGATTAGATTATGAAACATGATTTTTATTTTAAATCTGCACTAAAAAATATCATAAAAACAATGAAGTAGAAAGACATAAATAAATGACCGACAATCTGATATAGATTCGTTTTTCGTAAGAAGCAGTTTCGATTCTCAAGGTAGATAAAACCCTAAAATGTATGTGTGATTTATATATTTTGAGTCTTATCATCTGTTGAAGTAATAAAATCGTTAATGTCTTAGTTTTTATTAATGGCCTATTTACTTGAAGAATACAAAATTTAACTTTGCACGTACATAATGAAAAAGAAGTCGTTTTTTCTTACCACCACCTTGATAAGTAAACATAAGTTTTGCTACGATGCACTTGTGTAATGTTTGGCATTTTGCTATTGGTCTTAACAATGGTGGACGATACGGACTTTGTTTTCAAAACGCGTAATCGTAATTTACGTTTCGCTGATGTAAAAAAGATAAAAGATTATCATCCGTTTTTATTTTAATGAATTACGAAGGAATTTGAAAACAAAAAGGATTGCCTACTAGAAACTTCATTTTTTTAATATTTAGTTCTGCTATTAGGGGCAAAGACTAGTATTGGATCAATAAGTAAATAACCATGGAGGTGAAGTAGCAGAAAGATGTACAGTTGTTCTACGCCCAACGCACCCTTGTTTGTTTGCTTGTTATTTACACCCGGCACAGTCTGTCTTCAGCTTTGACAATTATGCGATTCAACATTTCTTTTTTCGTTCCATCTGAAAAGCAAACACGCAAAAATGTGAAGGTTACAAAGCAAGCTTTTTAATTTCTTTTTGCTGCGGTAATGTTTTGAATGGTTCGAAATATTGTTGTTTGCTTTATCTGTCATGTCATTATATCGTCGACGCATATGCATTTATTGTAGTGCTACAATTTTATTTGTAATTATTCAATTGTCAGTTTACTTATTTTATTCGTCCGCGCCTGATTGCCGGAATAAACTAGAAATATCAATACCGGAGAATTTAAGCGACAAAGCAAGTATATTTAAAATAAATACACGAGTTTTATGTTGGATTCCAACAACACTTAAACGACTTGATCGAGCAGTTGTTGTATATGAGTGAGTGAATCCTTTAGTAAGAGAAATAATAATTTTCTTAATTCGAATTCAGCACATGGGCTAAACGATGTGATCAGTCAATTTTTGTCATCGGTGGTTCGCGTCCATCGCCTGTTCCCGATGCTTCAAAATATCCATTTCCGATCGCTTATCTTGATAATGAAAAGATCGAAGAATATAAACTTCTATCTGAAAAAGTTTTACTGTCATTACTCCACATATACAATAACTATGTCAAGGATTATGATTGGTTTTTTAAAGGTGATGACGACACGTTTGTTATTGTTGAAAATCTTCGCCATTTTCTTCGACGTCATCCATCGAATGCATCATTTTATTATGGTTATACAGCCAAAACTCCAGATCGTTTCTATACGTCAGGTGGTGCTGGTTATGTTCTAAGTCAAACGGCATTACTTCACTTTGGCGAAGAAATTTTAACGAAACCTGAAAAACGTAAATTGTGCGATAAAGATCACGCTGAAGATGTGAATATTGCTTACTGTCTAGCAAAAATTGGTATTTTTCCTATGAATGCACGTGATTATCAGTTACGCGAAAAGTTTCATCCGATGACATTTCAAGAACACTTCATGGGAAATTTTACACAATGGATTGAAAAAAATGCACAGTTCGCCCAGAAACCGGGCGAAGAATGTTGTTCACCGTGGACTATATCATTTCATAGTATGAACCCAGACGAAATGAAGATGATGCATTTTTTACTGTATCATATACAAAAAGCATCTGTTTGAATAAAAATAAAAGCTCAATTGGCTCTTGTTGTTTTTTGCTAATCATATATTTCCATCTGATTTCTACATACGCATCGACTGAAAGGCATTCGAATGATCATTGAATAAATTATAGGTGACACGTTTTGACGACAAAGTAGAATTCGTACGACAATCTATCATCTTGTAATTATGCAAGAATGTACTTGAATATAAGATAATGATTATTCGATGGAACCAAATGCAGTCTTGCCTATGTATGGATAGCAAGCGCACAGTTTGTAGGTAGGGTGTGAAACCTTCTAACAAGCGTAAATCTATTCATTTTTTTACTATGAAAAATACTCAATAGTATTTTTGTTCTACTTTTATAATGAAAGAAAACAAGTAACGAAGCCGTCGAACAATTGTTTTTATGACACTTTAAATTAGTTATATATTATATTCAATTGAATTAAATCAATTTCCTGCCAATCGCTCTCAATCTCAATTTAAGATGCTCTTTGTAACTATTGATCCGAGAAAAAATATTATGATTGATATGGATTTTAAGGAGCATTCTTATCTGCCCTACCGTCTGTGCCCTACAGAAAAAAACTGTACAAATATAATTTATCGTTGAAAATTTTTCGTCTCGACTTCATTCAAATTAGAATGACTTGGACTTCTTCATGGAGAACAGGAAAAGTGTTTCTGTCTCTGTACACCGCACGTATTCAGTTACTCGCATTGCGTGATCCATCTTCATTAGTCATTCGTTTGAGTTCAGTATGCGATAGAGGTGATGACGATGTCACTGCGTCCCCCTTATTCCTGCAAAATCGAACTAGTGGTGTGTTGCTTTATAAATCTTTGGCAGCGGGTATAGAAAAAGCAGCACATCATATCCATGAGACTGTATCGTCAGAACGATTCCATGATATTTGCTTGATTCTTTTGTCAATAAAACAGCGCACACGATAAAGAGGATAACCTATGATAAGGAATATTTTGTCATGATGATGCGCGCGCTTTAAATGACTACGACAACCTGTAACCTTTACGAAAGATTATCCAAGAAAAAGAACCCACCATTCTACGCCCTTTTTTGCCTCGATTTGCGATAATTAATTCGTAAGTTAGATTTTTCGATCAAACAATACATATTATTCTGATTTTTCCGAGACGAAAATTTTCAAGAATAAATGATATTTTTTTTCTGCAGCGTATTCACTGCATGAAACGGTATAGACAATTCAGAGTAATTGGAGTGTCTATTTTTTTTTCTTTATAGCGTAGTTTTTAGTGCACTGCTGACCTCATTAAGTATGATAGGGATAAAACTTAATATTGGTTAACCTTTCGCCCGGAAGAGTATTGTAGAACGTAAAATTTTCAGGGTGGTAGTTTCAGGTGTTGATAGTTTGCATATCCAAAAACTAATAAAACGGAACTGATTTTTTTGTCGAGAACGTCTGATCCTTGACCAAACCACGGTCTATTTCTTAATCTAGCCAACGAGATGTAATACCCCTAGAAAGCAAATGTATCAGTTACTTTTCATTTTGGTTTCAAAAGATTGTATGATACTTGCTTGCTCTTTTTCGGCAAGAAAACAGCGCACAAAATAAAGAGAATAAGCTATGATAAGAAATATTCTTTCCGTGTTTGTGTACTGACTAAAAATACCGCAGAGAAACTGTAGCCTTCACTGAAGATTATTGACGAAAAAGAGCTGCTATTTTTGGTCACCTTTTATTTCGCTGTGTAATCATTTAGTCAAACGTTAGAATTTTTGCTCCAACGATGGTATTGCTTTTAATCTTCGGACGTTTCTCAGTCGTTGTTCTTCTTGCCCTCTTCATCTATATCAAGTTGATTCGACCAACAAAACAACTATACGATGCCTTTCGTGCGCAATGTTTTTTGCTGGCGAGTCATTCGTACCACTAATTGGCCAGATGAAGGATTATCAGCAAGCAGAAAAATCTTCAGACGTATTATCGTACTTTAATGAGTTGTGCAAGAAACATGACCATTGCTTTCTGTTCAGTTATGGACCATTCACTCGCTTTTTCTGTAGTGAGCCCGAAATTATAGTTGAAATTTTGGGTCGAACGAAAGCACAAAATTTTCGAAAACCAACTAATTTTTCATCGGTATACTCAAGCCAATTATCGGACATCAAAATGTACTTCTGTTGGAAGGGTCTGAACACGATCGTGCTCGTAAAATGCTTAATCCAGCGTTTCATTTTGTTAAACTTCAATCCGTGATTCCCATCATGACAAGAGAAACTGAAAATGCAATCGATGCCCTATTGAAATAATCTCATACAAAGACGATTGAGCTCAAATTGAAACTCAAGTCGATGACACTTTCGATCATTGCGACAAGTGCGGTCGGGCAAAGTCTCGAAGAAATACCAGATGCCGAAAGGATCGTCTCAAATGGATTCAATGAAGTATTAGATGCTATCGACTATCGTACGGTAAGCATGATTAATTTAATTCCATTAGTAAACAAGTTACTATTCTGGCGCAAGTAAATCGTGGACGAAGGACTGAAAAAAGTGAATGATTTTTTCGATAGAGTCATTGCTAATCGACAACGAGAGAAATCTGAAAGCCTGTCTTCAAACATTGACCTTCTAGGTATGTTCCGTTTGTATAATTTCCAACAAATTCAGCCATTATTTCAGATAGAGATTGAGTTTATCGCTATATCATAGATCTTCTTCTATCAGCGTCGGATGATGATGGGCAAGAGCTTTCAAATAATGAAATAAAAGATGAAGCACTTACGTTTATCCTCGCTGGTCATGAAACAACAGCGAGTTTGATGGTGTAGACTATTTATGTTCTTATGGCAAACGAACACGTTCTAGAAGCATGCCGAAAAGAAGTCGCCTGTGTCGTACCAGATGGTCAAAAGCTTACATCTGAAAATATAAACGAACTGAACGTAATTGGTGCCGTACTGAACGAAACTCTGCGTCTGATTCCACCTGCTCCATGCATTACTCGAGAATGTGCTAATGAGCATATTATCGGACAAGGTAGCCAAAACGAAGTACGAATGCCAAAATGATGCACTGTAGTAGTCAACGCTGCAGTTCTTCATCGAAGACCGGATCTATGACCTCGACCAGATGAGTTCGATTACAGCCGATGGATACGAGATCCGGTTACTGGACTCAAACCAAAATTAAGTCACCCCTATGCTTATCTTCCGTTCGTTGCTTGTCCTAAAAATTGTATTGACCAGAATTTTGCTCTTCTCGAACCCAAGGTTATTTTAGCCCTATTGGTTCAACGATGTGACTTTGAACTGGCTGCTGGCCAGAAGGTGGTAGTCCTTGAGATCGTAATAACAATGCGACCAAAATAAGGTCTATTTCCTCGAGTTTCGTCTCGCCAGTAGATCAAAACAAGTGACATTTATAATTTAATTATTCGTTTCATATAGAGCGTAGTAAAAATTTCCATAAAATTATAGACACCATTTAGGGGCGCACTATTTTTCAGTATTGAGCTGTGTTACAAATATTGGTACATCTTTTATTTAGGTGTCATCTATTGAGGTTAGAAATAATTTGATAGATGTCTGCTAGAAATCGCAATGCTACTGTATTAGCTCATCAAACGACAAGTACCAACGGTACTGAGATAGTAATCAAATGAAACAGCGAACCGACGTGTATAGCTATACAATAATAAATATCTGCTGTAATCTTTATATAAACTAATACCAGTTAATCTTATTGATCCATTAAGCGTTCACCGAATTCTTACGCAAAGAAGAGAAGAAAAACTGTAAAATACACGACGATTCAATGGTCAACCAATACAATAAGAAAGAGCATTACAAAGCTCAGTTAAAAATGTGTAAAGGCTTCATCAAATTATTATTTTCCATGCATTGTTTAGTCTATGTGCATGAAAGAAAACCGCCGCAAATGTGGCACTGCTTTTATTCACTTATATCTATTACATGCTAGTTTTCTTTCTTGCTAAAAATGGCTTGTCCTAAAGAATTCAACTTGTGTAACAAGATCTTGTATTTTCTTATTACTCGTAACATCGTTTGTGAATCGATTTCGGTTATACCGATGAGTTCTGCTTTCAACGAATTGTATTGACCATAAGTTTTCTGTTCGATATTTCTTAGTTTTGACACAAAAAACATATTTATTTAGATTGTCTTTTTTTTTAAAAGATGAATGACGATTTAATAAGGTCTTGATTTTCGTGTTCGTGGTGTAGCCGACTAGACAAAAGAAAACTATGTTTTTCAAATTTACAAAAATCTAAAAAAAACCTTACCGTTGCCTCAACATCTTCAAGTTTTGAAAGTAGTTCAGCTTTTTCTCGGCCCCATGCAGATGTATTCTCTTGAAACTAGAAAAAATCAGCATTTAACGTTACTTTATTGAAGAAGGAACCGTCTACAAAAATCTTACTCGAGCTTTGAGATTAGCTAATTCTTGTTGGTAAGTTAAATTTTGTTGAACAAGATCTTCTCGATGATTATTTACCAATGCTGTGTTACGTCCATTAGATAATCGTCTCTACTAAATACTCAATCTATGATCAATAAAAACTTAAAAACCAGCGTACTTGAAGTTGCTGACTTTCTAAACCAAGTGCCGCATGTTCAGATAGAAATTTTCTATCAACATCATTAAATACTCCTACGATGATGATTTTTATTTTGTTTCAATGAAGTTGGTTTCGCAAAAACTGCAATTCTCACCTCCTGATCGTTTTTGTTTCATATAATTATTAATCATTGCTTCAAGTTTCTCAATAACAAGTTCTTGACGTCGAACAGTTTCCTCAAGACCGTCAGCTTTGCCCAGCCGTTGTTGAATGAGTTTCATTTCTACTTCACGTGCTTGACTTGTGCGTACTAGAGCATCGTATTGAGCACGTAATTCGCCTCTCTAGAACAAAAACAATTCGTTTTTCTAGTAGAAAGAAAATACTCTCATGTCTTTGATGTTTATATACTCGAGTTAATTCTTTTTCGTAACTGTTTATTTTTGCATATTTTTCTTTTAATTCAAGTGATTGCGCAGATATCTTAGCACTTAAACGATCTGAAAGAACAACGATGATATTTTCTTTTTATTAAATAATCGATTTCTTTTTCTCTTACTATATATATCTTGAATTTTAGCTTTATCGATTTTATCACCTTCTAAAATTTCAATGAAAACTTTCTTTTTTCTATCAAAATTTTCTAATTTTGCTCTTAAATCAATGTTGGCGGCCGTTAAAGTTTTATGTTGATCACGTAATTGCATAACATCTTGTATAACGCGTCGAATAGCTTGCTTGTATTTGCCAACTTCACGTTCAAAATAATCAAACCAACCTTCGATATCGTCATCACGACGTGGGGGATAATTTGTTCCTAACATGGCGCGATATTCCGTTGGTATATCATCCAAATCATACGGATTAATACGTGGAATACGATAGCGTGTGTTCTACATTATCAAAATGTAAATAAAGAATTGAAAGAAAAAATACTAATCGTATAAACTAACATCTGATGTTGTTGCAGTTTGTTGAACTTGAACAGGCTGTTGATACTTTCAAAGGCAACAAAAAATTGTAATTATAACGGCAAAAATCAATAAATTGAACATACGTACTTCATAGTGAGGTGGCGGTTGATAGTATGGGGCTGTTAAAAATGTTGGTTGAGGCGCCTTGTAAAAAGAAAAGCAAAATTGAATCGAATGTTTTCGTCATATTTTAAATGCAGACAAGAGAATATGCTAGTGGCTGATTGAATGCAATTGCTGGTTTTGGTACTAGAACCCATTGTTTTTGGTTCCGAGGACGATAAGACATGTGCATTTATTTGGCTCTGTGACTTAGCAGCAATCGTTAGAAAAACATGCCATAGAAAAGTGAGAAGATTTTTGATCGAAGAAAAATATTTTTCTATTTTTCAAGTCAGAAAAAGAGAGAACAGTCAGCGCTTTAATAACGTTAAGTGCTTGTTTGTCTTGTAGGTGTAGGTGATCGTTCGCAATTTTGAATCATAATCACATAAATCTATTTCGATTGATCGAAAAGATTAAGTAAAAGAAAATGCTTTGAATTTTCAATGAAAATAATTAAGAATACTAAATGTTTGGCATTAAAAATAACTATTATAATAGATCTAAATCTAAAAGATTTTTATTCTTTCACAATTTTTAGATTTGTTCTGGAATTATTTGACTGCAGTATGTGTATATGAGACTATAATTGCTCGATATAAATCATTAGAGAACTATTAGCTACAAACGGCTAATAGGTCGCATTCGAGAAATGACCGAGCTGATGTAACAGTAGTTTGAAGGCTGTTGCCATGTACTATTAAATTTTATGCGTGCGCGAAATCTATTCAACATAGTAAATAGAAAAACGAAAGCTTTTTGACGACAGCTGAATACTTCGTAATAGGCACAGAGAAAAGAAAAAATAACGAACCAAAGAAAGAGCTATTAGTATAGAACTATTTTGATGTTGCATTGTTTCTTGTATATGAAAACTAACTAGAAGTCGACTACTTAACCTACAGATTGAAGCTACATGTATATATCTAATAAAGTCGACCCGACAATCGTTGATAATTCTAATGAATATAAACTCTGGTCAATTACAGAATGCCTTATAAAAGTGCATAAGTAAAATCATGCATTTTAAACTACTACGCTATTCTAAATCAAAATAGAGCGACATTGAATCGAGTTTTTTTTATCAACGATCATTTTTTCCCGTAATTAGAAAAAAAATTCTTTTCCATCGCTCTCGTTTCTATTGTATAGACATAGACTTACTGGTATGGGTGATCGAGTAACATGTGCGGCTGATCGTGGCGGCGGCGGCGGTTGTAGTGCTGATGATGAGGCTGATGATATTTGTATGGATGGTAAAAAACCTTTCTTTGTTACAGGTGCTTGAATGTAAACAGGTGTAACATCATTTTGACCGTTTGGATTACAGTACGATGGCAATGCTGGCATATTACTATTAGTTGGCAAAAGAAGATTTCTTGTTGGATGTCTTTCAGTAAGGATCCGGAAAAGCATTTCTGCTGTTAAATATTTTGAGCTTTCGGCTGCTAAATCACCATCACTATGGATCAGAAGACCTTTAAATTGTAATTGTTTTCAAATTAAAATCCGTATTGAAAAAATCAATACCTTCGGTTCTCATGCCTTCGCTTCCTAGTGTTGATGTCAGTGCGTTCATTAAGCGTTCATCTAAAATAATAGCTGTCCATCCAAGTAAACCCGATAGACGCCAATTTTTACTATTGGCAATATTTTGATACGGATAAAATTCAATTACCATTGCACTACCATTGCTTGTAAACATATTGTCTTTTTCATTTTGATGGCAAAAAAGAAAATCATGTTTCCATATTGGAATTTTAGACTAAAAACAATATATATTTTTTTCAGCACTCTGAAGGATGCATCTAATTTTAATCTATTGATTCTAATCGTTAAGTCGATTCCACACTCGCTATTTAATAGTTCTATTAACTTCTAACGCATCTGATTTGCGCTAGTATTTTATTGATGTATAACTCCAAAGTAATTCTTTGCTTTCAATCGTATATCTTCTCAATGAAAAAAAGCTACAGTATTCTCATGTTCTTACAAATATGCGCAAGAAGTCAAAGAGTTGCACTGCCATCTATTGTGACTATGAGAATCTATTACGATAAGCGTACCCTTTTAGATGCTAATGATACTTGAGGATAACCATCGTATGAATATTCAGGTAATAATAAATCTTGTCTGCTAGCACCAACAATTGGTTTGAACTCAATACCATGACGTTCAGTGTTATGATTCAGTAAATAATTTTGTCTATTAATAAATATAAAAATGAATTGATTCATTTACTGAAACAAACTTATATTTAGTAGAAAAACAAAACTTGAGACCTATAAGCTTTAAAATCAGATACAATCCGAGTAACAGCATAGATTGATAGATTTTCTGTAATTGGTGAATCAAATCCATTCAATAGAGCTTCCAAACCAAAATATCGAATACTTTCTTTCGATAAGGAACTTAGTTTTCTCATCATTGAAATATATAAACAAGTCGTTTGTGATGTTTGTTGTAACGGTTGTTGCAGATTTAGATGATACTGATAGAATGGTTCGAAATTTTGCCATTGAAAACGGTGTTCAACTATTTTCTTTCCCGTTGGTTCATCAATAATAAAAATAATCAGGTCTACAAATAGAACACTAGAATGTTGTTTTTTCTTCTTCCGATACCCGCAATTTTTTTTAATTCAAACAAATATTAATTTACCCTCGGTAAGACTTCTATCTTCTGCTATATCTACATAGATCATTTCATTCCATTGTGGTGAGACACCTTCAATAAAATTTGTTGCATTAATTGTTTCTCCAATCTCTCCTTCCTCCAAAGTTGCTTTAGATTGTCTATATGTATATATATATAAATCAAAATATAATCAAAATTCATTTTTAATTACGCTGTAACATAGCATCTAGGTGAACGATTATTGATCTTAGGTAAATTAGCTGCGCCATGTACGAGTATATGAATAAGTTCTTTACAACGTGGTGCTACATGCGGAAATAGCGCACTGTATTTAGCTGTTGTCATTGTAAGTTATAGTTTGTTGCAAAACAATAGAAAATGTATTTATTGAAGTTTGAAAAATGTGTCGACACTTTACATTGTACTTCACAGAACTGATCGATAGACAGTAACAATCAACAAGACAAATATAATTATTACCTTTTCTCCGTTATTGTTTGTCATGTTTCGAATTTAAATAGAAGAAGAAAACTTCAGAAACGAGTCTCGCATTGCTTCGCAATACAAAATTTCAAGCCGCGAAGTAAAACTAGAATCAATTTTTTAAGAGAACGAATCCAACAATTAATCAAACACACTGATAAATCAATGGCATTTATTTTTATACAAAATTTGTGTTTTTCCCGTTTAGTCAAATTCGTATCCACTTAAACATTATATCTACTAGAGCAAAATATGATATTTATTTACAGATGCACAAATTCATGTTATGTTTTTATAGAACTTAGCTACTTTATTTATTAAGTATCAAGCTTCTTTTTTTCCTATTGAACGAAAAATTGACACCACCTTGGAATCCATTATGCAGTAACCGCCACTCTGTCTAATCGAACTCAATAACTTACCTGATATGAGAAACTAAATCTTGATGATGTTATGCTTTTGTAAGACAATGCTTGAAGCCACACAGTTGATCATTACATTTATTTTATTAACATAAAACTAATTATTCAATTCAGTTTAGAATGATTTCATTGTTAATCATAGAAAATATATCGAAACTATGGAAGTACTATTCGCCTGAAGACACATTGACTACTGAAGAATTCATGAGCACTTATAGATACCGTTGCACGTAATGCACAGCATCACTTTATTTATTTAAAATAAAAATTATTTTCAACTATCTCTGCATAATTTATTTCAATGCATTGAAAAAACAGAGAATAATAATATTATAATAAATATAAATAATTATAACTCACGTTATTATCTCCTTCGTCCATTCTTCTCTTCAAATATCATCTTCCTTTGAACAGAATCTTCTTCGTTTACTTCTCTGTACCGTTTTCCCGTAAGTTTTCTTTAGAGATACAAAATATTCTTAGTTTTTTTCTTCTCAGGAACAATCTTCAAATAAATCTTCCTTTCTTCATAACACAACTCTTCTTTCTTGTTTAAGCGTGTTTACATAATTTCTTTTTTCTTGATACACATAGAATGAAGAAAAAAACAAAAACAATCAATTTGAGAACCTTATCGTGCAAAGAACACAAAAAGAGAGAGAGGACAACATCATGAACTAGACAGGAAAAACATGAAAAGTGTAGCGCAGAATACACATACACAAAGAAAAAAAAAAGAAGAAACCATATTGGTTGAGTAAAGAGTTAGTTTAAACATTTTTTTTTTACTTTCATAGCAAAAAAAGCAATGTTGACTAGACACTCACCCCGATGAGATTCGTCAGCAGGGAATGAATGCCATTGGTTTTTTCTATTTTAATCGTATGCATAACCAGGACTACGACGTCGACGATCACCACCTAAATATAAAACTTGAATTGGAAAACAAAAGGCTTTATTTGACTTTCAAATCATTACCACGTCGAGATCGTGATCGACTTCGACTGCGTGATCTAAATGATTAAATAGATAGAACTTAGTAATTTGTATTAATCAACAAACCGAGATCGATGAGAATGATGACGATGTTTTCGATGATAAGACTTTCGGTCTGGAGATGGTGACCGACGATAACTATGTCCATTTGATCGATTGTATGATGTTGTACGAACACCCATGTAAATGCCAGGTGCTGTAATAGAAAACAAATGTACTTTCAAAGACTAAGCTAAAGTCTAAATGAACTTACTGGGTGTATGAGCACGTCTTGTCACCGAGTAATCAATACGTAAACGATGATGATCGAGTTCCGAAGCATTAAGAGCTTCTTTAGCCTAGACAAAAGAAAACAAAAGCAAGAGTAAATTCGAATTGGATTTTTATGCCTTATTTTACTCGTGTTGCACTTTCGACCTCTTCGTAATAAACGAAACCAAATCCACGTGATTTATTTGTTTTTTTATCAATTACAACTTGTACATCTTTAACTCGACCGAATTTATGAAATAGATCTAAATTAGTGTAAACGGTTTAGAGAAAAAAAAATTTCCCAAAAAAAATTACCTTTTAAATCACGTTCGGTTGTATATTGTGATAAACCGAAAACGCCGAGTACTGCACTTGGTATTGGATTTTCACGATGAACTTCATTTGGTGGACGACGACCTCCCTTCGGACTTGGACTACGTCGTGATCGATTACGTGATGGCGAGCGAGAACTTCTATAGAGAAATCATAAATTCGATTATCAAATGGATTCAGAATTTATCTTGCAACGTTGTAACTATTCCAATAATAAATCTAATAATTTATTTTGCAATGGAATTTTCTATTTCTAATACATTCTATAACAAGATTTCATAGATGAACTATGATGGTAAGGTTTCCAAAATAAATCCGGATGTGATAGTCTTCCGGACTCCGAAGACTGTCGGAGTTAATCTGTAGCAATGCTATCTTTCATGGGAAAAAAATTACCACTCGCTGCTTTTCGTGTGACCTTCCCTTGAACGTTAATAGTATTACAAAAACCGAAACGTGGATAAAACAAGGTGGCAGACAATGCGACAACTCGTCGCTTTGTTCTCTTTTTCAATGGCATTGTTTACCAGCAACTCCACGAAATTGTTCTCACCAATTTTATAGCTAAAGTTGGTGACTATAAAATTGTGCTATAGAAGAAAATTAAGACTACATTGCTGTCATATTTTTCTCACTATATTCAATTAGGTTATTAAATCGGTCAATCATTCACACATTTAGTTGATAATTTAATCAAACTGTACACTAGTCATGATGATGCCGCAGGGGAACAGAACCACAGGAACTTTTAATTTCTTTTTTCTAATACTACTCACAAAAGTGGCTTGAAGGGAGTTGAGTCGCGCTAGGGCCATTTCTTCTCTATGCTATTTTAACTTCTAATCAATGATATAATCAATGCAAATTATATAGTTTGTCTATTTTTTAAGTTAAATCTCGAGTAGAATATCAATTAAAAAATTAGCACACTACCGTCTGGGTGATGGCGATCGACTGTTTCGTGGTGAAGTAGGCGATCGTCGGCGCGTTCGTCCGCTATCTCGTTCTCTTGAATACTAAATATTAACAAAAGAATGATTCAAATTCAAAAAAAAATCTTCATAATAAGTAATACTTACACCTCGATCACTCATATTATCGTGCAAAATAACGACTGATTTGAAAATGAATGAAGGCTGAAAAACAAATAAATAAACAAACAAATAAGTAACAAAGACTTGCCATACCTAGCGACATATTATTTGATTGGTAGATTTTCTATGACGATCATGTGAATTCATTCCCCTGACTTGTTTCGATAAGCAAAAAGAAAGAGAGCGCTGTCTGCTGTCTGAAACGGACAAGTTCACATCGTTTTTGGTTTTGGTTTCATACAAGTAATGAAATTTCGAATTAAGTTGAATAATCAAACGTTTTCAATAATATTCGATGATAATAATGAAAGCCTCTCAATTCATAATTTAAAAGCAACAATACAAAAAAAATTTCCATCATTAAGAAAGTTAAACTTTCATTTATCACTTAATGGCAAAGATTTATTAATTGAAAATCAAACAATGTCTCAATCAGGCCTTGTTAATGGTGATACGATTTATATCCTAAATGAAATTAATAAAAATAATTTAGCACTGCTATCCCTATCATCCGTCGATCATCCATTGACACTCGATGAAGTACGAGATTTACAAGCATATCCAATATCAATGCATCGTCTGGTTGATTCTTCTCAGCCAGAAACTGATTTCGATTATATTGCGATAGTTATACATGCTTTAATGCTTGAAAGTGGCTTTCAAATGGTAAAGAAAAATTGTTTCCTTTTTTTATTGCAGAAAAAAATGAATGAATACGTTTTTTTCTTTTAGGATACAGAAAACAATTATGATATAAGAATTGCAAGAAAATCTTCCACATTTTATGTCATCCGTTATCGACATAAATTATGTGACAAAGAACGTGTTACATGTTCATTAGCAATTATGAAAACAGACGCACTAGTGACAATCGATGGTGGGAATTTCTTTTTTTAAATTTTAATTGACCTATTTCCGTTTTTCTGCTTAGGTGTTGTTAATTCAATATCACAAGCGTGCGGGAAGTTATCATTTAATATGGCCAATTATTTACATACACAAAAAGAAGGTATAACAATAAAGTTGAATTCAAGTTGACAGTTTAAAAACGAAATTTTTATTATTGATAAATGTCCATTCGAAAATCAAGTGTTCAGTTTGGGTTGTGAGTCTTTGTGTAACCCTGAGAGCCGTCGCTGAAGATATCATTGAATTTGAATATGTAACATATTTTTCCGGAATGAATCAGATCAGTGTGAAACCAGCCTGTTCAGATCTTGTCTGAGTCTTCTTCTCTATCAGCACAAGTGCTCTCGAACGAAACGATGGATTTTTCTCATAGACATTTTTTTCTAACTTTTGAAAACTTGAGCCAGTGCTCTCTTGGAGTCTCTGTTTTTTTGCTTAAAAATTTTCAAACTGTACGGAGATCTTAAATGGTTTATGAATTTGTGAATAGCGTCTATTCATTCTTATATTATACATTTTCTTTTAGCAGCTGGTTTAAATGCAATCTTTCCTTATCATCATCTTCGTGATTTATCACGGTCCTTCAAAGATAATTTAGCAAATCGTCTATTGTGTAAATTACTAGAAGGTAAAAGCTACCTTTTTAGTATTTAAATGTTTTGTTTTGATCAAAATTCATTTGTCTAGAATCGGGACAACGTTCAAGTGCAACATTGATTGGATTACCAAATGAAATAAAAGTAAATTTATTAATTTGTTTTGCATAAATATATGATTTTCTTATTGATCTCATTTTAGCTTCGTTTAGGGAAGTATCTTCCAATAAAATCTTTACTTGCACTTCAATCGACATGCCGCGATATTCATAACACTTTAAATGATAATCTTTTTTGGCATGATTTATGTGTACGAGATTTTGATAAAACTGGTAAAAATAGATAATTTTGTTTTCGTCTATTCTTAACAAAAAAATTAATTTTCCTTTCAGCAATAATATCAGCTTCGAGTACGACAGAGAATAGCTCAAATGAAAAAAATTGGCATAAACTGTATCTAACAATCTATGCTCAAAAACAAGTCATATTAAGGCATCAAACGAAATTCTCTCCAATGTTCCATACGACTTTTGTTCCAATAGCACCACCGCCCGGTCATCCAGCACATCGAGTCATTTTTCCAGATCCAACTAATGCCGCAACTGCTGCATTTCATCCTTTTCCACCCGCCATTTATCGACCTATTCCACCTGGCGTATTCCGTAAGTGAATTTCGTGTTCTTTTTATTTTTTATTCTTCGAGATGCTTCGTGTATCGTGCTTGTCAAATTCGTCTTTTTCTTCTTGCTATTACAATTATGCTAGCAAAAAATCACGACTCATCATCTTTTTTATTTTTTTCTAACTATAAAAAGGCATTTGTACTGCGAATACACAGCAGGCACAAACAACACAGCATCAGCAAGCACAACATCACATATATTGTCAACCACTTTTTGGTCTAAAATGGGTCGTGATTTTTGCAGGTATATGCTTAATTTCAATTTTCTTTTTTGAAAAACGAACAGAAAGTTAAAAGTAAACTAACGTTTTGATATCATTTTTATTTCAAGCTGCTACTATGATTCCACTACCGCCATGTTTTCATCCTGTTTGGCTTGGCTAAGAAAAATTCTTTGTCTACACTCTCGTTCATTTATCCACGATCGTTAGGTTTTCATAAATATAAATATACATATATATTTTGTGTCATTTGTGTTTTTGTCTTCTGTAATATATATATATAGACATTATAATGGCGGTTTCTCTAGTGCATCTCACCTAACATAATTGTTTTCTTTTACTCGGCGTGTAATAACGGTGTGTCTCGTTGTTTGTTGTTATTGAACATTGTTTTTTGTCTGTTATTACTAGTGATCTGCAACTCCTCTATTATTCTTCTTTTCTGTATGAAACAAAGCCTATTTATCTACTTTAAAATCGATAAATAGGTCAGTAGGTTATTTGCTTTTTATTCTTGTATCATTGTGAAATAGTAATTTTCAAAAACTAACAACAACAGGTATAAGCATAGCATTGAAGATGATCCATCGCGCTTTTTTTTCCTCTTGCCTAGCTTGTGCATGATCAGTGCACCAAGATTCGTTTAGCTTCCAACATGTCTTTAACGGGTGTTGCGTTTCTATCTATCTATCTATCTATCTATCTATCTATCTATCTATTATACTAAAACGTTGATTTATTCGTTTGTTTTGCACACATTCACTCTTTATGATACTTGTATTAACATATACGTAGATAGGAATACATAAAAAAACCAAATTATGGTTTTCGTTTTTGTTTGGTTTTGTTTTACTGTAGACGTGCGTGTTATCTATAACTTTCATGCGTACATTCAAGCGACCGTTTTAAATATTAAAAAAAAAGAACCAAACTGTACGTTTGATGTATATCCGTTAGTTTTGTTTGTTTTTTTTTGGCGTGATATCATCTATCATTTAACAAAATATATCTAGCATCATTATCAGGATTTGATCGAATACGATCAATCCATCTTTGGTTTAATTTATTTTTCTAATTTTGCATTGCTTAATTTTCATAGCACTCAACGAGAAAAAAAGTGTTGCTTGGACTAAATTGAAAGTAATGGGCCTGTTGATTTTACTGATTTCAATTACAGTTTTGAGATCATTTTTTACATATTGTCTCATCCTGATGGCGAAAAGATAGTCTATCGAATATAGTTTGCTTTTACAGACCTTGATGGTTTAGCTTTTGGAAAATCAAGGATGCTTTAGACAGAAGTCTTTAATTGTCTATTAGTAAGAAATATTACTTAACAATTGCTATAACTATTCAATAATAAACGTTGTATGATAGATGCCGATTATTCTGCATAGAATAAGAATGCGACATTTAAGATTGTTTTATGGAATATGACGAGTACTCTATCAACTTTGAAATAATTATTCTGATACAAAAAGAAACATTATTGATTAACAAGTCGAGAAACAAATGGCGTTCTTGATTTGTAATCTTTTTTTCGAAATCTTGATATTCTAAATAGATTTTCAACGTCTGAAGAAAACAGAACAGCATTTTTAAATGAGATTGATTATAGCGATGACGGAAACAGGAGAATCAATCTTTCCGTTCGAATTATTTTTATCAGCAAGAAACTAGACTAGTCGACCACTAATTTGACCGAGAAACATGTTTGATGGTTATGACGCTTCCCAATTAACAGTACACTAAATTCGGCATTCTACTGCAAGTGATAAGTTTCTATTATGATTAATAACTTTGAAATGTTTTTGTACCAATTAATCGAATGAAAAATCTTCTTTTATTCTAGCTCGTGATTCTATCCGTCGAAATGAATAAACAATCACTACTATTTGACAGCTAACAATTGCATTTTATTTTTGCGCCACGTTTTCGATTATTATGTATATGAAAATATTTTTTTGTAGATACGAAATAATATGCGTTACGGAATAAATAGAAAACTCCATCTGACTATATTAAAAGTTTCGTCAGTAATCGGATATGATTGTTTTTTGTTGTTGCTAAAACGAACAATGTTTGAGTGTTGCAAAAATGGAATTTTTATCATACAATATAGCACGATCTGTAGAATAAAAATCTCCATAATCTTCGGAAGCTGTCTGTTCATGTGTAATTTCTTTAAAATTCTGGAATATTATCTATTAGTTTATCGTTTCTTTTTCGAAGAAAAAAGTATCGTTCTGTTTTGAATCATTAAATGTACAAAGTTCCAAAAAAAATCTACTCTAAACACTTGAATCAACATTAGAAGTGTTCAAGTCATTGAATTCAAGGTAAAATACTAAAGAGATTAACAGTATCAGCTACAAAATGAATATTATTTTTTCTGTTCTTTCTTTCTTTCAGGTTGAATCATATCATTATCGATGTTAAGTACTTCGAAGAAAATTATATTCCATGCCGTACGATAAACGATTAAATGAGAATAATTCATCATGAAACGAAAAACGGCACAATATGAGAATTAAATCATATTCATATTGATCAAAAGAAGAAGAAAAATCGATTCGCTTTTTTCCGTTTTACTATTATAAGAAAATAACAACAAGTAGATATTTCATTTTTTGGTTTTGTTTGTTTTTTGTGGAACGTTTTACCAGTTAATAGGATGATGAAGAGAAAAAGAAATGTAAGAATAGGAATACAAGAAGAAGAACAAGAACAGAGGCAGTAAACAGAAAAACTAAAAACAACAACAATGACAAAAGAGCGTTCTTGTCTTTAAAGTTTTTGGTTCGATAGATTTGTTTAAATGTACAAAAACGTCGTTTTTTTTAATTTAATTTCCATTCCATAGTCCTGACTCTTTAACAGCCATTTGAAGATAATATTGGGCTTGACTGATTTGAGTCGCTGTACCTTGTATTGTAATAACTCGATCGTTCGAACCTGGTGCTGGATCATCAATACGTATCATAGCTCCTGACGTTTGACGTATTTGAGCTATTTTCGTACCACGATGTCCTATAATACAACTGGCTAAATGATTTGGAATAGTAACTTGATTTGTTTGTGTTTGAGGTAAATTATAATTTGAATCATCTCCAGTTATTAATGGACGAGGGATTTGTGGCGGAGGTGGCCCTTGATTATAATTATTATTGGGACCATTAGGATAATTATTATTATTATTATGATGATTAAAAGATGGTGGACCTTGAAAACCACCTTGATCACGTGGACCACGATATCCAGTTGGCGGCGGTAGGGGTTGTTGTTGTTGTTGTTGTAGTGGAGGTAGACCATTGCCGCCTGGCTGATTCATCATCATACCATGTTGAGCTTCCGAAAAGCCACCTAAAAAGGATAAAGTTTTAGTTAAGAACAAAACTGGGATAATCTTGTTAATTAACAAACCATATTCAGATGAAAGATTCTCATCGAAATTGAATGGATCATAGAAACACGTTTGTCCACGTGGTGGTGTTTGTTCTAGAATACTAAAAACTTCACGTAAGCAACGTTCAATATCATCGGCACGACCGCGTAATGCAACAACACGTTCAGTTGAAAATGGTAAACATTGAACAAAAACTTTCATTCCAACATTATATTTTGATCGAAGTTCACGAACACGTTCACCGCCTTTACCTAAGTAGAAAAAGAATAGGTGTTTTTCTTCTCCTGATCGCACTAGTTTTCTTGTTATTATTTACCAATAACTGCACCGGCTTGACTTTGATGTGTGAGTAAACGTATTTCACTTTGATCATTTTGTACACGTTGGTTATCTCTCATGGTTGGTAAGATGTCAATAATAGCTGCTAAACAGGAATCATAATCACCTTGAATTGTTAGAACACGTTCTGGGCCCTACGAACAAGAAATCTTTTGTTTTCAGAGACGAACAAAACTTAAAAACTAAATCAACATACATTACAATCGGGTACTTGAATAATAACTTTATGTTTCTGACGAAGTGTTTGAATATTAGAACCTTTTTTACCAATAATAGCTCCAGCATCACGACTACACACTAAAAAGCGTACTTCAAGTCGCCCATGGCTATTTGCATTTCCACTGCGATTTGTTCCATTGCTGGAATTATTCATATTATTTTCATTATTATTATTATTATTATTATTATTTTGTTGACCATTGTCCTCATTATCCATATTGGAATTATGTTCATTCATGGATGGATTTTAAAAGGGAAGATGGATAAGTGAAGATAAACGTTCAATTAACTGACGGATCTAGAATAAAATAATATATATATATATAATAGACAATTTAACAGAGAAATTCAATGGAAAGAATGATTAGATGAATATGATAGAGAACAAACGATGGGCAGAGAATGTCATTCAATGAGTAAGAACTGGCCATTTGAATATAATAAACGCATTTATGCATTTCATGCAGTACTACTTTTCATTGTTTTATATGCAGAATTGATCAATACCATAGTGACAAAATTTATTATTGGTTCTATGAATAGCGAATAAAAATCCTCATTAATCAATAATGATAATTAATAATATAACTAGTGTCCAATTTAGAAATCAATCAATGCATTATAAAACGGTCTATACTCTGAAATCCTACTATTGAATCTACTGAAGTTACGGAAAACACTCTTCTCTGACGTAGATACATGATGTATCGATATGATCCTTTGTTGATGTGTTGAGCAAAACAAAAGCAGAGATATTCTTAGTGACATCTGGCGAGTGTGTTTTGTAAAATATCACTGTAGTGTAGCACCATCGTCTGGATGGAACTGATCTCACTGGTGAAATATACACATACACATCCATGAGAATTTGCTTATTGTAACTTTTCGATCATATTGCATTTTTTCTTCGTCGTCATGGTTCACTAATATATTCAAAAAACTAACAATATCGTTAAATAACTTGCGTAATAGCTTTGAAATTCAATCTAAAATAAACATATTTCGTGATTAAATAGCTTACAATATGTTACAAGGTAACTTGAATTGTACGAACCAACGAATTTTCGACATGAGTATCCCTATCGGAAAAAATCGAATGAAGAATATCGTTCCTAAGATCCTTCCGTTTTTTATTGTGAATCGATTAGTTTTTCATGGTTACTTCTACTACAATAGGTGTCTTACAGTTATTGGTTGATTCAAAAAATTATTCAAATATTAAAATGCTTCCTAAAATGCGTTCTTAAAATTTAGATTCTATGAATAAAATTGACTATTAGAAAGAACGGCGTAATTCAAAAATAGTTTTTCTTGAGTTATTGACTTCCAAGAATTATCAGATTTATACATTTTGAGTAGACGAGTAAATTTTATGCAATAAAAATACTTCTTAGAACACGATTGACTTAAATTTTTCATAGAAGTTTAGTTGGTTTAACTAGTCTATCTGTATGCAAGGCTTCATATTGAAATATTATTGCTCTCTTTGAGTTTCATATTTTAATACATCATCCTTGTTGTCAACAATTTTAAATAAAACATTTGATATCAATCGTTCGCTGTTTTGTTCAACTTGAGGTATCCATTCTCTAGAACTTCAATCAAATTAAGACCAGAGGTTTTTCATACTTGATGGACGTCTGTCTTATAGACAAAGTTCAAAAGTAACCAATCACTTTGAAGTACTCTCCCATGAGTCATGACATAATAGACATTAAATAATAATTCAAGAAAACTCAGCTACGTATAAAAAGATTCTATTCTCAATAGGTTTGTTTGATGCAATTGAAACATTGTACTCTATTAATTAGAATCCTGTTTATTATCGCTTTGATTTCCATGACATTTTTCTTTTTCTCCATGCCGGTATCATTACATTCGACTAGTCTCATAGTTCCATCTAGAAAAACAAATGGCACGATTGTTATATCGATCTAATCAATCGATGAAATCTCATCTTGCATACACACACGCTCCTCCTATTCTTCGGTCACAGCTATATCATATATTCGTTCGTTCGTTCTGTAACAGTAGTTTATATATACATTTGATATGATCATATGAAAAACAACAATTAGAACATTTCATAGTTTATATAAATATTTTGCTTTAATTCTAAAGAAAAATCAATTCATCGTCTTATATTTCAATCTATCAGGTGAGAGAACAGAAAATTCATATGACATTTTCCTTCGATATTTTTTCTCCTTGAATTCAATCTAATGAAAGACGTTTTCTTTCACCCAGATGGTTAACACGAGTAAAAACAACAACAACATAGAACAAGCCGGCCGCAATCGATTCGATTAGCAAGAAAGCTTTGACATTTGACGTTCATCATCTGTTATTTCAATCAATGAAGATCATAGATACCTAAAGAAAGCATCATCAATTGCGCCTCATTTTCACCTCAAAAAGAAGAAACAAAAAAGAAAGACAAAATTAGTTCTTCTGTTCTTGTTCCACATCATTGATAAACAGACGAAATCCATTGAGATTAAACAAATAACATTTGATTTTTACTGGAGCACTTGCTTTTTCCTACGCTAGAATTGTATAAACAAAGGACATTGATAAAACAAATATATATATATATATATATATATGATGATTATTCCGTTATGTGTCTCCATAAAGTGCTCTCGGAAAATAATAGCAGGGATGTAAATAATACAAACGGCTTTTTCGTCCATCTGGACACCATTGGACTCGTGTGCATATAGTTAATTAGGGCAAGAAAAATCTGATGACGACTCACTAAGTTCAATAAGCCGGAAATGTAAACAAGAAGAAGAAGACGACATAAATGCCGTAGGAGAGAATTTGTTTTGTCGTCCTTTTTCCTTCAGCAATCGCTTATGTTTATTTATACAGCAACAAAAAAGAGAGAAGAAAAAAAAAGAAAAGAAGAAATCTAGTGGCTAGCAATGCTTTCGTCATCTTCGGAATCTCCATCTTGTTCTTCGTTCGAACCATGATAACATGCCTTTTGATTGACTTTATCGATTTTAGCCAAAACGGCACCTCGAACACGTTTGAATTTCATACGACGATTTTGAAACCAAACCTTAAAATAAAATATTTTAATAAACAAAACAAAAAATTGTTTTGTTTTTTTAATAAATTTACTTTAACTTGACGTTCTGTTAAACTAAGTGCAACAGCTATTTCATAACGACGTAAACGTGTTAAATAATTATGTTTTAAAAATTCACGTTCCAATTCACGTATTTGATTTTTTGTAAAAGCTGTACGTTCTTTACGTGGTTTTGAATTAACAGGAACTGATTGAGCTGGACTAACACCATTATTTATTGATGATGATTCATTTGATGATGAAGCTAAATAAGTCGTTTTTGTTATACTAGTCAAAACTTTCAAATGAATAAAAACATACCGCCAGATGATGATGCTTTCGGACTTAAACCAACTGTCGTTGATAGATCATTTAGATGTTGAACTTTATTATTAGCTTGTTTAAAATTATTTGGCGAATCTGTTGTTCCCATTGAAGGATTCTCGGCGAATAACGGATGATGATGACTATGTGCTGGATCGCAATTGAAATTAAAATTAAAATAAGCAGCTACAGTTGCTTTCGATGCTGCCGCTGATGTGTTGGATTTATAATCAAGCTCCGTTGGAGTTGATTGTTGAGGATTATAGGCAATATATGGATGAGAATGATAATCAAGTGTTGTATCATATTTTGATGATGGTGGTGAAACTGAATGTGATGGTGGTGGAAACCAACAATCAGTTTGATTTTGATAGGCACTTGCAGGATGATGATAGGGACGCATTGAATATGTCGATTGAAAACGATGATAATCCATGGGCGAATAGTGTTGCATATGAGACGATAGTGCATGCAAACGTTGTTGTTCCTCCATGCTATTGAAAAATACAAATGATAATTATAAAGATAAGTTTTTTTGATTTTCTCACCTGATTTAAAGCTATTAATCAAAGGATAATGTTAACTATTTTAGCAGAAATATATATGTGTAAGAAAAAAATAATTAGCAAAAGTAGATCGAAGAATAGACGAAGAAGAAATTCAGTGTCTCTTTCATCTCTTTCCCTCTTCTGTTTTTTCTTCTTCTCTCTTTGAGTCGGATCGTTAGTGGGAGGAAGAGAGAGAGAGAGTAAAAAGGAAAATATCATTCTATATCTAGATCTATTTATTTCTATTGGCTTATCGATGTTGTACGAAACCAATCAATGATTTTTCTTCGGGTTAACAGAGATGTAACACTTGAAACAGCATGAAACTTTCAGGATCAACCCACTTGAAAACTTATTTGAAATGTTTTCTTGTTTGTAAATGAGAAAAGTCATGTATGCTCGAGAAGAAAGATATGCATTGTTGTTCTTTTATCTTTTTCGATTTTAACGACAACAAAATGATATCATACTGTACACAAGCAAACAACCATTAATGTTTATAGGTCACAAAATAGAATCTACTTCTTGTTTGGATGAATATCGTGAATGAAACTTCGCAATGAAAAACTGCGAGAAGAATTTCTACTGTTGAGATTAGATTACATAATAAAACATGTATTGTTACGCCTATTTAGTTAGAAACGATTCTCTAGTACATAACCAGACAGGCCAGATGTTTAAATCATCACATAAAATACTCATCAATTCTCTAATATATATTTTTATTTTTTTCAAACAGACGTAATAATGAATATTTGATTCCTACCTGCAAATTGTACAACTAAATTAACCGTATATGGTGAATCCAGAGATGGGCGAGTCAAGCCAAGTCATTTATTGACTGACCTTGACTTGACTGGGCAACGTCTTGATGACGCGGAGACTTGACTTGTAAATTGCTGGAAAACACAAGTCAAGTCAGCTGTATTTCGGCAACGATCATGTATATTAGCTTCATAAAGCGTAGCTTTTTTTTTGTTCGAGTACGAAATTGTTCACTTTTTGCCATCAATACTTGAGAAATTTTCTACTAGATAATTGCTCATTTTTCATGATGGTAAGTATGAATCGTTATTATATGTAATAAAAAATAAAGAATCGAACAGCATCATTAGCAGTTATATTTATCCAATGGTGAGAGTTTAAGGTGATTCATACATAATCCATTGTATTGAATCAGTTAAATTTATTATAACATTTGTTAAAACTAAATATGTATGAACCAATGTCACATGATGATATTAATCTTTCAAACGACTCTCCAGATGTCTGTGTATTATCTCCTGTGTGCCAGTCTCTTGCGCTTCATCAGTTGAATCAACTACAGCACCATCATAAAATATTGATAATATTCCAAAAACAATAAAAAATAAATTTTTCATTAACATTACAAAGTATGAAACAAATTGATCCCGTGAATGTATTTTATGTCAAAAAATTCAATATGATAGTATAGATGAATCATCAAATATGAGTCAAAGCTGGGCGAGACACTCGAAGTACTCGTACTCGTACTCTAGGGTGAAGTACTCGAAGTCCTACATCAACATTAATTATGTCAAAATGATGCTTGATAAAATCATAATTTAGATTTTTTCAAGAAAGAACAGTTGATTTCTTTCTTTCCTTTTATATTTATATATATATATGTATTATGAATGAATCATTCAGATAAATATTTATCCTTCTTTATATGAACTGGGTCTGAAATACTTATCAGTGCCGGCTACATCAACTCCTATTGAAAGAATATTTTCTCAAAGTGGATTTGTAATGCGCCCACACCGCGCGTCGTTAACTTCAAAAAGTGTATGTTTCCTTACATTTCTTAAATGTAATCAAGTTTTGTTGTAGTTTTTGTTTTGAAACTTGATGATAAACGTAGTTTAAAAATATCGATTCATGACTAAGACTATTTCTTGCTCTCACAATTGATACGTAATCTCTAACATTACCAATTAAATTTTCTCTAATAAGTTCGCGACAAGCACATTCTCATATCATGTACTCGTACTCGAAAAAGTTCGTGCTTGCTCAGCTCTGATATGAATCGACATGTAAAAAGTCAACATAAAATAGCATATCACTAATGGATCAATGAATTAAATACAAAGCATTGGACTACTTGGCAAAGAAGGTATTCACAGTTCCTGCAGCGTCATCACCTATTGAAAGAGTTTTCTCTCAAAGCGGTTTTATATTTCGACAACATCGATCAAAAATGCCAAGAAAGACATTACCAATGCTAAAAATGTTAAAATGTAATCAACGAGTAATGTAAAATTAAATTAAAAAATTTTCCAGCAATGCCAAGTGAACGACTTGACTGAGAAAAGACTGATGACTTGAGACTCGGCTAGAACTTGACTTGGGCAGAGTTGTGACTTGACTTGACTCATGCATAATCTACAAATGACCTGACTTGACTTGGGTAAAAAAAAATAGTCTGGCTCGCCCATCTCTGGATGAATCGTTGTATGCTTAGTATCTCAAATCGTGTATAGTCTATTGTTTTTGTATATTAAAATTAGATGATCATAATCAAATGAGTTGACTTCTTAGTCATCAAATTCTAATCTATTTCATAGATTCAATTTGGTGGAGCTTAATAACGAATATTTTCTACTAGGAACATATTACATGGTTGTATAATAATGAACTGTGAGATAAAAATAGTAGTAAAATGTATCTCGTTGATAATATCAAGAAAAAGTACTCTTCAAAAATAAAGACACTTAATTCACAGGTTTGTTTTGCTCATATAGCATGAAGATGATACTCACCGTCATACTTCAGGAAAATGGATGGTGACATAACGATCTCTGTTATTTAGAATATCGAGCACGTACTCCTTGTTCCTCTTTCGACACTTGTCTACGATGAAAATATTCTACACTCGGTCCCCCTACCTTGAAAAGTGATTTAATTTTATATCTCTGGTGAAATTTTAGAAAATGCCTTAGAAATTAATTATCTATGACGTAAATTCTTTTGAAAAGATTGCTTTAATATAGTCGTAAAAATTCTTCAAAAATAAATTTGAATATCTTGAAAGCATTATATATCATTCTAAAGCAGAGATAAGCACAGAATAAGATTTTCCGCTCTGTCTTGCTAGCTAACTTAATTCTGTTGAGCGGCAGAACAAGGCATCGAAACTGCTCTATCCTTTTTTGCTCATTAAATTCGTATTCATAGGTGGCAGAAAACTAAGAATCGGATTTTTCGCTTTGACTTTCGTTGTCCAATGAAAATCTGACAATTAGTTATCTTAGAGCTAATTTGATTTATATAATTTTGCAAGAAAAAAATATCAATGGTACACATGAGGCAAAACCTTTTGTCCTGGCGGGTGGTATGTATAAGATAAACTATCATAATGGCGTCCTATCCTGCAACTTCTTCGCGATGAAAATATTCTCATTGTTGCCGCGTAAAAAAGTATGACTCATACGTCTCTCTTAGACATATCTCAGTGAAACTTGAATGAATCTATATTTGTAATTAGCTATGAGCAATCTCTCATTATCTTTCTTCGTTGATATTACACTTTTAAATTTCTCGAATAGAATAGCTCCTGAGTCATTAAACAAGATATTCTATTTAACTCAATATTAGCAACTTTTTGTTCCAAATATAGAAGTGTTCTTCAATTAAAACCCATCGCATGTAACAATGTTTTTAGTATCTTATCTACTGAGTTGTAATAATCAACAAAAGAAAATGCCGATATCGCCTAATGTACGTCTTTATATCTAAGAAACATTTTAATGTTCTTTTCAATATTATTCTAAAGGTTTTTTTAGATTTTTTTTGATAAAACATCATTGTAGTAATTACTCAACATGATTAATCTTAGTGCACATCTAAACATGTCTGCGAGAAGCATATATATTTTTATCAGTTCGACTGGATTTTGTGTTACATAAAGATGCAAGAGAGACTGAAGAACAAATTATTACAAGTTTGTATACATTTAAATTTTAACGGGCTCCATCAAATGGGTAGTTAAACTTATAAGATTCCCTAAATTTTTTCTTTCAAGAACTTTTTACGGCTTGCACTATTTAACAGTATCAGCTCAACGACACAATTCTCTCCTCATGATCTATTTGCTTCTATTTTCATACACATTTATAATATGAGTCTACGTGAGTGTGTGTGATAAATAATGAAAAATCAGCAGTTAATAAGACTTTAAAAAAAGAAAATGGCTAACATGGCAAACTACAGTTGGGAATATGAAAAAGAAAACTATGATTTATTTTTAGCAACATCATAGAGAAAACTTTGTTGATTTGTGCAGGATAAAGTAGAATAGAAAATATGAGCTCTTCAATTTTGTCAATTACTCTCTCATATGAATATAATGTCACGAATGGCAAAACTTGTTCATTTTTTTCTACACAAAAATGTTTTCATTCGAACGTGAGAATCAACAGTCAGGCAAACCAATAAACTAAAGACTTGAGGACATTGAAGCTCTAAATAAAAGTTATAATTATGTCGAAACGAGAGATCCCGTTCTAGCCAAACGGCATGTTATTGTTGAAGATAAAAATAATAATCATCGTTTTATGATGTTCACAACAAGTAGTTGCATATGTGTCGAGCACACCTTTTTGTTTGAATAATGGTTGGCAGGAAAAAACTTTGAGTTTGATTGAATTAACTACTTGACTATATACGTAGAATAAATAAGTTCACATGACATCAGGGTGGCCAGATCAAAAATTGAAAAATCAGAAAACGATCAGAAACTATCTCTGAAAAATCAGTAATTAATCAGAAAATGGCAGTTTTTGGCAAATTAGCAGATCTTCCGCTAAAATGCTGGCATCCAAAATTCTGCTGCATTTCCGTTCACTGACTGGAACTTTATTTTCAAAGATATTTTAATAAAACGAAAGACTCTATAGTGAATATATCGTTGAGCTAATACGCAAACATCAATAAAAGATACGTAATGTTGAGCTTCTTTTTAAATTTAAAACTCGTTCACAAAAACGAGCAGAACTAAATCACATACATTCTGCGTAGATTAAGAAATCCAACGAGAAAAAAAAACGTTAAATTCCATCATCTCGGTATTGTTATTCATATTTCGTATCTTTTGGAATTTGCTCTAGGCATTTTGTTTAAGATAACATATGCTAATAAAAACCTTCTCAAGAATTATTACCAATCACTTTTATTCTAAGTTAAGCATTATCTGGTTTTATATTACTGGATTACGATAATCGGACTATAAATGCTTCATATAAGCGAAAATCAATTCTACTCCAGAATCCGAATGCGGAATATAAAAGATGATTAATGCAGAAAATTGATGAAAAACTATTGATTTATTATAGTAATGGGTTATAATCGTACCTGATTTCAGTGGCAAAGCAACGATCTGAAAAAATTCCAAATTCAGAAATTTTCCTTAGTTTTCACAAGATCTGGCCACCCTGCATGACATCGTTCTAATTCAAGGTAATTTAAATGAAATGATGCTAAAATAATTGTATGGAATCTAATTTAGTGAATTTGATAAATCAGTACACCTCTGAAATGAACGTACATGTTTATTTTAGGCCACGAAATTCATCGTTTTACTATTAATTATTTACAAGATCTTAGTTGATTAATGTTAATACTCATTAATTAGCTTTCGAAACCATAGTTTTCGCTTTAAACTCTTAAGTTTATTTACAAAATGAGTCACGATTGAATTACATGGCTGATGCACAGAGGGCTATTATTTTCTTCTACGCACACAAAAGCTTCCTAATACAACCTATTACCGAAGTTATAAATTAAAATTTTATAAACTTTTTAAATTTCAATTGCACTGTCACTCGGTTACATTCTTTGAAATTGAATATGTAAAAACCATTTGTACATCATAGCCGTTGAGCGATAGACTAGATTTATATCTATTGCTTAGCTACTATGAACGAAATAACAGTTCACTGGCTCGTGTTTACGAAATATTGTTGGAAAAAACTGAGTTGAAAAATCGATTCGCTTGTTGTTTTATCTTCATAGTTTATTGAAGGAAAACTTTTATAAGGGAATCTAACAGGTTCAGAGATTAATGAATTTAATTTAGAAAACTGTAACACACATGAAGTTTGAATTTAAAATCATACCATTGCCAAATAGTCTTCCTCATATGTCGCACATCATTTAACTTTTCAGTCTTGTATTGATATTTTAAAAATTCAATCGATATTATTATAAAATAAATGATTGCCAATAGTAACCACTGGATTTTTGCCTCTTTTCCAATTAGGCTTGATAGTGTTCGCATGATAATGTATTGAACCTTTTGTGTTATCAGGTAGGGTTCCATTTAATACTTGTTCCGCTATTTTACGAATCTTTAGATATGATTTATCATCGATTTGTAACTCAAGAAGCTTTTGTCGATTAGCATCACCGAGATTCCAACATGAAAATTGATACGGCTTAAGACATACATCTTTTATTGTTTTACCTAAATAGTCATGACCTTTAGCAGCTCGATTTCGAATAACCCAGGCAACAGCCGCTTGACCTTCTGGTGGTTCACCTCGTGCTTCACCATAAACAGTATGTGCCAAAACATCAACGTCGTCTAAAGTTTCTGGATAGACCATGATTTTTGAATGAAGACAAATGAAAATGATAAATATATATATATATATATATATATGCTTTTTTTTTCTATCGGCCAGTAAACGGAAGAACTGTCGAACACTGATAACACAGTATGACGTCACAATAGTTTTGACCTACTTTCATTCAAATAGTTTAATGTTCTGAATTCGAAGAGTTTTCAAGTCGTTCTATGGTTTTTCATTCGATTACGTTATCCTATACAAGATTAGATCTATTAGTTTAGCTTAACTGAAGTTATTTTTTCCAACAGTAGATTGAAATTCTAAGAAAGAATCACAATTATATGATATTTTTCCAACAATTGTTATTAATTTATTTTTATACTTGTAAATAATGAATAATCAAATGTAAGCGTTACTTCCTACCGTTATCAGTATGTCATATCTAGGAAGTGGTGTCCATTAAATTTCGCTTCACTTCTTCCATATATGAATCATCATATGTTGTCATTATTACTAATAAATCTGGTATTTATTCAAAAACTTTTCAGTATGCAACTGATGTCACTTGCATAACACTATAGATCAACCCGAAAAATAAATTCTTGTTAACAAATCTGTATCAGACGTTTCTTATATTCACGTGATATGTGATGAAAATATTAATCTTAAAGTTAGTAATTCAAAAAAATCGGCATATGATGATTTTCGTTTCTATGAACTTAACGGTTGTGACTACAAGAAATAGAATTGATTTAATTTCTTAGCTTCAATTCTAGTTAAGAGTACATCTAAATGCTGAACTAAAATTTTAGGTTAAGGGCGTGAACATTTATTAGATACCCTTCGTAAATTTATTACATTTTAAGACGACAAAAATCTTGTGTACAAAACAGAAAACACTAATTACTGATCAACAGAAGATTGTTTTGCTTTCCATAAACGATATTGTGCCATTTGTGTAGGAAACTGTGTACTTAATTCTACAGCTAATGTATCAGCAAATTTTGCGAGTGTTTCATTTTTCCCATTGATTTCTTCGTTTCGTTCAAGTGTACGTTGCAAACAGTCACGTGTAAACATTTGTGGATTTTTTAGATCATCGACATAACTAAATGGATAGGTAATAATAATCAATGAAGAATTAGTATTGCTTTTTTATTTCTATTTACTTTAGTAATTGTCCAGGAATATGTACATCTTGAAATTGATCTTTCATTTGATCAACATCTTTTAATAAACCAATGATTTCATTAAGTACTTGATCGACACGAGGCTGAGATTGTGCTTGAAAATCAGTAACAGTTACATATAAATTCCATGTTTTATCAATTAAATACTCTAATTCAGTTGATAATTTTGTCAAAGAATCGCTCATATTGATGTTTCAAAAGAAATCTATTCAGTATGCAACTCTTCTGTCTTCATTCTTTCTGCCCTATTTCAACGTATGCTTTCTAATGGCTGATTCAATCGACCAATTCAATCTGATACAGGAAAGAGTGCGCACAGTTCCTGCAGAGACAACAGTAATAAAAGCAATAAATATCTGCTGATTATCGATCACAATGATGAGATATTGAAACCAAACCATTTATTTTTCGATAGATTTCTAACAGCTCGGACATTTCCCATGAAATTATTGATAATTGAGTCTACTATCCGCCACTCCCTTTCAATGGTAGCTGCAGAGGCGTAACTCCGCTCCAAAAACAGGGGGCAGCGTTATGCCCCCCTATCAATCAGATTTACTTCACTGCTCATATGATATTAATATGCGTTTAAAATTTGCTGATTATCATAGAAAAATACCTGCAACAACATTAGAATTTAGTCAATTAACAGTTAGTTATCACCATCAAAATGATTTTCGATTAACAAATCCTTTAAGTTATGCTCCAACGCGAAGAGAACGTAGAAATTTTGTTAGTTTCTTTTCTTTTTTAATTGTCATCGTAGTTTTTGTGATGATGATTTATGTAATATGGGTATAACAGTTCTCAAATCTAAGTTCAAACCAGATCGAAGAAATTGCCTGAACAGTTCTTTTGATCGGAAATAAAATTAAACTGTCATGCCCCTGCTTTCAATCAAATTTTCTAATTGAATCTAGTGGTCCCTCCGAAGATATGGCATAATTCTGTCCTTTTGTATTATGAAAGTAGCACAGCTTACATGTTCTTTCAACTGTCCGATAAAGTGTTTTTAACAATTAATTTATAATGAGCTCTGACTCCTAAGAAAAATCTGAATAACCAGCTGTATGTATGTATGTATGTATTGTCTTAGAATCAAATACGGCGTTCGAATAACATGTAAAACCTAACCGTTAGCCTCGATTATTCAGTTTTGAAAATTTAATATCATCTTTTTATATTTAAAGTACCAAAAAAAAAAGGTAGCATTTATCGAAATATTGGTAAAGGAATAATTACAAATAATAGGTGAATTTCATTTAAAAAATGTCAGCATTTCTTTTAGTAGGCATATAATTTTTCTATTTCGATCTAAAATCTAAGTTGAATTGAACAAATAAACTTTCTATGCCTTAAGCAAAAACAAAAATTATTCAGAAGTTCTCGAAACCAATGCAATTTGAATACAATCGTCTTTAGTTTCTTTAACCTATCGAGCTGTATTTTTATTTATGATACACCTTTTTCAATTCATTTGAAACTTATTGAATTGGTTATATTTTTACGATTCTTGGAAAACAAATTTCAAAGCAGGGGAGGCGACGCCCCCTCCCCCCCTCCGGACAGCTGATATAGAGTGCAAATGAAGAATTGAAATCGTGAATTGAGTAGAGAGTTTTAATTTGCTTAAAATTTGTTCGTAGGTTTTAAGTTTTTATGGTGTTCTACACGAACCAAAATAAGTGAACTTGAAAGAATGCATAAAAGTGACTAATAAGGTCTGATTTCACAGGAAAAGTATTATTTCTGTTCTCTTCGTCAATCAACACGCTCGAAAAACTGAACAACATAGATTTACGTTTCTCAAAGACTCGATGCTTTACGTTTGAATTTTGTTTTATTCATTTAGTAGATAATCTGTTGAGGTCTATTCACATTATCATTATTTATATGAATTTAAAGTGATGTTGTTTCACAGGGGAAAAAAACGTTGGAATACATAAGAACGACAAAAATAAGTTCATTGAAAAAGATAAAAAAAACAACAACATGAATATGATCGTTTTAACTTTCCCAAGCGAATTTTGAATAGTCGCAGCCACTAGATGTGTTACATGTTCTAAAAAAAGAAACCAGTAACACGACATCGCCACCATGGAGCACATCTAGCTGTACATGCTCAGTTTATTTGACATTTAGCAATTGTAACCTTGGTGTCATCGTCATTTTCGATCAAGTTCGCTTGAAGACTAGCAATCAGAATCAAAATAATTACAATAACAATGCCCAAGACTTGTTTTTTAATCATATCAATTGAGTTGAAAGATGGAAGAGTTTCAACGAGTCTCAAGCAAAGAACGAAAACTGCAAAACTAAACCTATGCTTTTGTAGGATCAGAGAGTATGAAGTCAAAACAAGTAATGAATTGCCTTCTACGAACTACAATACCCGATATGCATTCAAGACACGAATAATTTCTCTATTTCAAACTCATTATAAGAGGAAAGACTAATTCCTCTATACCTAATTTTACCACGATGCGCAAATAAAATTACTTTTCAAAAATCATATTATGTCGTTCTCAGCAAATGAATGAAGTTGTTATTTTGACTTTTATCCTACATATATTACGATTTATGTTTACATAAAATAACAAATTGATCGTATCACGGAAATTATTCATCAGTATTTTTTTAACTAAAATTATACTATGATCAACAGATTTTTTGATTTCAATTTCGATAAAATCGTAGACAAATACGAATCTCTCATGAAATGCTATGTCCTCCGTAAGAATCGAAATTTCACAAACAAAAAATAGTGATTTATAAGCTATTTTATGAAACAGAACTCTCATTCATCGAGATGCAAAGTGTAAGAGTCGTCTATAAACAGCTTCACGTTTGATAATCAACGTCAATTATTCCATTTATATTATTTCTGGATCTCAATCAGTTCAATTGATATTCGCAAACTGCTCTAAAACATAAAAATCAATCTCATCTTTACTATCCCTGTCTTCATTCAAAACTTGATAGAAGACATCTATAATCTAACTTAAGGAATATTCTATAATGCATTCTACTTTTAGGATTATTTGTAAAAATATTTTTGTACTTCATTTTATTAATGTGAGCAAAATGCATTGAATTTTATGCTGATAACATGGGCATGCAAATTTATATAGATTAATTGATGAATCTTCCTATTTCAAGCAAAAAATTTTTATTTTATAGTTTTCGTCGATCTTATCTATGAAGCACTACTGTCAAACATAATTAAATTCTATTCATTAGTGAATTCAGACATTGTACTGTGCACACAATGAGTGCTGTCGTCTATAGATGTCCTTTTTTGTACATGCGAATAGATTCATGTCAATTTTCTATGACTTGTCATTGCGATTAATTTCAATGATGTCAAAAAAGAACGAAGCACGATAATTGATGAAGATCATATGTTTTCAGTAAAACTATGTTAGTCCTCTGAATGAGCAAGATTATACAATCGAAATAATAATTTTAATATACATCTCGTGTAGCTATCTAATCAGAGGACATATCAGGTCATTTTCGTACGTCTCCATTTCTTATCTGTGAAACATTACATTTATTCGTTCGACACCCCGAAGTCATTTGTTCGTATCAATATGCGGTTCATTTAGCAAGCAAGCAAAACTTAGTACTAGTTCATTCTATTGTCTATCTAGCCTATCACATTTTAGTCGTCTACTCTATCGTGTCAATCAGGTGAAGTGTGTAAGTGTACTGATATAATCTCTCTACTGAATGGATTATGTGTATAGTGAGAAGCGAAAACGATTATTTCAGTTGATTGAATGAAATAATACATATATGAATTACACCATCATTATTCTTCAAGAAAAAAATTTCCTTTGCTTTTTCAAATGGTTCGTCTCTGTCGATATTTTTCTATATGAATTGTACGCTGTAAGCAATACAATTATAATCAATCAATGTCTTCGGAATCAACAGGATCTTTACTAGATGGCCTTGGACTTACGATTTTTTATTTGTAATAGAAAAGAAAAAAAGGTTGATTTCATCTCTCTACACATATGTTATCTAATAATATACGTCTTTATATCGTGATAAGTGACTCGCTTTTTATTACGTGTATGAAAACTATGAATACGTTTAATCCTAGTCTTTTTGTATCTTATGTAGGGATGTCCTGGTTGTTGGCGAGGAAGTTAACCCCGACCGCAACATCTAGTTAACTTTATCAGCAATCTCTCAATCAGTCTCGTGTGCCATTAACACTTGCCGTTTGACGCATGAATGATTTCTCGAGAATACGAGGCGCGTCTTTTCTTTTTCAATGAGTCTGTTGCATGTAGTCCTTTTTGAAGAATGATAATACGTTTGGGAGATGTTTTTTCTTTTTTTTGTTGTGGTGATGGTTGTGGGTATTATTAATACGTTGATGGATGAGAAAAAAAACTTATCTTTTGTCTCGACGATGACTGAATGATGAGCTCAATATGATAATTTTTAAATGGAACAGCCGAAAAAAACATGCAACAAACTCGTTGCTATTGCATGACTTACAAGAAAAGTTCTTTTTTTTCACAGATTGATTATAGAGTAATCTTTAATGTCTCTAATGAGAAAAGAATTGATTCTATTTTTGTTGATGACATTTGCACGGATTTTTTCTATTGGTAGAAACAACAAGTTATCCGATTGGTCATTTGGGAGAATAGCAAGAACGAGAGAGCGAGAGAGCGAAGGAAAGAGTGAAAGAAGAATAATTAGAAAGATGAAGCAGATATGTGTTCTACTATCAATAATGATTGAATAAATTGAATAGCAGCGAACAATTACATATCAAATATGTTGTGCCCGACAAATAATTTTGCTCTTCAACTTAATAAATATTTTGTTGAAAAAGTAATTCCACGAAAAAACTCAATTTATAAAGCTGTTCGAGAAGTATCAAAAGTAGTTACGGAAGTATTACGTGAAGTTGAAGCACAAGAGCCACGATTTATTTCGTCACTCAACGAATTGAATGGCCGTTTCGAAGGTTTTTCATCGGCATCGCATACAGAATTCGAGGTAAGAAATATTACTGATTATAATATAAATGATGTGTAAAGAGATCAATCATTCTAAACAAAACAATAAGCATTCTTTGGAAAAACATCATTTGTTTTTTTCTTTGTTCTGCTATATTTAGGTTGTGCTCTATTTGAATCAAATGGGTGTATTTAATTTTGTTGACGATGGCACCATTCCGGGTTGTGCCGTACTCAAATTATCCGATGGTCGTAAACGTTCAATGTCACTTTGGGTAGAATTTATAACAGCTAGCGGTTATTTATCAGCACGTAAAATTCGCTCACGCTTTCAAGCACTTGTTGCTCAAGCTTGTGAAAAATGTCCGTGTCGTGATTATGTTAAATTATTAACTGATACGTCTGAAGTACGTCTTCGTATTCGTGAAAAATATATTGTACATATTGTACCAGCATTTCGTTGTGCTGGCTTGTGGCCACGTTCGGCTGCTCATTGGCCATTTTCTCCGACGCAATTTTCTATTTGGCCAAATCCAAATCAAATCAATGATGTTAAAAATGAAGGCTTCAATATCCTATCGAAAGAATCCATTTATATGAAAGATAAACAAGCCAATTCTGAAGGTGACGCATGGATCATGTCATTTACGGAAGCTGAAGATCGTCTTTTACAAGATGGTACTCGACGTAAATGTCTGTCCGTATTGAAAACATTGCGTGATCGTAATTTTGATTCATCAGCAATATCGAATTATGTATTAAAATCTTTAGTTTTATATGAATGTGAAAAACATCCGAACGAACAAGAATGGTGTGATGATACTACACTGGGCGATCGTCTCAATGGAATTCTATTACAATTAATATCTTGTTTACAATGCAGAAAATGTCCGCATTATTTTTTACCCAATGTTGATTTATTCAAAGGAAAATCTATTCAATCACTTGATAATGCTGCTAAACAATGTTGGCGTTTAACTCGTGAAATGCTCATTAATAGTCATTGTCTTGATAGGTTATAAAGATCAAACGAATAATTACATGAGATATATTCTGTTCTCTTTTTTCTTCTTCTTGTTGCTTGGATGTTTATTTTATGAATAAACATACCATCACGTACTATCGTTTCACACTCTCGTTTTTATATTGTAAACAATAACATTTTCTTTTTTTTTTTTCTTCTGTCTGTTGTGTATGCATTTCGTTTAATAGACCATAAAGAAAATCAATTTTAGTAAACAGAAAAAAGAACCGAAGGAAAAGATGAAAGCTTATGAATGTCTGGCTATTGTTTAGGTTGTTTCGAATAATTATCTCGAAGTATTTAGCGTTATTGGATGAGATAGATTGTGTGACATAGTCTTAAACGAAGTGCTAAAGGTAATCAGAGAAATATCTTTTCTGCTGACAGACAGACATGCAAGCGGAAAGAGATCGATTACATACGGTACTATGATTGCGTCAATTTAAAAATGATGCTATCTCACATTTCAATGACACAGCAAGCTCAATTTTAGTATCATTATCGATAAAAATTTCTTCACATATATACATCAAACGAAGCTCAAGTTAAAAGGGTATCGATAAAAGAGAAAAAAAAGGAGAAAAAAAATGGAATGTAATGTCGTTGATTTGATCAAGAGAAAAAAAAAGAGAAGAAAATTAATCTTGACAATATGTCACATTGAATCAATATACCATTTGTCAAATGAAACACTATAGGACCCATTTGCTTTCTTTCTTTCTTTTTTTTTCTCTTATTCTACTAGCATATGTGTGTGTTCAATCAATTTGGTAATATCAATTTCATACTAGATGCTTCCTATTAATTTTATCATTCCATCTCCGTAGCTATCTGAATCGACAGGTACAAGACATTCAGGTGTTTGCCAACACATAGGACAAAGTTGGCTACGTTTTGAGGATGAACGCATCCATATAATAAGATTATAACGTTCACCAGATGTGATGGGTTCCGAACCATGAAGATGTTGTGCACGATGTAGAACTCCTATTGTAGGCTTGTGTTCAACAACTGAAAAGAAAACATATTTAATGATTAGTTTGAACCAATTTTTTTTATCTCTTTTTGTTTCCTACATGTAAAGTTTGAAAATGCAGTACGATGAGCTTTAGCCATAGTACCAAAATAAAGATCACCACCTTCGAATTGATCTCCTTGACAACAAATTGAATAAATAAAATTACAAAAAGAAAAAAAAAGAAAAGTTTCAATCTACCGAGTGATACATTAAATGTAATTTCTGCATTATCATAATGATAATCAAGATCAACGTCTTGGTCAATTTTATATGAAACTACGAATGCTTTATGAGAATCAAGTCCTGTAGCGCCTATATATTCTTCACCGTATAAAGCTTGAGCAAGAGGATTTAAATATTGATTACGTAATTCATCAATGAAACTGGTAAATCCTAGTTCATCTAGAAGAATCTAATAATCACATATTGATAGAAAATAGTATTTTTTCTTCAAAATAGTTTTACTCCATAATTATTCATCGTATTCGGTCTTCCTTTTGGCATTGGCGATGCTTCAAAATGTTTTAATTCTTCAATAAATTGCGTACAAAAGTCGTTTGTAAATACAGGCATGGAAAAAATTCCATCTAGATAAAAGAGTAAAATAATAGCAGTTACATATAATTCGTTCATATAATTACTGCCAAGTTTTTTAAGATATTCACTGGAGAATTTCGGTTGTGAACATAATTGTTTAAAATTTTCAGATAAAAATTTAGGCTATAATATAGAATATTTTAGATAAAATTGAATTTGTCAATTTTCTCTACTTGAAATGTATAAAGATCGGAATGCAACGGTTGATATTCTTTCTTAATTTGATCTTTACGTTTACGTGCATCGGCATCATGAGCTTCGCGACGGCGAATTTCTGCATGTACTGCATTCAATAATTGTTCAAGACTATTTTCAGGTGAAATAAGCTACAAAAACATTTCATCAGTAACATTCAAAACGAAAAAAACAAAATGATCTTCACTCACATTTTTATAATCTTCTCGAAATCTTTCATCATTTGTATAATGTACATGAGAACGAACTTGTTCCAAATAAATATTACGCTTGAAAAAACACGAACATCGACAAAACGTTTTGTTCATTAGTATCTTAAATAAGGGAGAAAATTTCATTTCTCATGTTGATGAAAAAAATTCTGTATTTTGTTTTTGTTGTAGTTCCTATTGAAAAGGTCAAAGTAATATAATCTTAATTAAATAAATTGAATCTACAATGTTTACAATAGAGTTCCGAACTGATAATTTTCATATGCATGATAGATTTTGTATATATTTGGATAATAATCTAGTTTAGTTGTTATCTTTTACAAAAATAGACTGCTTTGTTTTCAAATAGTCAGTCATGTGTATCAAGTTTTTGACATATAAAAGCGAACATGTGGGCACTTGCCAAGTATTGATACGTTAATATTGTTCACACTTGAGAGCGTCGTTCTACACCAAGTAAAAAAGCCCAAAGAAAAACAAAAAACAGAGTCCGGTATTTAATTACAACTTTGTCTACAATAATTATATGTTTTTGGGTTACTTCCAACGGAGCCCTATCATAGTTCAATCCAAGGAACAACACACAATTACAAGCAGCAGCACAACATCGGGAAAAATAGCGATTCATCAATAATGTATGTTACTGTCACACGTTTCTGCATACTTGATAACAAGCTGCGTACCATAACAATCATTAACTAGATTCTTACACATCCACACCGGTACCAACAACACAATGAGGTCGGTAATTGAGTATCAGCTGTAGCTGTTTAAGGAAGAACAATTCGGCGAGACGCATGTAGTCTCAATTGGGATGCTCTCATCTATGTCAGTCTTCTGTCTTGAATAATGGAAGCACATACTCGTTTACTACTATACACATCAAAGACCGTTTATGTTCGTCCTTTAGATTCTCACTCGATGCTATAACTGCTGAATGTCATGCGGTTGAAGATAAGGTTACTATAAATTAATATTAATCACTATCTGCTAAAAAACAATGCTGTCATTATTCATCGATATGTTCTATCCTTGAAAAATCACTTCGCGCAGTAGTACAAAAACAAATAACTTAATAATCTATCGTAGATTCATAAAAGAAAAACAAGTAAATATTTATACGACTCACATGTTGATGTATGAAATAAACAAAAAAATAATATTTATCAACCAAAAGAAAAGAAAAGTATTCTTGAATAGAAAACAAAAGAAAAAAGAATAGAACGAAGAAGCATAATAAAATTCGAACAAAGACAAAAAATGCCACTAGATACAATCATATGTATAATGAAGAGTAAATCAACCGAGAGACACAGTTACATTAATGGCCAAATTTCCATTGTCACTAAATAATAACGCCGTTGCTCCATCAAAAACAAGACAATCACTTATCAATATTGCTTGTTGTATACCTTCGTGAATAGATTTCGGTGTACTTTCCCATGTTAATCGTCGTTTATTACCATTTAATTCTAAACGATAAACAAATTTTTCCGCTTGCTGGCGAGTACCAATTAATTGTACAATAGCAAAAAATTGTTGATCCTGTTTCTCTAATACAAGCATAAAATGATGTCCAAAACATGATTGCATCATAACCTAAACAAAAGAAAATATTCTATAGGAATGATCAATCAACACATAGATGAAAAGAGACTAATGGATATACATGATGTTTTCTTTTATCGAGACTGTAAATGCACTCACTTTTTAGAATAATTCACTGAATTATTAATCGAAACTTTCCTTGTCAAGCCTAGGAATAGTAGATAGCGATTAGATGCAAGGATAATTATTCATGACTTCGATAGCGTGCACACGTTTTGCTTGATATAGGAAGGATTGACCTACGTTTTTCTGTTATGTAATGCGACTATTGCATAATTCAAATTATATAAAGACTTTATTATTTTCTGCTAAAGGCTGAACTATACACATATAGGGCTTTGCTTTTAAAACGAAAAGAAAATTCAAAATTTTAATTGACATTGAAAGTAGCAAAAACGCTTTTTCGTTTTCACAATAAGAAACTAAACTATATTCACCAAATTTCGGATCACTGATGAGAACACTTGGCTTCTATTTTCAGTTAAAAATCTTTTTATTTTACCTACCCAGTCAACTGCTCCAGGTAAGGTAATATCCGTAGCTAGAAAAACAATATCTTCTCCTTGTAAAGTTGTTATTGATTTATGTGCCAGCCAAAGATGTTGCATAACATTTTCAAGACTACCTTGCCATTTACATGAGGCACCAGGACATGGACACATGTACTAAAAAAAATACGATGAATTGAAATAGTGCAAAAAAATTTTAAAAAAATTTACCGGACGAAAATCACAAGAATCTTCATGTTCTAATTTATGTTTATGAGTTAAACTCAATAGACATCCATTTGTTTGATATTTACATGGAAATAAAATTGTATCGGCAACTTTTTCCATACCCAAATTTCGTATATTACCTAACGGTCCCCGACATGTCGGACATGATGAAAGTTTTTGTCGACATTGTGAACAAACAATGTGTCCTGATTGGCATTGAAGTATAGGTGGTAGTGCATAATCAAAACAGACGGGACATTCAAATAGATTTACTAGGTCTTGATGTTGGCTTGAACCTGTAGATGTTGCTACAGTCGATGAAGCAGCTGTTGCCGATGATAAACTACCAGCTGGCATTATATTTGTATTTGTTGTTATCATTTGTTGGCAATTTGGTGTTGATAAATTTATTGAACAAGTTGTAGTAGTTGTTGTTGTGGCAGTTGGCTGTGGTGGATTCGTTGGCACATTTGAATTTGTATTTGGAGCAATAGCTGCTCCAAGACGATCATGAACAGTAAATGTTGTAGAATTACCATTACTCTTCATTGTTTCTTACATAGATATAGATATATTACAAAATGAAGTAGACACGAAAAGAAAAAAGGAAATTTGACAAAAACAGTTAACGAAGAAACTTTCTTTTTCTTTTAAGCAACTATCGATAATTAATACGATCAGATCTATGTCGACATTTTGCCATCATAATGCATTGTAATATTGAAGAAACACCTTTCAACCTCATGTCAAACTGCACAGTAACAATTAGTCTTACCAGTCTACTTTTAAACGAATAATAAATTAGGTAAGAGTGCTTTTTTTTACATACAAGGACAGAATAAATAAACAATTATTATTTCGACCAATAGAATTGTTTCCTTTTACACTGACATCTATCTCATTGATTGAGTATTGAATCTCTATTATTCTGTATATTCGTTTTGTTCTATCATATGGCGAATAAGACGTTCATCGTCACCGGTGCTTATGGTGGTATAGGAAAAGCAATATGTAAAATTTTAGCCGAAGATCACAACAATAAAATACTTCTAACTGGACGCAATCAAATAGAATTAAATGCAGCTGTTGAACAAATTAAAACAATAACAAACAATAAATCAATCCAAGGTTACGTTGTTGACTTTTCATCAAAAGAATCTATCGAAAATTTTGCTTTACAATTTAAAGATGAGCCTGTTCATGTATTAATTAATAATCATGCAACTGGACCAAAGAAACGTGAAGTAACTAAACATGGCATTGAAGTACAATTTGCAACTAACGTTCTCGGTTATGTATGGATGACCAATGCATTTGAAAATAATCTAAAAAAAGCTGCGCCTGGTGCACGTATTGTTAATGTTGCAAGTTACTGGGCTGGTGGTCTTGATATAAATGATCTTGAATTTAAAAGGCGGCCTTACACAACCGATGATGCCTATCAACAAGCTAAACAAGCAAATAGAATGTTAACATTAGCATATGCAGAGAAATTTCTTCACGATGGAATAACAGTGAATGCTTGTCATCCGGGAGATTCAAATACAAAATTAAGTAATTCAATGGGTTTTGGTGGTCATGAAACACCTGAGAAAAGTGCACAAACACCCGTTTATTTAGCAATATCAAAAGACGTAGCTCATATAACTGGCAAATATTTTCGTGACTGTCGTGTTCAAGATGATCCTTTTATGAAAGATAGAGAACTAATTAAAAAACTATATGAAACTTGTCAAAATTATTGAAATTAATTTTATCCCGTTTCTTTTTTCAGATAAGCATATATCAATGTAAAATTATGTCTTCATCATCATCTATGACGCCGTTTAATCGTGGTCATCACACGACCAAACGATTTAATAATGCTGCTCGATTGAAAATGGCTACTCATTATCCTGTTATGACAACTCCAATCACACCCTGTTCTGATATAAATAACAATAATAATAATAATGCCAATAATACAGGTGCTGTTTTTGCACATTATGAACATGGTCATTCAGATTCACTTTTGGAAATTCTCAACGATCTTCGTTTAAGTCGACAATTATGCGATGTGACGATTGTTGTCGATCAACGTGAATATCCTTGTCATAAAGTGAGAAAGAATTGTTGTAGGGAATTATTTAAAAAAAAAGACGAGTAGTACAATGATCAACAAAATCATATTATTATTGAAAATAAACGTAGAAATATGTCTGTCTAGAGGAAATTAACTGAAGAAATGTTTTCATCCGGGTTGAAAGTTCATGGACAGCTGGAAAAAATGTTTTGCTTAATCCTTTTCACTATTCAAAACATTTCTCGTTCGATATGTGTCTGGCCTATAGTGTGATCTTGTTGTTTCCTCTAAATGTGGGTCGAATGATTGCGTCGTCGGCCTAGACCAGCCTTTGTTTTCCTAATTGTCATAGCAGATTGTTTGCAACAGGCTACGAAGAAATCGTTGAAAGCAAAGTAATGAGTGCAGTTTTATAGAAATCATGAATAGTATTTTAACTTCGATTTCGTTATAAACTGAGACACTATTAGTATGATCGGTGACGTGAATATAATCTTCTCTCTCTTTCTTGTTGTTGTACTTTTATGAAACATGTTATAAGAAGAGTCGTAAAATTGTTTTGAAATCCAGGCTTGGACATTTACGTCAAGTCAATCTATAAAGATAGATTAAGGTTGCCATTAATCCAGAAAAATTCTCTCCTATGCCAAGTGGAAGAGCCTCAATTTCAATCGTTATTTAACACACGAAAAAGCAATTGTGAACAGCAATGAATTCTTTATGAGAAATAATGAATCGACTTTCAAGATGACATTGTCTATGTCTGTCTATATTCTCAGAAAGTAATCTTCCTTGATATATTCTTTGATTTATAAACATACAATTGACTACTGACTATTGATATACAGCAGATAGATTATCTCTAGAGAAATAATGCTTGTGTCAATATCTTACTGTCGACCTAAACTGTCGTGTGTAACTACTTAGTTTCAGAAGACGCCCACTTTCTTTTAATGGAAAGAATATGACAAGCTACAGTGCGTCATTTTGTTTTTCATAATTATCTAGAAGAAGTTTTTTTCTAAAGAGGGTAATGCGCTTGTCAAACTTTTCTTTTTTCTTGAGAGAATTTTTCAGCCGCTATACTTAAATAGTATAGAATGAAAGTCTATTCTGCTGATAAATGAACTACGTCCTCTTCTCTGCAATTCGATGACTTTATGTGATTTGATTGTATTGAGCGCAAGATCAAAGTTAAGGATCGAGGGCACACTAAGACCATTGAAATGATAAATAGAATATGTGCTCCTATGATATAAATCTATAGAATAAATAAAATGTTCGCGCGAAAAATACATTCGTTTAAATCTTTTATTTTAGAATGTTCTTGCTGCCGCTAGTCCATATTTTCGTGCTATGTTTACAACATCCGAAATGTCTGAATCATCACAACCAGCAGTTACTCTTAATGGAATTGATCCTGATGCAATGTCTGAACTTATTGAATATGCCTATACATGTAAATATTAAATACGATTCTATTCTTAATTAACTCATGTTTTCTTTTCTCTCTAGCGGAAATAACGATCTGTGAAAATAACGTTCAATCACTACTTTCTGCTGCTAATTTACTCATGATGCAACCCGTTCGTGATGCATGTAGCTCATTCTTTGAACGGTTTCTCGATGAAACAAATGCTATCGGTATAAATTGTTTTGCTGAATTGCATGGCACACAAGAACTAACAAAAAAAGCAAAACGATTTGTATTAAAAAAGTTCTCTCAAGTATGTTTATAGAAATGGAATTATTTTTCCTCTAAAAGGCTTTGTCTATTTCAAGGTCGCACAACAAGACGAATGGCTTCACGTTCCGGCTCAGAAAATTGTTGAATTTATCAGTAAGATAATTGATTAGATAGATGCTATGATATTCGTTGTACTCATCAGTCTTGCAACTGTAATGTAGAAGGTTCGAGAGATGTCCTCGTGACTATTTTTTCTTCGAACTGCTTTTGAGTTTAAAAAAAATAGAGACCAAGACGTTAAAAATAGCAAAGTGTTTTTAGATTTTCTAAGGAAAAACAAGATAAAAATATATTTCCCGGATCTTAGATAAACTAAACACAATTTGATAAAGATTGGTCATAGAGTGGTTATCAATTTGACTCTAAAATACTTACTCTATCCAAGACTACTATACAAATAGCATGTGGATTGAAGAGTAGAGACAGAAATTGTGAGATAAAGATATTCTAAACTTTTTTCATAGGCACCGTAATTTGTAGATTTCGAAGTATGAAAATAATAATATTTTTGTTTTTTCTATAAGAGTAACTATACGCACCTTCTTAATGTAAATTATATCTCATCAATATATTAAGAAAATAATCTGTCCGAAAGATATTATTGCTTATGAAAGTCTTCGTAAAAATCTTGATGAAAAGATCTCAGATAAGATTAAAAATTTAATTCAATACCGAAAATAGCATACCGTCTGTAAGTCACTAAATAGATGTCGTACAAATTCAAGTCCGTCTTCTATACTGATATGATAGTTGACTTTTGTATTTATTTAATAATCTAATAGAAGAAGATGATCTCCGAGTGGCCAGCGAAGATGAAGTGTTTGAAGCTTGCCTACGTTGGTTGAACCATGCGCCTGAACAACGAAAAACGGATTTTCATTCGGTAAGTTGATATTATTTCAAGAAAAAATGAAAGAACATCACGACTAATCGCAAAAATATTATCGTTTTCAGATACTTCAATATATTCGATTGGCTTTTATTAGTCCTGTATGAAATAAAAACATGCAAACACTGCATATAGAATTTCTTTATTTGTGTTTCAGTATGTGTTAATGGATAAAGTTGCTACCTGTAAAATAGTCCAAGAAGATGCAATATGCCGTGAATTACTTCACGAAGCTCTACAATTCCATTTACTTGTCGATAGACGTTCTGAAATGTCAACAACAAATTCTCGATTTAAGCCACGTACATGTTCAGGTTAATATTTTTATTTTATCTGAGTACACTTGACATTTTTGTACATGTGTTTATTTTTATTTTTATTTTTAATAGAATTAACTGAAACATTAGTATTTTTGGGTGGAGAAGATGAACGAGTTGTTGTACGAGGCGTCGAAATTTATAATCCAGAAAGGTATGAAAATAAAATAGGAACGCAATCAAAATATATATGCTCGTTAACTTTCGTATCTATTTATAAGCCAATTTCTTTTCCGCAGTAATAAAAGGATTTATTTTTGTCCTGTTAGAGATGAATGGAAAAAACTTTGCTGTTTACCTTATGCTGTATCGAAACATGCTATTGTTTCGTCAGGTAATTTTTTCTATAATTCTTTTTATTTTATTAATTCTTTGAGATTTATAATTAGGAGCTTCGACTCTTTATCTATGTGGTGGTGATTTTCCCAATGGTATGTTGTTTGATTTGAGAAAATCTATACTCTGAAAAATCAAATGCACTTTCTAGGGAGACCAAGTTCTGAAGTTTGGAAATACGAACAAAAACTTGATACATGGATACAATTGTCAGATATGTTGACGCCGCGATCTGAATTAGGTTTGGCTTTAATTGATGGATATATATATGCTTGTGGTGGAACTAATGGTGAAGTTCGTTTAAATACGATTGAAAGATATTCAATTGCTGATAATAAATGGACTTTAGTATGTAGTAAAATAATCAATTTTTATACATTTAGATATTGATTGAATGTTTAGGTTGCGTCCATGCAAATCGGTATGACTAGTCCAGCGTGTTGTTCAGTAAATGGATATTTGTATATAACCGGTAGAAGAAGAAAAAGCAGAATTTCTATTATCATGTGTTTCTTTTATTGTTTTATTTAGGTGGTGCTGTACTAGAAGAAGGCGACGCAATTGATCTAGTCATGCGATTCGATCCAAGAAAAGTCGAATGGAGTGCTGATGTGGCGCCCATGCGAATTGCACGTTCTGGCTCAACAGCTGTTGTACTTCGACGTAAAATTTATGTTTGTGGTGGATTACAATCGAATACGGAAAATACGAATCTAGCTGAAGTTTACGATCCAACAACGAATCAGTGGCAATTTATCGCACCGATGCGTGAACATCGTTATCGACCGGGAGCTGCTGTTGTTAATGAAAAAATCTATGTATGCGGAGGACAAGATGAACAGCCCGGCAAATATCATGAAAGTGTGGAATGTTATTCAGTGGAAAACGATCAATGGACAATAATAACGGAATTGATTTGTGGACGAAGTTTTCTCGCATGTGCGATGCTTTTACTGAAATGGTCCGATATTCTCTGGGATCATGTTTGCGAAGGAGAAACAAATTCATTACCTGATATAAACTAAGCATTGACTCATTTCCATGGAAAAAAAATACATATGTAGTTTTCTTCTTTTTGGTTCTTTTGAATGACTCTTTTTCTTTTGTATGCGTGACTATTTGTAAGATTTATTTCTTGAATTTCGTGTGAAAAGATTAATAAAAAATTTAAATGATATACAACGAAATGCAATAAAACAAAACAACAACAATCGAAACTAAGATTGTACGAGTCGATTTTTTGAATTTCTTATTTTAGGCAATGTTTCTGTACGACCATTTTCTGTTACGCGAATACCCTGTATCCAACGTGTAATATAATTATATTTACTTTCATCGAAGAATTCAATTTCTTTCTGATCTTCATATTCACTTTCATTCGAAGTGATTTGTTCATTTGAAGTAGTTTCGATTTCATTCGCTAAAAGTGGAGCTGTATTTGCACGAAATTTTGATTTTGGATTATTATTTATGGTCGCCTTTGATGCTAAACCGAGTCTTGATGTATTCGAAAAGCTTGTTTGAAATCTATTTGGAATAGGTTTTGGTCGTTCTTTGCGATAATTTAATAAAGGATTGTTTAATATTGGATTAATCATTTTTTTCGAGAGATTAGGTTTCTGCTGATCGCTAACAATACTTGATGGTGTAGGGTTAGATGACTTCGAGTTATCTGATATGGAATGAGTGTCTTTAATTATTGGAGTTGGTCGAAAAGACGAACGATATGTTCGTTGTTGATATATCGGGACGAACGCAGTTGATGTACGTGAACTAATTGGAAATCGAATGAACGTTGAACTATTATGCGTACCTACAGGAGTCATTCGTCGTCGTAAGTCAAACAGTGGTGGACATTTTGATAAAGATGGTTCATTTAAATAAGCTATAGGTGATACGATCGCTGGGAAATAGTCACCAACAGCCATTTTAAAGGAAAAAACTCAAATGAACGTTGATGAAAATACACTTTTAAACTTCTTTCTATGTCACTGATAACCTAAAGGCAAGAGGTAAAAAATGAATGAAATAGAAAATGACGAATGTATTCATCGCCCAATGTTTTTATATAAAAAAAAAGAAAACGTTACGCCAACTGTGAGAATATTTTTTTCGTCGTCTTTGTGTTGACAATAACAACAAACACTTCTTCTATGTCTACCTCTTACTTTTCTGTTGTCATCAATTTTTATATTCTCTTCATAGTCATTTTCGTTTTTAGAGTCAATATTATCGCTCTAATGTATTTAAATAGAAAAAAAACCTGCGAGAGACTCTCTCTCCTATTAGCAAATTAGTGTTTTTGTTCGATTAATATTTACAAGCAATTTTAAATAATATAATGCTTTTAGATTATTGAATCGGTCTTCTGATCAAACAATCTCTAAAAGCTTTTTATTCTATTTAAAAAAACAGTAAAATCGTTCTTTTAAATTTCAAACAAGTTTGAGTATAGAAATGTTTTCTGTTTCATCGTTGAGATTTGTATTGAGAGGTGGTGGACTTAAGCCAGCCTGTGAGCGAGCCAAAAATTTTCGAAGACGAAGAATTTCTTGTTGATTCTTTTGTACTTCTTTTACTAGTTCATTATCGCGATGTCGAACAGCATAGTTACCTATGATTTTAATAGAAAAACAATTTTTTTTCTTTTTTAATCTAATAAGAGAAAACAAACAAGGCAACCTGCGTCGGCATTGAGTGTTTGTATTAGAGCATCAATGCTGTGTACACCCCGTTCATCGAATGTTGTTCTTGCAACTTCATAGTCTTGTATTTTACTACGAACAATTTTTAATTCTTGACGTAAACTATTTAATTCTTGTAGTAGAAGAGAGTTTTCCTAATAATAAACGCAGAAAAAAAACACGTGAGGAAACATTTTCGCTCGATTTTTTGTTGCTTCATACATTTAGGACTCTCATTTGATTTGCTTGTGTTGTATGTAAATCTCTATTCAACTTTCGTTTTAAATCTGATGTTGTTCGTTCAAGAAATAATCGTTGACGATCTTGTGCTAAGACTTCTTCGGACAGAGCAGCACTTACCTCAGTTGTGTTATAGATACTTTTTGCCTAATTTTAAGTCATATCGTATATACATATAGAAAATAGATAGATGAATAAATAAAACTAACATTATCATTTTGCACGTGCTTTTCGAATAGAGCAGCAACCGCATTTTGAACACGCTGTGGATCACTAACATCAGCAAAATGTAATGATATATCATTTTTTATACGTCGTATTGCATTATCATATTCTTTTCGCTATTGAGAAAATTTTCATTTGAAAAACTATCGTCAATGATAGATGATGGTTCTCACCTTTTGACGTTCTCGGTCAACTTGCGCTTCTACGGCATGTAATCTTTGTTTTTGTCCGCCATTAACAAAACGATTTCGACTTAATTCATTTTCTTTTTTCTCTCGTTCACTAGCCATCTTAAGATGAACATATTATTAATCTCCGATTGGAAGAGTACGGACACAAATGGTTAGGAAACTAAAAGATAACACCGACAACAATAAATGAAACGTAAACTGTTCGTATGAAATTCAGTTTTCGTTCATTTGTGGAAAAACAAATGAATTTAACAATAGAAATTAATTGAATATTTCATATTGTAAACTCGTTCTATTCACACAAACCGAATAGATAATCTACCTCAAGTAATTGATTTTTCATGCGTTCAATTTCTTGTTCACGCGGTTGAATTAAACGTGTTAATTCATCGATTTTATACCTAAGTACATATTGAAATTTTTCAAGTTCTTGATTTTTCAATTCGAGATCACTAATGCGCTCTTGCTATAATTCAAATTTCAAACATGAATCTTAAACAAGAAAAAAATCCAATAATGATTACTTTTTCATTTATTGTTTGTTTTCGTTCATTTAATTCATTTTTTAATGAACCAATTTCTTCGTTCATGCCTTGAACACGAAGAACATTGTCATTAATACGCTTCTTCAATGTTTGAGTTGCAGTTTCTTGTTCAGTTTGTCTAACATGTAAATTGTGAGCCTAATTTTTAGAAACGATATTGAAAAAAAAATTTCCATGAGCCATTTTTCTCATCGATAAAAGAAGTAAAGGGCAAAAAAATATTTCTTAATTTCTATGGACACAAATAGAGATTACACATATATTCAAGTTCATATTAATAAAGTTTCAGCTTTATGTGCAGAAACCATATTAATTCTGAATTCATAGGAATTCATTCACTTTGTCAAATGTAATGCAGTATTCTATATTATTCTTTGTACAACTAATACCAAATGACCTATAATTCAATTTTACGTCGCTGTCATTGAAAATGTTTTGTCTAGACTTCTTTCCAACGAATCCGACTGCAACAGTTAGAAAAACATTAACTGTTTTTTTTAAATAGAATATTGTATCAATTCATTTTCTATTATTGACAGTTTCATGATGATATTTAATCGCATCATCAACATTTTTACACCCAAAAAAAAAATAATAGGTCACTTCGTTTTTGTCGTATAGTAAACCTCATGCTGTACTTGATCATTTTTCAATCAACAAAATAGAGCTATGTCGATTGTGTATTCTCAACTTTTTCGAAAAATAATGCCCGTAAAGCACAAAAATTAATTCGAAAGTAAACTTATGATTTTTTTCTACGTCGAAAATAATAACACGCCTTATTCAAGCAGTCAACTTCCTTTTCCGAAAAAAAATTCTCGACAGTGTTGACAGCGTGATTAAAAGATTTTAGAATGTTTTGTCTCGTTCCCTCCAGGTAGAAGAAAAAGTCGCCGTACACCATACAGAACGACAAACGTAGGCGTGTATGCACGTCATCATCTTCCTTTTGTCTGGAAAACATTGCAAAATAGAAGTAGAAATGAACTTGATGGAAAAAAATAAATCATAATTTTCAGCGGCGGCCGGAATTATTACTATCGGTGCGCAAACATAGCTTCAAGGAAAATTCTACTAGTATAGTATTAATTGAATAATGATTAAATTTAACTGACACTGACAGATATATAAACAAGGCCAAAAAAATTCTTTACCTGATATTCAAATGTGTCTTTGAATTCTATTTTCAGTTTATCATTAGCTTCCGACTATAAAAAAAAAAGAAACGAGAGAATAAATATGATTGAAATATTTTTTACTTACAAAATTTCTTTTTTCATCTTCGAATTCGAGTTGAACTTTTAAATGTTCATCGTCAATATCAACTTCAAGATTTTTCTTTTCAATTTCATTTCGTTCAAGGGTTTGACGATTTTTTCTGCGTAGCTAATCAAATGAGACATTTTTTAGTTGAGAAACCAAACCAAACGAAAAGAATAAAAAATTTAAACTTACAGCTACTAATTCATGTTCAGTTTCTCGAATTTTCCCAGTAAAGTATTCAGCGGTATCACGCATTTCATTTTCCCTTGCTTCAATTGTTGCTTTAAGACGAGCTTCATTGTCTTCCATCATTTTTTGTGATAAACGAATTAGTTCACCTTCTTTTTGTAATTCACGACTAAGATTTTCTCGATCATCATCCTCTGAAAATCCAGCAAAGACACAAACTAAAAACTTTTCTATTCAATATGTTTTTCATCGTACCAATGCGTTGTCTTTCATTGGCAAATTTTTCTCGTAAATCAACTAATTTTAAGTCAAAATCTCTTTGTGACTTTTCTTTTTCAATTAATTGACGTTCAATATGATCTTCATGATGTTTTCTTTCGGTTACAGACATATCTGTGCGACGTTGTAAATCAGCCAAATATGTTGTTTCAAGTTTTTTTAACTGATATTCTTGATTACGTTTAAGCTCTAGTTCTTCAACTTGCAGTGCTTCAATCACTTGTGACTAGAAAAAAAATATTGATAATTTTCATCATGAGACATAGAAAATGAGATCATACTTTTAAGGGACATGTTCCATGTAAATAATCAGTTAAGATAGACTGAAAAAATGGAACTCTATGCTACATAGAACGGTGTCTTCGGTTTCCAAGAATCCGAAACCGATAACAACTCTCGGCGAAAGGACTATAGAACGCTTTATGAAATTCGTGTTGTGTTTCAAATTGAATCAGAACGAATCAAAAAAATATGTTCCGTTCCTTAAGAATATGCGGCGTGAAAGATTATAGAAGATTTCAGTAACACGCGATGGAGCCATTACCACACAAACATCTGAGTAGAATGGTCTTGTATGTATCAATCTAGTGATATTTCCAAGTAGCATAAAGCATTAATATAAATTTCAAATCGGTTCGACTTGATGTGATCGCACAAGGAATGTCTCGATTATTTAACATCATTTTGGCTAATCTACATGTAGTTATATACCACTGAACTTTCAACTCGGACTCAACAGGACAACTAACTAAAGTCATTGATGTAGACGCATGCGAGAATTTTCTAACATCACTACATTCCGATTGGAATAATTGTTTCATCTACACAGTATTTTATTGAAAGGTCGACAAAAGTCCGAGTATTGTTAACACAAAAACTTACCAAACGAATAAATCTTTGTTTATTATGAAGTACTACGGGTGTCCAATCTTCAGGTTTTATTGCTGACTTTATTTGCGTTTCCCATAATATTAAAATACCATCTTCGCAACAGCTAATAATCAATGCTTCATGAAATGCAACAGCGATCTAAAAATCAAATAATCAGAAAATAGAAAAAAGAAAGTTCCAATATGACGACTACCACAAACCTGTGTAATTTTTGCTGAGTGAGCTAAATAATGAAAGATTGGAGTTGATGCACCTGACAATGGAGTTTTCAAAACATAAATTGAGCCACGATGTGTACCACATATTATTGCTCCATTACTTGGAAAAATTTCCAAACAATTTGCTTTATCATCTTGTGGTAATTTCGCTTCATTGATTATCTTAAAGAGATAATCATTAAAATTTATTTATCAAAGGATTAGAAAATATTTTTACTTGTCCATTGCAGAAAGTACGTATAAATCCATCATCGCAAGCTAAATATATATTTCTATCTTCTCGATCAGGAACGAAACCTCCTTCGAGACGATACGATGGTTTCAATTCATAGATTTTCTTTTGATTTTCTAAATTCCATATAACAAAATAATTTGTCGATTGTGAATAAAGCGCAAGATCATTTTTTTTCCATAAAATCTTTCTAACCTAGATCATAAAGAAAAAGAAAAAAAAGAAGAAGAACATATTCAATATTGAAGTAAAATTCATTCATACAGTTTGTCCATGATTAATTCTATGAATAACTTTAAGGTAAACCGGCGAAATTATTTGAATTATATTTGCATCAATAACGGCAAAGAACTGACCGCCATTACTAGAAAAAAGAAAACAAACTACAATAAATTTCAAAATCTTTTTCTATTCTACCTAAATTTAACTTCATGCGCTGCATGTATAGGATATTCTTTAACAGTTGCAAATCCATCAATTAATACATTGAGAAGAGAAACTTTCGAAGCAAATGCAACAACGAGTTGATGTCCACTTGGATGTATCGATATTCCATAAACAGGTTCGCTGTACAATCTCATCTGTTCAATGACGCTTGTTTCATAATTCCAAAGTCGAACCGTATGATCATCACCTGATGAAATAAATAATGGCTTCTGTACGGCTATATCTAAGCCGCGTATTGATAAGTGATGAAAAGAATTAAAAATTAATTCTAACTGAAATGGATCCTTTTATACAATAGATGAAAATAAATTGTCGAACAAAAAAAATTAGAAAATACGAATAAATTTACTTTTGATTCAACTGTTTGATCTTTTGTCATATCTGATACAGAATAAATTTGTTGTCTACTACTTAAGATTAAGACATGTTCCTCTCGTGGACTAACAACAACTTTCCACATTAAATGGTTGGCTTGCAATTGTTGCTTTTCGTTTGAATCCTGTGAGCCAGATGAAAAACTAACTGTTGAACGACCTGGATTCATATCATTCGTTGGTATAATATATTCACGAGTCTTAGCAAAATCCCAGCTATCAGCAATTTTCGTAAAAAGACACAACCGTTTTCCACCAACAAGACAAAAAAAACCTTTGTTAACAATGACAATCGATGTTACGTCTTCTCCGGTAAAACGTGATGTATCCGCATGTTCCTGTTGATTAGATGATGCTCGCATAGTAGAAGTTCTGACCAACGATGAACTTATTGATGTAGTACGTGGAATTCTAAAGTCAAAAGTCAATTCCAAACAATTTTTCTTATTAAAATAGTGATTTTTATTTATGTTGAAGGGAAGATGAATGACTGACTAGTCTTTTCTTTTCGGTCTCATTATACAGTTGTGCATTTTCTTCTAATGGCCTAGTAACAGCATGTTATCTATGATCGTGATGCGGCACTTTTTAGTGGAAACAGGTGGTGTGCGGCAGCAAGATTCTTTTAGTTGCCATAAATATCATTCTCATTTGAATATTTAATTGTTCAAAAAAAGAAAAGGGAAATTTTCTTCTTCTTCTGTTTCTTACGTTGCTAGTAGTTTTTCTCGTGTTTCAATAATATCGATTTCTGTTTGAACATCACCATTGAATAGAATACAGATATATCCATTATTTGTACCAGCTATAAAACGACTGGAATCATACCATGCTAGAGAGAGTGAGAGAAAATAAATAAATGAGGAAATTTTTCAAAGCTATTTCTACCATGTGAGATAAAATCATATTGATCAAGCTTTGCTGATGATGATTGAATTCTCAAATTTCCGTCGAGATGTCGAATAGAACGACAATATCGTTTTCCTACTATTGACAATAGATTATTATCATTTGGATGAAATAAGACTTGTGATAATATTGTTACGCCTTCAGCTGGACCTAATTTAAGTGTTGCTGCAATGCGTGATTTTTGCCAAAGCCATAACGAGAGAGTATATTCACGATTTCCACATTCAAGTATAGCTAGATGTTTAGCATCGTGTGAGAACGCCATCGATGTTATTGTTATTGCTGTATCACTTAATTCAAACATTCGCTTTCTCTTTCCGATATTTGAATGTAAATCATAGAAAGATATCGTTGTATTTTGTTTATCTGCATTCATGCCACTAGCAACGACTGCAACAACAGCAGCATTCGTATGTACCAGAATCCAGTCGATATGTTCTAATTCGTTGCATCGAAAAATACGTTGAATTTTTGTTTCAACATTTGCAAGAACAAATTGATTTCCTGCCGGATAGATAATTGTATGTTCATCACAAAAGAATAGACTTGAATCAAGTTGTGATCGAACACCGAATATATTTTGAATTTGAATTTGGACAGGTGAAGCAGTATTCAACGTTGCCATTTTTTATTTAATATACTAATAGCGTAAGAGGTGAAGTGTGTGTTTGTTTTATTGATAGAGTAAAATGTCCATTTTGCTTGCCGTTTGCCATGGCATAAAACTCATTGTTTAATTTTTACAATGAAATTTACAAAGATGTCGTGAGTAGGCGTTTTGGCATTGTTCTCTCGACAGTTTACTTTTAAATAATCAGGAAGAATTATTATTTACAATAAAAATATTTCTAGTCGTAAACAAGTCTTGACATCTGAATGTATTTATCCTAGATGATATTTCTTTTTAATCTCTTTCAGCATCTTGTTGTTTTGCAAATAGTGACATTATCTTTTGATTTTCCATTATTTGTATTATCACGAGACACTGATCGATATGTAGACTCAATCCACCTTGTATAAAGAGAGATTAACTGACGTCTATAAGACCATCTTAATTTTCTTTTACTTGTATGATAGACATCTTTATATGTGTCTGTCTGTCGATGATTACAATCCTTGGTTTATTAAATATACAAAAACCGTATAGACTCAACAGTTATATTTTTTTTCTTTGGCTGGTATTGATAACAAATTACGAATTCAGATCCGATTTCAGAAGTCAAATATTTATAATAACCCCCGCAGGTGATGTGTTGAAACAAAAAGAGTACTGTTTTTACTTTTTATTTATGTGTGATGTCCCGTTCTTACTTCTTCCTTTTTCTCACTCATTGAGCATATGTTAAATACGGTGAAAAGGTCACTTTCTTCTTCTTGTTCTACTCAAAACAATTTCGATTTCAGTCATCTTCCAAGTTCATTTTAGCCTACAGAACTTATATCGTCATCATCCCAAGAGAAAGCAGAAAGAGAAAAGAAATGGGCGGATACACAAGAGAAAGAATAATACAATAGACGAAAGAACGAACATTCTCGCTTCGTCGCGCTCTCCGGTCACATCTCAACACGTCGTTTGTCCATACCTGTTTAGTGAAAATGAAGAAAAACTGAAGAAAACAACGGGAAAAAGAAGAAGAGAGAAAGCCTTCAATCAACCATACAAAAAAACTCTATTAGGAAATGCGTCCGACAACACGATAATTGTTCAACGGTAGTAAACGCATGATAACACACATTGATCAATTCACATACATATTTCTCAACCATTGATCGTACGCTTCTGGCTTTTGACGTCAAGGTGAGATTGCTGCTTACTTTCTTTTTTTTTGATCTCTCGAGAGCGTCTTTTTTTTTGTTAAAGAGTTCGAACCCGCGCGCATATTTACTCAACCACTCATTATCTTTCCTTTTTTTTACTCGGTCTTTTTATATTTCATCAGATACGATTTATTGAATAAGAAAAATGTGACTAGACCCCGACATGTAAGCGTTAATTTTTTTGACTTTCGTGTTGAATGTTATTTGTAATTCAGAATTATAGTTACCATTTTCATCAATCGTCTAGACTGGAGGCATAGAGTCAAATGAACATATATATATATATATATATAAATGTATCATATTATTAATATGCTTCAGATGCACGAACATATTAACCGTTAGAAGGTTTCATTACTCGAGGCTATATTTGTTGAACGTGTCAATGTTTATTCAAACTTAAAATGTTCGACAACAATGACATGTAACAGTAAATCGTCGAAATGACCCATATTAACATTTGCTCGGTGAAAGGCCATGACTAACATAAAGCCGAAAAGAAAAAGAAGTTCATGGTCTTTAGGAAATACCGTGAAAATTATATCAATCTATTTATCGGTTATGCTAATGAATCTGTTTGATAATGTTCACTCTAATGATAGCTTCTTCTTTTTTTATGGATTTTCCCAGCAAGTATCGAATCTATAAGAGAGAAAGAGATAGATGATGACATTTGTTATCATTTTTGTGTATATTCCATATGTTTGTAGCCAACAAAAAGAGAGAAGGAGGACGTATAACTATATAGACAATCAGATAAATTACTTGTACATATATATTATAATGATCCGACAGTGCATACAACGATATGGTAAGAAATAATACTTTTTTTTCTTTTCCTTGTGTTGGCAAAGTTTTATTCAAGTGTTCATTGAGAACAGTTCAATAAAGAAATCTTGATAGATATGTAAACAAAAAATTTGATTTCTGTTTTTATGTAATGATACTGCATACCATTGGATATATGTAGCAAGGATAGGAGAAGAGAATATTTGAAATTTTTTCACATCATAGTACAACACTAAGTAAATTTATGATATTAATCCATAATGTACAGTTAGTATTTTGTTTTTATCGTAAGTGATTTTCAAATAATAAATCATAACTAATTGAAAGCAATGTTTGCTATAGCATCTGTCGAGTTTTGACGTCAATTGTTTCGGCTACGAGTTACATTTCATTCATTTTCTCATGAGAAGACATGACTTCTGTTGCTGCTTCTCTTGTATGTATAATACGTTCTGCAAGAAGAAAATTACAGTAGTGAACACAAGGCTGTATACATTCACATATGCATGATGTAATTGAATATCGATCAAGCGCTTGTGCGTTTGCGAACAAGGGAAAAGAAAAGAAGCCATTGCTGCCGAATGTATATGCTAGAGGGATTACTAAACAGCAAGCGCGAAGAACATTCGATATCATCGACAAACATAAAAAGCAATTATCTTTTGTCTTCATCCTTTTCTATACGTTTGACAGTTTGAATCATTTATCTACGACAACCATGAAACTTATATGGTCATAGACAAATAGACAAGTCCTGTCCTTCCTGTTAGCATCAACCTATAAATACTAATGTATACGTATCTTCGTTAGTAAAAACGAATGCGGATGTTCAAATTGTTGATTGAATCAAGCACATACAGTTATTTCCGTTAACGCCAATAGACATGTAGCTTTTTCTTTTTCCTGTCTCCTTGACATTGAATAGCTTTGCTTTTTTTCTATGCTCATCAATTTTTGTTTCACCCTTTCATAGTGAATGTATATATATATATATATATATATACATACATCACTCGTATAAAGCCACTTCCTGTCAGTTTTGTACCATATCAAATAGAAATTGGTCGATACTTATATCTTAGTAATTGTCGTGTTACGCAAATCACTACCAATTATATTCAAGTGCATCAGACGGCAATTAGGTTAGCCCCGATAAAAGACTGAATGACATGTAGAGAGGAGAAAAAAATGTTATGCTCTCTCTTTCTATTGAACACCTTAAACACTACGTCATCTTTGTCTTTTGATGAATCATTCTTTTTTTTTTTTCATTCATCAATAAAAATTCTACGCACAGGGATATTCTTTCAATCATATATTAGGGAATGACCTAGAAATAATAAAAAAAAAAAAAGAAATAGAGAGAAGGAACAGATGCATGTATTTCACCTCTCGATTTAACCGGCAAGACGAACAGGAGATGTCGATATGTATATGAACGGACGTATAACGAAGAAAAAGAAAAGAAAACGTCGAATATGCCTGTTAGTCTGTCTCCTATACGTTCTACTCCTCATTCATCTATGCGTACACGTATGTATGTATGTGCGTGTGTGTGTGATATTGGTAAAATAAGAGTTGTATATTAGACGAGCAAGAAGAAAAGATTGAGCGGCTTTCGTCTGTCTACATTTCGGCAACAGTTTACTAGCAGTCATCAGACGAGGTAGGTCATTATATCAGAAGAAATTTGGAGATTACATCATGATAGCAATTGTAAACAAGAATATTAAACTCTAATGGTTAGCATTATCCATAGCAGACATTGGAGATGAGAAGACGAGCGATAGGAAAAAAAAATTAAGCTTCTCTAATGAAGAAAGAAGCATGTTGCTAGATTTGATTAGAGCGAAGATGAGAACAGAAATATGCATACAAATAATTGCAGCATCACATTGGCGCAGCTGTCTGTCTAGTTTATGAAAAAAAAACAGAAAAGAAAACTGTATATAAGCAAATCAAATAATGCGAATAGGCGCTTACATTGAAGATTTTATATCTTAGAAGATATTCATATATGCATATACTTTTGATCTACTTTGTTTATTTTTGTGTCCATCGTTTTTTCTTCATGTGTATTCATATTAGAAATGCAATAGTGTGTGTCAGTCTAGATTCTTTTGTTATAACTTAGCCGGCTTCTATTCTAAAAGGTTCGAATTTCAGTTTGATTGCTTTGATTCAAAGCCATGATGTTGACCCAACATTCATCCATTATTGTTCTTACTTATCCATCAATATATTGAGCCTATTCTCACAAGTATCCCTCTTCTCTACTTTTATTTATGCATACCACCTTGCAACCAAGGCTTCACTTTTTCTTCTTCTTTCTCAACCGTCCCAGGTGTACTGATTGGAAAAAAAGCGATTCGAGCATGATTCCTTATTGGATATTCTCCAGTAACTATATTTAAACATTTATTTTAGACGAGCATATAGTAAACATGTCGACAACAACGTCAACTAATCAAAATAATACTACTACGTCTTCTTCGGATGCAAACGAATTAACAGTTGAAATACCCGTTTGGGTACACGGCAAACGTAAATGGGTAACTGGCATAACAAAAAAGACGACATTCGACGATCTTATTTATGCCTTATTAGCTCAAGCTGATTTAATTAAAACGTCTGGAATAGCAAATTCATCAGCAAACAATATAACAGGCTATGCTATAGCTGAATGTACTCAATTGACAGTATCATCCCCATCTAATACCAATGAATGTGAACCACCATCACTGATTACTCAACGTATTATGAAAGGTCGTGCTAAAGTGATAAAAGCGAATAAAAATTGGCAATTTGACAAATTACCACTCACCATTCTACATCTTATATCAACATCATCAATAGTCGATAATAATTCTTCCACATCAAAATTTCGTTCAAAAATTTTTCGCCGCTTTCTATCAGCTAAATCTCAACCGATATCATCGCCTGTACCACCATTACTTTCAACTTCTCAATCGGAATCCTCAATAATATCTATTGGAAATAGTCAAGGACAATCTCAATTGTCCTATCAACAACGGTCTCTAACTGATATTCATGAAAATCTAAATGTTATCGAACGACAAAAACGTCTACTCGATTATCTTGATGAGAAAATTCATCAAACGGAAAATTCCTTATCACCAAATCTAAATAATACATTAACAAAATCTCTATCGAGAAATTCCTTTAATCAAGATTCATCATCAATTATATCTAACAATGAAATAACAATGGAGGATGTAACACGTCTATTTTCTCATCAAATTGATCAACAAGATCAACTCATATTTGCTGCGCAGTTATGTAATTCAATATTAAATATGCAAGAACGTATCGATGAAAAGACAAACATATTGTATGCTGTCGAACAAGCGATATCCAATGAATTAAATTTTGTTTTACATCAACAACATTACGACCCATTACCTTGTACATTATCATCGAATATTAATGAGTCTAATCCTTCAATATCAAATAATGATTTAATAACATTGAAAAATTCCATTTATCGTAGTCGAGAATTATCGCGAATACAATCGAAAGAAATGCATGATTTTGATTTATCATTACGTGAAGTCGATGTATTACTCGCATCGAAATATGATGAACTGAAATATCTTGAATATGAGACATCATCGAATTTAATGACCATACAACGATCTCTAACACCAAATTATACAGTGCAACAAAATTTTCGAACGAACAATATTGATGAACAGACAACCTATGAAACAATCGACATTACACCACCTGGAACCAATGTTGTGTTTACTTCCATAAAAGAAGCAGATGAAGATTCAGGAATAAATTCTTTAACAAGTGACGATAATAATCAGACCACGTCTCTTATTCATCAAAAACTTCATACACAAAATAGTCAACTTGAAACACTTGTCTAAAAGAAAATGTTTTCTTTCTCATGTATTTTTAGCGAATCTTTTTTTGTTTTTGTTTGTTTGTTTGACAATATGTACACATCGAGTTGTTACATTCTCTCTCTCTCTCTCTCTCTGTTCTTCTTTCTTATTTAACAATTGGATCTGACAAAGCATAAGAAAAGTTATGCGCCAGAAATATTTCGAATTAAAATTTTGTTATATATATTTACATATATGATTAAATTCGTTTAAATATGATTCATGAAAAAAATGATGGTTAGTGAAGTTTTAATAAAAGATTTTTCTAACAAAATCGAAGTGTTTGTGGTGTAACTTGATAAAGATAGACAGATGGATTAAGTTAAAGCTCATGCTATATAAATCATCGTTGAACAAAGATATACGAATTCTAAGCAATCTACAGCGATTAGTCTTCAGATTGACAGAAAAAAAAAGAACATTCTTCTAAACAATATAAGGAAATAATGCAGACAAATATGAATGATCTATTTATCAATACGAAAAATTACATAGGAGCATAATTGTAAATCCTCATGTAATCTTGTATTGTTTGCTTTGGCTTTCATTAATAGTTGTCATCAAATATGAATATCCCTATTCGCTGTCTGCATGAGATTGAATCTTGTAGGACAATAAATCGAAACCTTGATTCTATCAAATTAGCGAATAATGATCCCTATCGTAATGTAATGGTACTTACAGGTGTTTGTAATGTATCTAAAAATGGAGCCTATTAGATTCGATCGACTCTACTCCTACGTTAACATTTTTAGGCCGAGCTTTTGAAACAAGTCATGTTGCCTTTTAATTATACAAGACTTTCTACCATTAAAATCAAGGCAACCATGTCTGTCCTTAATATTTGAAATTTATGCTCGGCCTTTTTTCTTCTTATCGAAGATCATGTATAATCGATGTTCGCGCTCCTATTAAAATTTTGATACGTGAATGTGTTCCGTATACTTTAAGTACCTTGAAATTTGCATATCGCGACTCTCACATTTTAAAATATATACTAGCTAGGTGATGAATGCATTAGTTTGATACGAACATGTGTAACCTTATTAACTTGTGACATAAAAGACTTTCATTATAAGATTAAAAAAAAGACGAGAGCATAACCAATCAATCATTCATAGACGAAGACCTGTACATGAATGAATTGAAATTAGCATAAGTGAAAGTTTAATTTTTAGATAGACGACAGAGTGATGTATGTCTTTTGTTTAATACATTAAATAGGAAAGTTGTAAATATTTAAATTCATTACATCAAAATCTTTTCTTTTTTCTTTTCTTCATCTTGTGCTTCAATGCAAATTCATAGACACTCAGATCATGTTTATTTAGAAAATGATATAAAAAAAATGTCCTTTGTACTATTTAGAAGTGATACTTCACTCGAAAAGAAAAACTTTCTACTTTGTCACGTAAGAACGAAATGTGTGAAAAAGAAAGTTTATTGAATCCTTGTCTTACTGATGTTATTTTAAACGTGACAGAAGTCACGAAACAGTTTCATGACTTTCGAGAGAAAAATTACGCAAACATTTTTTAATGAGTTCTTATACGATTAGAATTTTTATCAAGAAGGTCAACAGCGACGGTTGGTCATGCTGGTGGAGATCAATACTTTGATTCTATATTAAACTGTATTAAACCTAAATCAATTTTTCGTTGGTCTAAAAGTAAACGGCACGATGATACAGATCGCTATTCATCGGATTCTCTCAAAGTTAATGTCGGTGATTTAGCTGATGCTGAAGAATTGAAGAAAATCTCTACTAGCGTTCGTATTTGTGACGAACAAAATTCTGAGAATATTATTGAAGATTTTCATATTCTTAACGGATTTCGTCAGCATTCAAAAGAAATCCTCGCTATTGTTAATCAACAGAGTAACTTATTTAATTATGGTGAAAAAGACAGTGGTCGAAAATTACTATCCATTGCGGCTGAAGCCGGCTGGTATGAAGGCGTTGTTTTCCTACTGAATCGTGGCGTCAATATCAATGAGACGGATCATGAAAATCGTACTGCATTAATCAATTGTCTCACATCAACAAATACAAACATTGTGAAAGTCCTAGTTAAAAAACCTGAATGTAATCTTGATATACAAACGCTAACGGGTCATACAGCTACTCATTATGCTGTTATGATGAATGTACGTGATTCATTTTTCTTTCGTTTCTGATTTCATATTTTCTCTCCATAGAAAATCCCATTCTTTGAGATTTTAATCAAATCCGGTGCTCGTCTTGATCTTCAAAATGATAAAGGCGAAAATGTTCTACATCTAATTATTGCATACAAACGGAAACAATGTTGGAAAACGATGAAACATTTGTGTGGCTCGCGATATCTTCAGCATCTCATTCACAGTGAAACATTTCTACATAAAACTTGTTTAACATTAGCATTTGAACATGAACCTAGTATCTACTTTTTCAAAGAACTTTTATCATATATTGATATAGAATTAATTGACATTGAATTATTTCACTCGTGGTCGAAAGCATATAAATGTATTCGAAATTTATTTATAGGTAAAAAAAAATTATGATGCTGCTAAAGTATGTTGTCGAAAGAAGACACCATTTTGCAGGCGTTGTAAAATATCATTGACACTCATTGATGGTATTTGGCTTCCGTCTTTTGCTTCGAAGGTCCATTGAACAACATGAGCCAATTCATTTGTTTGAATATGAGGATTAATAGCGCGTAGTGTTTGCTCCAGATCTTTAGCAGAAACCGAGCTAAGACAAACAAAGAAAAATTTTGATCTTTTTCATGCACGACTTGTTTACCTTGAGTTTTCGATTTTTTCTGATACATCATGAACATAACTTTGTTTATCTTCATTTAAGTGTCGTTTTAAGACTCGAATAAATTCTCCATAATTATCTTCATCATCCTAAATATATTTCGAATAAAATATCGAACAAATAACGAATTGAGATAGATGTACTGAGACAACTGATGACTAGATCAATTTGGAATTCACTTACGACAGAAAATAGCTTAGCTACAGAAAGTTGGTCTGTATTTGGTTGTTCTTTTTCAGTAGCAGCTACCAATTCAGAAATATCACTTGGTGTTTTATGCGGCAAATATTTTGCTAACATGTTTTGAAATGCATCAGCTGTAACAGTACCATTTGGATGTGTTTCACTTTCTTTAATAATACGATCAGCAAGTTGTTCAATAAGATTTTTTGTATAATGATAAATATCTTCATCGGCCTAAATAAAATAATATTTGCCTTGGTTATAGAAAAAAAAAAGCCTTTTTATATGAAACTACTTCTCCAGATAAAATATGATAAAATAATTGACAATTCTCATTGTATTTAAATCGTTTACATGAATAATCTAAATTGTAGCCCATTTCAACAGCCGTATTATGATTTCCATATCGATTACGAAAGAATTCGTAGATAAATTCCGATAAACTTTTTGTTCGACCATCCTGAATTCACAACGAAAAACGTAGAATTAACAAAACAGAAATAATCAACTCTACTTGTTTGTCTGATATACGACGTTCGGTCCAAATCTCTTGAATAAGAACAGCAACATCACGTCGTGTTAATCGACGATTTTTAACAGCGCGAGATGAACGTAAATGAAATGGAACTTGTTCACCTTCGCCACGTGGCGATAGTTGTTCTGGTATCGTAGTAGTTTGTGACAGATTTCCACTGCCATCATCATCGTTGCCACCAGTAAATTCATTGAGCAAAAGAACAAGTTTTTCTTGGCTTGTTTTACTAACGGAAACATTCATCCAACGTTCAGCACCACCATCAATAACTTCACCGGCTAAATTCCATGAAGGTCTAAACAAATAAATGAATAGAAACGAATCAAAACCATCGGAATTCTACCGTGGAGTCATTTCATCATGAATGTTTTCATTTTTCAGGTTTAATTCATCTTTTTCACGTTGTAAACGTTGAATATCTTCTTTGATATTTCTATATTTTGAATGAACAATTAATTAATTGAATACAATTAACGATTAAATAATTTACTCATTTTGCGTTCGAAGTTGTTCAATTTCTTGGCTTTGATTATCGTTAACAATTTGTAATTCTTTTATTCTTTGAAGACATTCACCCGACTTAGCTTCTAATGCAACAAAATCTCGTCGTGGAACAACATCATTATAATTAGCTTCCATATGCGTTATTTTTGCCAGTGCTCCATTAAGATCTTTGCGTGCTTGCCTATGTTATAGGAGAAAAAAAAGAAATTGAGCCCTATATTTTCTATTGACAAAATTAGACAATCGAATGTTAATGGAATACTGAACGGAAATTTTGAATTGATTCCGTCCGACTATAGAAGCTCGTAAGGACGATATTTTTATTTCATCGAAAAGTTTTCTTCCTTCAGTGGTTTGCATCTTGCGTAAGTTACTACTTTTCATAGATAAAAATAGAAAAAAAAATGAAATCAAATGTTCACAAGGACTCTTCCTTCTAACAAGAGCCCTCGTGATTCAAACTAATGCAATGAGAAAATTCATCTCAGTGGAAGAATAGATTAGATAATAAATGTATTAAAATGATTCGACTAACTTCAATGCGATTCTCATCATAATCGGATCTTCTTTTTTCATTCCTTGTTCATCAATGCCTTCTTTATCTTCGATGCGTTTTTCTTGTTGATTGCGTAGATCATTGGCATCATTCATTAATAATTTTCTTGCGTCAAGTTCTTTTCTATAGAGTTGATATTGACTTGCCACTTCGTCTTGAAGCTAAAAACTCGTAGAAAATAGTTTGTTTTTTTTTTGGCAAAAAAAGAAATCATTTGATTGAATTTACTCGTTGAATATTTGTTTCGAGATTTTGATTTTGATTTGTTAATTGACGAATAGTTTGTTGTAAACGACGTTTTTCTTCTTTTAATAATGATATTTCTTCTCGTTCTTCTTTACGATATTGCATTAATTTTTTATCACATTGTTCACTAAGTAGAACTAATTGTTGCTAAAAAACAAAAATCTAAATTTTCACAAAAACAAAAACTAGCAATTCTTTTAACTTACACGAAGAGGTTCAAGATCTATTACTTTATCATTAAGATGTGTTAACATAATTTCATATTCATTTTTAATCGCTGATAGAAGAGGTTTATATGTTTTAAAATCATCGATGATCGTTGAAAATACTTCCCGAAAGACCTATAGAAAATAGAACATGAATAATAAATGATAATAAAATAAACGCTTTACTTGTAAACGTGATTCATTTGCTACGGTATCTTCTACACCCAATGCTTTCAATTCTCTATAGAGATAATCTTCAATAATGGCTAAAAATCTCGGTTTAGGTGTTGTATCCAATTTGCCGCGTAAACTTGCTCCCGTGTGTACTAGACGACCTTGATTAGTCAATGCTAAGTTTCTAAAAGCACCACTGCCACCGCTAGCATTTGCTGGCCATGAGTCGATTTCACCACTTTGCTGATCGGATATGGCCTAAAAATCAATCGATCAAATAAACAAATCTAAATGAAATTGCATTTACTCGAAGAATATTCGATGGCGGCAATGCATAACGGTTGTTATTAACTGTATAAATTGGTGTTTCGTCCGATCTGAATATATAGATATGCATATGTCGCACAAATGAAATAGAAAACGATCTTAAATATTTACTTTGAAACTAAGTCACCTGAGCGGATCGGTGGTAATCGATGCGGATCATATTCTGTTTTTGGCAGTGAGTACTCCGAGGGGACATAAGGAGTAACTTCCATTTGTTAAAATTATTTTATAGTACGTCTGTTTTAAACAATCAATATAGCCATTACATGTATAGTTGTCGCGGTGTACACCTCCTCGCATTGTTTTGGCAACATAATAGCGTGGAATCGAATAAAAAATGCTCGCGATTTTAAACCAATAGTTTGATTTGATTGATTCTTCGCCATTTTTTGCGAACGAGAAGAAATAAGAAATTCTCGCCCGCCAGAGTTTGCCTTCCATCATTTATTTATAATATTTCTATTAGACAATGGAAATTTAATATGAATACAAACAATGTTTAATATTTAATCGATTAGCGTATGTTGATAGTGAAACGGATGAAATATTTTCAGGATCTATTGATTTGATTTCTCGTTCATATAAATATTCAAAGTTTACAAAATATCAATTCAATATAGATTCATAGATCGTGTTCATTATTCGAATCGTAAAATTTCCAAGATAAAAGATAAACTTGAAAATTTCTACAATAATTATAAAGTATAAATTCTCATCTTTACAATGATTTTCAAGTTAGACCATTTAATTTTTCCAATTTAGACTGAGGCATTATTTCAATATTAAATCTTTTTAAAAACTAATTACTAATAAATTTAATGTGTTCTGTGGATAACTTGAATATCTATTAGGGTGCCAGAATTTTCATTTCCGAGAGTTCTGTTCTCGAGAAACGAGAACGTATCTTATACTACATCTTCAAGCATTTTTATGCATAATCAAGATGCGTTCAAATACTTTTGCTTATGTTTTTATTCGAGGCTTTACTTGGAAAAATAATACATGTAGATTATTTGATTATTTAAAAATGAGGTTTTTCTCTTCTGTTCTCTAATATATCTTTGGCAGCATTTGAAAGAAAATTGCAGTGTATAATAAAAAGTACAAATGTTACTGAGCCGCATGACAACGTACATGAGTTCTTTAAATATATTTTCCATTCTACTTTCATCAACAACAAGACTTCATGTCAAACTTGAAGCACACAATTTACTGGAGTTTTTTAAAATTCGAAATGATCCGTTTGTTATTTCTTGGTAGTTTTAAAAAATAACTAAACAATATAATACCAAGTCATGATGAAGAAATCAAAGTAGAAAGTTGATCTCCGCTGTTTATTTACTTTTATTCTTTCAATTTTTAGTGTCATAATACTTTCATCTACATGAAAACTCGATGATCAACGGGAGTTACATTTGTCTTTAATGTCCGATATTAATTGTGAATGGGCTTCAACAGGTGACAAAAAAAAAGTTTTTCAATAAAATTTTCATTATAAAAAAAAACAAGTGTAGACGTCAGATATAATACATGTTACTAAATACGGCGATAGTATAAAAAAAAAGAAAGAAGAAGACGGTTGAGACAAAAAAAACGACAGTTTATGTCTTTTTAATGTATACTACGCATATAAATACGAGGTTAAAGTATATAAAAGAAAAACATTATAACTGTCCACGGGTAAGTACAGACCAAAAAGCAAAAGAAACATTAATTTAACTGATATGTAACGATTGTCTATTTATTTTCGCTTTTTCAACTCTTCAAATCGACGAGCTAAATCATCAAAACCAGGATCATCCGAACGGTTATCGGCTGCTGGAGGTGGTGGTGTAGGAGTAAAACGATCATGTGCGCTAGGTACTTGAGGGAATGGATCGATAAATGGTGCTTTAGCATCACTATCAATATTAAAACCAATACGAGGTGCATTTGATGATGCCGATGGCAGTGGTGGTGGAATTGATGGGCCAAAATTAATATTTGGATATTGAGGTTGTCGCTAAAAAATTTATAAATAATTACCGATTTCAATGAACAAAAAAGAAAAGAAATACAGTAACAGATAAGCAATCAAGAAAATGCACAGTGATTACAAGTGACAATTAAACATACAACATGTCTACCTGTAATGAATTTTCAGAATCATGCAATTGTTTCAAATTGACCTAACAGTGATAGAACTCAATTTTAGTCATGCAAATTTCCACAAGATTCACATATCCTATGAACTATTTCTATAAGAAATCAGTCGATAAATGAACTACCAAACTATATCGAATAGGTTTGATATCCGATAAAAAACAAAAGTCAATACATACATCGTTTGTTCCTGGTAGATACAATGTTAAATGCTCCTGTAACAAATGGATTTCAATTTTACAGGATATAATTGAAAGTTTATCTGCATAGCTAATCTTAAATCCACTAGTCGTATTAGGTCTCAATGAGAGTATTTTCCTATTTATGGAGAACTTTGAGTAGACACGAAAGAAAAGACGATCATGCAAAGAGCAAGCAAAACATTCACGCAGAATTAAAGCATCACACTTACTGCTGAGTAAGTTGGAGGTGGTTTTTCAAACTATTAAAATTCGAAAAATTTTTATTAGTAAAACAAAAATTTTGTTTTCTGTAATCTACGAAAATTTTTCTCCGGTGAAAATTATTACCTGCGGTGCAGTTGGTTGTGCTGCATAAATATTTTGTGTACTCGAATGACTTGCTTCACTGGCTTTTCCACCTGATGATGATGATGATGATGGTGGTGGTGGTGGTGGTGGTGGTGGTGGTAGAGGTGGTCGTTTTTCATCGTTAACAGGTTCACTTTGAAGATAGCGTTGTCCTATAGTCCAAAATTGATCCTGTGCCATGATAGTTTGATCAGGTTCGAATGGAACATTTTGACTTCGACATATTTCAACTAAATATCTTTCTATCAATAACTTTGGTATAATATCACAGCTTAAGCATCGTAATAAATCCACGTCAACTAAGCTAAGTTTATTCTGTTCACATGCTGTTACATAACTAAATCCAAAGTTTGATTAGAAAAAAAACGCTAATTCATATTTTAAAACTTACTCGGCTCCAAAAAGTTTCTTAAACATTAATGTGATTTGACCAAGTTCAGGTATATCTTGTGCAAGAAATGGTGCTGCCCATAAAATATTTGCTAATGGTTGTTCAACAGCTGGATCAACGGCTCCATTTTTCCTAACAAAGAAAAATATATCGTTAATGACTCTCTTCGATAATCTTTATCAAAACATATAGCTAATCAAAAATCAAATGAAATCATCATATAGACCTTTTTACTGGCCGTCAACTAACAAAACAAACTTGATAGAATTCATAATTTTAAAAAAACCTAAAAAAATTACATACGGACGATCTTTAATTAACGTTATTCTCATAAGTAGTGTATCAATGTAAGCTTCAATTCGATCCATGGCTTCGATTTTATAATCTTCTCGAACAAGATGTTCAACAGCTAAAAATAGTCAAAATAAAAAACTTGTTTTTTTCTTCGATATGATAAATATTCACCGATTCGTCCTCGAGCTGCTTTATTGTTTCGTACATAATCGGCAACTGTATAGCGTTCTTTTGCAACATGTTCTGTTTTTTTCTTTTCTCGTACGTCAAGACGAGCTTTGGCAACTTGAAGAGTAGTTTTTAGATCTGTTATCCATTTATTACTCGGCATTTTTTAAATTTATAAAATAAAAGAAACAATCAAAATCTAGAAGAAATCAATCACAATAATTCAAGAAAGTAAAATATTTGAATCAGGATCAGTTTGTTCTAGAAGATAAATATTTATTTCAAATGTAATAAAGGATCAGCAACAACAATATTACAAATATTGTCTGATTGATTTCAATAAGGAAATCATTTAGAGCAAACATTCGGTAAGTAGTAAATCGATTTCATTCGTGTGGAATTTTTTGTTTCGAGAAAAGTCTTTTTATTTTATTTAAAAGATATCTTTTGCGTCGTGCTAAATTATCATGAAGAGTTCAGAGATTAGCATTAAGAATTGTTATTAATTGCGAAAGATTTTCTATGCAAAATAAATGAAGGAACACGATATTAAAAAACATTCAAGCGGACTACCTATTCCTTCCGATTGGAAAAAAGGCTGATATAATCTTCCTGATAGTTGACAAGACATTGCATGACTACGACAACGCTCTTTTAAGGAATATTCCACATCCGTCAGATGACTAACCTGTACGAAATTGCATACATCCGCAAAAAACTGGTTTTTGTTGTTGTTATTGTTATTAACACAATGCATAAGCGGAAACAAGTTTTTTTCGAAATTAAGCGGAATTAGTAAATACAATGTTTGGAAGCAAAGGAAAAACATATGATTACCATACATATTATATTAAAACTTTTCTTTGATAGCTATCCAGTGATTCATAAATCTACATATTTTTATGAGTCATCATCGATCGTAAAAGTAATCCAATGAAAGTTTTTGAAAATAAATTATTGAAATTTAGCACAAAAATAATTTTTTCTAGATTTTCAAACGCTTATTATTCTGTAGAAATAATAATTCGTATTTTTTTTGCACGTTGATTGTAGCGACCTAGTTGATGACTCAGCTATCAATTTTGAATAAATTAATGACGCCACGAGTTGTTTATGACAGTGGGTGGGTGTATTTATATTTGAGCTGTGTAAGCGAGTAGGTACTCATCATTTTCAGCACAATCTTTGAAACAAAATGAATAGTGCAATTACAAACAGTCATGATCACGATGAACTGCAGTCAATTCAACGTCAAATCCATGAGAAAAAAACGGGTATGCTTGATTTAACTCGCCGTATGGTTGGATTGATCAATGAATCTGAAACTGTGGGAGTCAATACGGCTGCTGTAAGTTTCATTTGAATTGTAATATTTTTTATGGCCGTGTATATACTTCAGAATTTAAGTTGTAGTAACTTCATGAAAATGGCCTTGAGTTTCTAGTAAATATTCCACGTGTCTAGTTAGCAACTATGATAAAAAAAACATTTATAGAGATCAAAGTATAAAAGGTGTGCATAAAAATAATATGAGAAGATTTGTTTCAAAAAAAATTCATAAAGAATAAAATGATGGAAGAAAGGTTATGGCCCATTGTAAATTATTAATTGACGAATTAGTATATTTCTGTAGAATACTAAAACGGTACAGGTTTACTTTCTTAGATTCGCGTTGTATATTAATACAATTACTTAGTTGAAATTATTTTTCCTTGAAATAATATTTCATTTCTATAAAACGTTTCATACGTCTCGTTATCATAAAATTTTAATAGAGTCACCGTCTTTCCGGTTGCGTTAACAATGTGTTGTTGTTTGACATTCTAAATAATTTTCTAGAGCAAGTCGTTGTAATATTTTTAGGAATTAATTGAGCAACGAGAAAAATTAGAAAATATTGAAAAACGCTGTGATGGTATTGATGCTAATCTTGTTAGTGCACAACAAAATATAAATAAATTAAATTCAATATTTGGTGGAATTAAAAATTATTTTCATCCGCCGAAAAGTAGTATGCCAAAATCAGCTTCGCAACCACAACTGAGCAATGCAGCTAAAAAGAAAACAGCTGTAGTACAGCAAGCTGCTGCAACAGCAATCAATACAAGACCAACGAATCTTAACAACGATACTGATACTTATTTTGGAAAAGCACGTAGCGGTATGGATGATATTGAACGTGAAACTGAGGACGGCCTTCGTAAGTTCAGTTAATTTTCAATCGGTAAAATCTTATATTTTAATTTAATCAATTTAGATGATGTTCATCAAGGTGTGAATCGTCTCAAATTACTTGCCTTACAAATGAACGAAGAACTAGAAAGTCAAAAACCATTAACCGATCGAGTAGGAATAAAAATCAATCACCTTAACGATAGTGTAAACAAAAAGAACAAAGATATGAAAAACATCTTGTTACGTTAATCAAAATTTCGTATGGATTTTCATTTACCTTCGATGTGGCAGTCGATATATTTTAATATAAGCATAAACTGAATATATATATTTATCGTCTTTTTCTTCGTTCAGTGAATATTGTCGCACATTTGCTTTAATGTAAATTCAAAAATTTATGAAAAAGAAAAAACTAAATATAAAAACTAAAAACTTTTCTTTTTCTGTAATTATAGAAATTTAAAAAAAAGAAGTTGACAGGGAGATTACTAACAGCTGCGTGATATTCTAAATAATTACATGATATTTGTGTATACTACCTCGAGCTGTTTTGTGAACCACATGTGTTGCCTCTTGAGATAACCGAGAGAGAATGGATACACAAGTAAACGAGCAAATGAGCTGTGAATTTGCTTTTGTTCTTTTTTGTTGTTGACATAATCCTGCCAGTTACTCATTCACATTCATAATAGCTAATGTCATTGATGAAAGAACATAATGCTAATCAGAAAAACGTGAAAGATGAAATTATTTTCAATATGTTTTAGATTAATTAATCATGATTAATTTTTCCGATGGTGTTCAAAATGACACTCCGAAAAATAAAAATAATAATGTTGAAGAAGTCTTTTCCGATTTTTCTCCTCTAACATCAACACCAATTGCTAATGTCAATAACAACCAAAGTAAGCAAATAGTGCTCTTTTCCTTTCAGTCATACGCCTTCCTCATAAGAGTGACGAGCTCCAGTGCGAATAAACTAATTCATCCACTTGATCGTCGGTCATCATCATTGTTGAGTTTGTTATTCTTTTAAAACTTTTGCAAGCTTGCTCACTCTAAATACTGGAGTGTCCAAAATGATTTCATGCATTGGTGCAAACATCTTTCCCTTGGTAAAATAGAAGGAGCAAGAGAGAGAGAGAATAAGAAAAAGAAAATGTTTGAGATTCAAATGGAAAATGAATCCGACCGAGAGAGAGAGAGAAAGTGAAGTAAAGAAACCTTTTGACACAAGCTAGCAAAACAGAAAGAAAAACGATGACAAGCCGTAATTTAGTAAAGTAAACAGTATGGCCTATATCAACAAGTTATTTGCTGTTGGTCAAGCTTCTTTCTCTCATCGTCGTTTGTTTGCTTGTGCTTGTCATTTTTTTCTTCTTATTCAAGCAAACAAATAGAGAAGTGATGGATACCGAAAAAATATAAAAAATAACCAGAAAAGAAAAAAAATGTCTTGATCGATTTCTGTTGTAATTAACATCTGAGACAAAAAGAAAAGAATATCGCGTGTTGCAAAAAAAAAGAGACAACGTCCTTCATGGATGCAGTAAATCGACTGATCCCATGCATGTAAACGTCATATACTTAATGATGATAAGTAGATGATGAAGAAAAGGATCAGGGCCTCTTTCAATGCACTCCAGCAATCGCACAAGTAGAATCAGAGAAAAATAAGTATCGATTTCATTCTCTATTGCAGAGAAAGCGGCATCTGTAACAGGCACAAGCGTCTCATTACTCTTCACTGTTTGTCATTTGATTTCCGATTGCGAGCAATAGGAAAACGGGATAAAAGATAGATAGCAAGAGAAGAAAAGCTTATAGTCTAAGTAACGCACGAAGAACGATTATCAATCATATAGAACACACAGCGACACAGACAGGCACGTTTGGCAGATTCGCTGAGTACAGAAAAAGGAAAAAGATGAAACTCATAATTTGTTAGTGCAACATTCAGTCTTCTCGGTTAACATGAGTTTTTTAGGAGAAAAATAATATTTACTAAGTCAACTACTCTTCGTCTCAATCGATGTCAATACAATCTAGGCATATGATGATCCATGCAGTTTTTTTTGCTAACTCTTGTCTACTTCACCAACAATTTTTTTTTTATGAGACGAGAAAGAAAAAAAAGTACAAACAGTCAGAGATATTAAATTGTTAGTGAGATAGAGAGCAAAAGAAAGAGCAAAGGAGAAAAGTTTCTCTCGTTCTCCCCCTATTCTCTCTTTCTCTGTGTTTGACACTCGCCGAAGGCAGTCGACGACTAGAGAAAGAACAGTAATAAAACGGATTTTTACTTATCTACGCGATACACTATACATTATCGCTTTTCACACAGCGCTATACACGGTGGCAGTTTCAATCAACATCACTGTTCGTCCCTATAAAAGATGCATATGTTTCCACTTGGCCGTGTTGTTTATATGCCTTTGTCAACATCAACAGGCGCTGCTACTGGAACTACGACAACTCTTTTAGGACCTGTGCCCGCAGACTTTTCATCTTCTCAAACGATTCCTCTGTATAATACTACACTTTTAAGTAATCCATTCAACTTGTGCACGACCACCAAGTGTAAGTTTCCTCCTTTCCTACTTATGAATGTGATCAGTTTGAATATGGAAACGCTAAGTATTTGAAATAATAATGCCTATAGGCATATTGTTTATCAATATATTAATTAATATTGACAAGCTGCCAAAAGAATCGTGCATTCCGTCGAATTCTTGTCGCATCAAAATTTTCGACATCGAACATAAGACGCGTAATTTCATAAGATGTTGAAATGAATAAATAATAATCGAAGCACATTTCTACATGATAGATAGAATGAAAAGATAAGTTTTTGACACGTTCATCCATGCGGCGGCGTTTTCGCTACGATCTCAACAAAAATAATAATTGATACATCATATTTCCTTTTAGTCGAACACAATGCACTTCAACAAGCATTACCAACATTGTCTCATGGGTATAAAAGACTACGCGATGATCTCCATGACACTCAACAATCGATATGGCCTAAAAAAAGATGTAAACTCTCACCATCGCAATCTTCGTCATTTTCCTTAAATCAGCCATCAGCAAATAATAATAATAATAACAATAATAATAATAATAATAATAATAATAATAATAATAATAATAATAGTATCAGTAATAATAGCGATAGTACATCACCATCATCAAAAAATGCACTTATGTTATTACATGAACTTAAGCCTTCAGTTGAATATAAGCTTGTTGCGCAAACAGGTCCATCTCATCGACCTATTTTTACTATGGCTGTTGAAGTTAATGGACAAATATTTGAAGGCATGGCTCAAACAAAAAAAGAAGCAAAACAAGCAGGTAAAAAAGTTTATTCTATTATTTAAATTATAAGACAAAAAAAAGGAAATTTAATTATGTTAATTATTTTTTTCTAATTTTAGCTGCTGAAAAAGCCCTTCGCTCATTTTCCGATTTACCTTTCCAATTACCTGATGATGTAGCTAGTGAATCTGAAACATCAACAACGATAACAACAACAGCAACTAATACTAATAGTGATTCAACCAATGATAATTCTTCGTTATTAATTGAAAACGATGATAGTATTCAACGAACTACTCAAAGTCCGAATCTTGTAGAACCACGTGAAATTCAAAGTGGTCTAAGTCCTCTTTATCTTCTTAATCAACTTAAACGTGACGCTCAATTTGAAGCCATAACAGACAATGCATCATCGTCAACAACTGAACCACGTGAGTTTCGATTTGCTGTTATCGTCGATGGCCAACGTTTCATTGGCATGGGACGTAACAAAAAAATAGCTAAAACAAGAGCAGCACAGCTTGCATTAGAAAAATTATTTGGCATGTGTTTTGATAAAGAAGGTAAGAAACGCAAAAATTGCCGATTGATTAATGTCAGAACAATTTCAATCTCACGAGTTTAATTAATATTCTCTATTGTTTATCATTACATCGGCATTGACCTTTTATATGTAATTGACATTATTGATTTGCTGTGAGATAGAGTAGCCAGAAGTTTTCTTTTTTTATGTTGATTCCGTAAAAGCTCATCATCATATCTATCTTTTTATGGTTTGCTAATGGATTTTCAGTGTTATTCAATACCATTACATTTGAAAGGTTTCGAATTTAAGTAAAATCAGATTCACATTAGAAGCAAAAAAGAAACAGGACGTATTTTCATGTTTGTGTAATGTACATCTAAAATAATATATGAATATTAAGAACAATTTAATTTATTTCAATTTATTTCAATATATTACGCTAATGAAGAGGAAAGCACTAATCTTATTATAAATATATATATATACATAAAATCTAATTATGTATATAATGAACATAATTGAATTATTGATCTGTTTTCTTGGTCAAAAATTTGAATGAGAATTTCATTTTTTTTCTATTCAGGAGGTGTTCCAATAGAAAGTGATACTCTTCCAACTGATCTACCCTATTCTCGTCGTGATCTTGCTGATCGTATTGCAGCGTGTATACAAGAAAAATTTAATCAGTTAACTAATAATGATGTTCGTCTACAACGACGAAAAGTTTTAGCTGGTGTCGTTTTGTCACGTAATTATAATCTGGAAACAATGGAAGTTATTTCTATCACAACAGGCACGAAGTGTATCGGCGGTGATCGTCTTACATTGAATGGACAATCGTTAAATGATTGCCATGCCGAAATCATATCTCGTCGTTGTCTTATTCGTTATTGTTATCAACAGTTGAAACTTTTAATTGAGGATAATAATGACGAATCGATTTTTGAAAAAATTCCAGATAGTGATCGATTTCGACTTCATTCATCGATTGCTTTTCATTTATATATTTCGACATCACCTTGTGGTGATGGACGACTTTTTGCACCACAAGAAAGTGCATCCGAACAGCCCGTATCGACAACACTGAATCAAGATCAAAATATAAAACAAATAGGGTACTTTTTTTTCTTCATAATTTCGAACACAAAAAAAAATGATGAGCTTTCTTTTAGACATTCTTTACGAAAATCTCGTGGTTTATTAAGAACAAAAATCGAAGCAGGCGAAGGAACTATACCTGTTATGGCAAAAAGTTTATATCAAAGTATGCAAACATGGGATGGAATATTGGGTGGTGAAAGACTGTTGACCATGTCTTGTTCAGATAAATTATGTCGATGGAATTTTATCGGTTTACAAGGTAAATCGAACGAAAACAAAAGAAGTATTCAAATTTTTCTTTCTATGATAGGTGCCTTATTAAGTGCATTGATCGAACCAATCTATTATACTAGTATTATTATTGGAAGTCTCTATCATAGTGAACATATTCGACGAGCATTATTTGCGCGAATTGAAAAAGTAAGACTTGAATTTCAAAAATCAATTAACTTATTACGAAAACATTTCTTTTGTAGTTAGTGAAAAACATTCCAGCTCCGTATGGTTTACGTCGGCCATTTATTTCTGGTGTTAGTAATTCAGAAATGCGAACCACTTCTCGAGCACCCAATCATGCTTTCATGTGGAATTGTGTTGATCAGAAATGTGAAGTTATTGATACTTTAAGTGGACTAACAACTTCTCGTATGTTGATAGAAATTTATTTTTTTCTACACTGAATTTCGTTTATATTAGGTGAGTCCTCTGTTATATCAAAAGCAGCCTTGTTTCAGCAATGGTTAGCGTTAATGAAGCAGCTTAAACCAGATTGCACACCAATTATCTATTGTGATGCTAAACAATTAGAAGTTAATTATCAAACAGCTAAAATGGAGGTCTGTATCATTTTGTTTTCTCTCGATTTTATTATACAACGTCATTCTTTCTTTAACATAGATTAACAAAGCCTTTCAAAAAGGTGGATTCGGCTTATGGATTGTATGTATTATTTTTTTTTATCAAAATCAATATGATTTAATTGTTTATCTAGATAAAACCACATGAGCAAGATGAATTCGATCTATCTTGTTTCAATCCAACACTACACCATCAAATCAATGAACCCATGCCGTCCGTAGACTGAATGAAATTATTCTGTGATAAAAGAAAACGTATAAATTTCTAGTTAGTTTTGCATTTTTTAGTCTTCTCTGTCTAAACATTTGTAATAGAGAATGGGACATCAGTTTTATCTTTATAATTTCACCTTGTCTATTTTTATTTTCCGTGATTGTATAAAATAAAATTGTAACGCCAACGATTGATGAATTATATCTAGTCTTACTCTTAAGTGTAATTTGAGAGTATTCGATTATTGTTTGATTATTTTGTTATCATAGTAAAGAAATCTATCATGAAAATTCTGTGTAAAATATCCGTTTACTTCATATACCGAAGGAATTTTCAGGAAACTAGATTTATTACCATAATCTTCGATGAAAACAAGAACCATTGATGTTATTACTCGTTAGAAAGTACTCGAAAAATATGTACTCATATTCAATGTATTTCTGTACGTGTATACCCATATGGATTCTAATATACTTCTTATTTTTAATGGGTTATTCGCTTAATGGTCTTGTGAATACCCACATGAATAGTATCTTCGTCAAGAGAATTATTGATATTCTCGTTCTGTTAGTATTTGATTGAATAAGACAATGTAAAAGCATGATCTTTCTAAGATACTAATCTAATCTCCAGCTGTAAGGGTCTCATTAGTTATTTTCTACTCGTTTCTTATCTACCATCGATGATTACTTTCTTTTACAGTCAATATCAAGTCATTTATATAAACAATCGTAGTATGGCTTTAGCTAGCGTTGATAAGAATATGTTTATTTTCACCTCAAAACCTTGTTGTCATTTAAAAAAACACATTAAATGCTAGTTCGACAATGTGCCGCAACGGCCGCTGCATTGTCAGTACATATTGCGTCTTATTATAGACAGTTAAGTACCAAGGGGAAAACTGCACGACAGCAGATGAGTTTCTCAGTTCCTCGAGAAAAAGTTGTACTTTTAGCTGATATTCTTAAGAATTCAAAAACATTTCTAAACCTTAATCTTAAGTCATAAAACACTGACTACTGTTCATTAGAACGTAACTATTACTGAACGTATATAGCTTTGATTTCTGTTGCTTTGTCTTCATTGACGAACTCCGATTTTGTTGATTGTTCAATGCAATCAACTGGATTCGTTGAAATTTCTATATCAGTAGATTAATGTTAACAAGACTCTTTCGTAAGAAAAAGTCAAAATAAGTATCATTCCAATGTATTCTTGATGTAGGATGTAAATGCTACTGAAAAAATACACAGGAAACCTACGAAGCATTAAAAGTGTATTTTTTGTGGCGCAACAATCTTAAAAACGAAATTTCATCTGATGCTCATTGAAACAGCAAACGTGATGTGAAGATCTCTATATGATACAAATTCTATTTTATTTTATTTCGGCAAATTAAAATACGGTTCTTATTTTTCGACATGCCTATTCAATGTAGAGTGACGTAGCGTTCATCTAGCCACACTGATGTGTTTATTCACCGGTGATTATACATTATGAATCATCAAAATAATTCTTCGAGAACACTGTTAAAAATGAATGGATAGAGTTTTCCCAGATATAATTTTAATTATATAAAGGCTTTAAAAAAATTGAAATTGTGATTAGTAACTCAGTGAAAACAAAAACAGAGAATTAAATTCACTACATGGTGAAAATGATGAGCACAATGACGATTTCTAATCCAGGTTTTCAACTTAGGGAGGACGAATTCAGTCGTCGGGAAGACAGACAAATGTCTTTTTTTTACAGGACGAACTACCACGAATGATATTGCGTATATTATACTGATGCTTTCAATAGATCATTGTTTTGTAAGTTATATAAAAGTTAATTATTTAAATCATTTATTGAAAAAATATGCAAACAACCAGCTAGCAATATAAACATACCACAAAAAAAACTGTGGCAGCAAAAGACAAAAAAAAATGAATCAAAATTAAGTTATAAGAATAATTATCTAATTCAGACTGCTAAACGACACGATTTTTGCTTGTTTCCACTAATTAATGGTTTCCTCCTCATTTCTTCATTCAAAGTATTTTGTTACCTGTGTGCCTCATCGCCAAAAACAAAATCGTCGATCGCTGATAACACCGAAACTACCAAAGGATTTTTCATCCGCTTTCCACGTCGTTTCGGTGATGAGTATTCTGACCTCTGTATCACTATAATTTGCATTATCATGCATATTTTCCATATCAAATACAACATTATATTTATTAGAAACTACAAAAATCTCTCATAAAAAAATACTTTCAGAAAAATTATTTCATTTTTCATGGGGTGGCGAGCGTGGTCTCCGGAAGAGCAAAATGCTCCATGCGCTCCCACTGTATAAAACGAAGATCAATGGCTAAAGAATGCAGAAAAGATGTTGTATTAAATAAAACTTATAGGGCAAAGTCAGGCGTTGCACTAGCAGCATTGTCTTTCGATGACACATGCAGCAATGTCAAATAATTCAGTGTTAATAAGATAGATAAGCGACTTTCATCGACTGTGAAACGTATTCATGTTGAAGCAAGATACAAAAAAGAATGTATGGCTGTCCATTCAGATGTTCTTGGTATCCACATCCTCAATCGGATTTTGAATATCTTTTTTCTTGGATCTATTTAATCTACGTTTTAAAATTACTTTGTTTTTACTTTTAAATCTAGTTCTCTTTCTTATTTTTATATTCAATATTTTCCTTCAAAGTTATATTACATTATTCAAAGCCAGGTTGAAAGTCAGTTCTGGAGTATAAATATTATGCAAACAAGAATAAAATAGTATGTTTGAATGTATCAACTGAAAGCAACAATAGACAAATAAAGCGATATAAGTGTATAAGATAATTTAAATTGAATAAAGTAAAAAGAACATCTTTGAAAATTTTTATATTCATCGTGAGACGTTGTTCAGACATTGACGAAAATCAATTCACGAGAAATATTAATTTTCATAAGTTCATACAAAATCATTTCAATTTTTATCAAAGTTTCATGTCTAAAAATCAAAAGATTTTTTTTCGTGAGAAAATCTCAACGATTTTAAAATAATAAAAGTTTAATTTTTATTTATAAAACATTTCAAGAAATGTCAAATTCATTCATGTTCTTCTTTTTTTATTTGTTTTTCCAACTTTGACTTTCTCAATAAACAAAAACATGATCATAAAGAAAATAAAACTCTTTTTAACAACAAGATCAAAATCATAATTAGTTCAAGTTTCTCATTTAAATTAATTTCCTTTTTGGCAATCAATTGAATCACACAATAAAAATTGATGGCGTTTTTCAGCTAATTCTTCAAATATATATGTTAATAAAATGCCAAATGATCTTTTTTCTTTTGATCCTACATGCATTGCCACAGGAACAAATGCATTTGTTGTTGAATCATGAACAAAATATAATGATCCAGAATCACCACCTCTTGCAAATTCAGTTCCATTAATCCATTCAACTTCAATTACTTTTCTATAATAAGTATTATCCAATGTTGTTTCCGTATCAATTTCTTTAATAAAACCCATGGTTAAATTTGTAGCTGCACCATATTTAAATATTGGCACTTTGTTTGGTTTATGTCTATTAAACAATGATTTTAATGATGAAACATTAACATGTACTGGATTACATGATCGTTCATACAATTCTGTAAGTGATTTTGCATTGGTCGGTTCATCCGATGATGAAGATTGAATTGATGATTCTAACGATGATTCAGACGACGATTCAGATGATGATAAAAAGTCATCATAAACATAACTAGATAATGCTGTACAGTCCAAATTGTAAATGTGACAACAAGGATTTCCTTTTATTTTAAATAATTCAGCATCATAAGTCAATTCAATAATATTATCCGAATCAACACATAAATTTTTAATTGAATTTATATTAGATTTAATTTCTAGTCAATTTGTATCTAATCCACGTAAAACATGTTTAGTTGTAAGACCATAATGATCATTGCTATTGATATCTTTTATAAAGAAGGCAATGCTACCTTTCGAGATGTACCGCATCTTTATAAATACCTGAACCCTGGCATATATCATCACCACCTTTATCTAATTTAATAATATCATCATCTGTTATTGGTTGGTAAATAATTTCAATAGCATCATGTTTTAATAAACTGTACAATTGTTGTTTTTCTTTGTATATATCATTATCAATATCATTATGATTTATATCATTGTTATTGATTATTTTTAATATATCATCATATTTCATATTTGATTTACATATAAATCTTTTTTCTTTACTGTCATAATTATATGCTCTGTGGATTTTCCATATGCCAAATTCACTATATAAAAGCATCCGCGTTAGTCGATCTTCAAATTTTTTTTCGAAATCAAAAGATAACATATACAATGTTTGATTGTTACTAGCACGACGGATGCGACCTAATGCAATTTCCATACGTCGTATTCTAATTTTGATTAATTTAGATAATTTATGAATAAATTTCATAACATTTCCTTCTTTTATTTTGTCTTGATAACATAAAACATATTGATCCTTTTCATTTTTCTCAATATGACATTCATATTCTGTAATACCAATTCTACAGAAAAGTATTTCATTTGTTTCTAATAATCCCATTTCAACGAAAGCATTAATCGTTGGATCACCATAACCATCATTGTTCGCATTAATGACATTAATATATTTTATTAATGAATATGGATCATGTTCCATTTCTATGTTAGACGTGTGAGTTGAGTTTTATAATATAAAATAAATCTAGAAAATAAAATTTATGTTAAAATATATTATATTGTATAATTCGTAGTTCGCTAGGAAAAAATATTTTTTCGTTTATAAAATGTTTTCTATATATTCTTTTGTAATAAAACAAGACACTAATGAATGGTTCGATTTCAGGTGAAACAAAAAGTAAAAATGATGAAAATTTTGAATCACACATAAGAAAACGAGATCAAAATTTTCAATGATTTGAAAACTATGACATTTAAGATAATTTATTTTATATAAAAATTTGACAAGAGAGAGAAACTACAGCATCAGAGAAAACAAAACAAACAATATAATCAATAGACTGGATTGATGCTTTAATTGTGGAATAGAAAACAAAAAAAAAGATATTATTTAGAAAAAAGATATATACAAGAGAAAATACTGATTTGTTTTTATTTAGTTAATTCCGTTAGAGAATATTATATTTTTACTAACCTAGCAGACGGTCAGTGTTTCTTCGAAAGATGACGCTGTTAAACGCCAATAGAATACACGATTTTATTTTGTGTTATATGGGATTTACAGGCTCTATTGAAATGGTTCCTATATATGTTTGCTCCTTGGATGTTCATGTTTATTGACCTATCGTGACCTGTAATTAGAGGTTTTATATGAATGATTTCTAATAGAAATTTGAAAGAAAAGATGTAATTATATTACATTTGCGAGAGGAAAGTTCAATATGACACACTGTGTTTTTTTCGACGATGTCACAAAACACCCAAGCTATGTATTGCTCGAATTATATTAGAAAACAAAAAGGTTTCGTATGTATTTTCGAAAATATACAACATGTATTATTTGATCGTATTGGATGAACAATTCTTTTATCTCATGTTTCATAGATGATTTTAAAAAAACAACATAAAACAATAAACGAAGAAAAAAATCGAATTTCATTTCTCTGTGAATTCTATTATAGTTCGAGATATTAGTCAAAATAGATTCTTTGTTTTTTCTTTTATCAGACAACTATTTTTCATAAATCTCATGTTATTATGTATGATCATTTTCCTATGTATACATCGATTTTTTTAATATTTCATAATAAAATATAAAATAACAATTTTATTTTGTCTAATACATCCATTCTATACGAATTCAAATTCATTTAAGTAAGAAATGAAAATAATCTCTGAAATTTTTTAGGAAATCAAAAACTTCTATTTGAAGATCTACGTATATTTCACTTTTTCACAATTAATTCGTGTTGCGACGTTTTGTGAAAATTGTATGTTACTCTTTTAAAAGATTTATAATCGATGTGAAGATTAACATCATTTGATAAACACGTTTTGATATGAGATAGAAATTGTTCGACATAATCATCATGAATTTCATTCAAATCAAGTTATTCAGGGTGATGATATTCAATAATTAATAAGTTTTGATTGTTATTTTTCTAATTTTCTACATTGTTTATCGTTTTGTGCTTCTCGATTAGTTAGAGTTAAACTGCTCATAAATGGAAATGATTGAACAATTTGAATAAAGAAATCCTGTTCCAACGAATGTTCATCAAATAATGATTCTTCAAAGCCACATGTAAATAAATGACCTGGGAAATTCTTTTCTATATTTTCATATCTTGTTATTTTGTATGGATATGAATAAATATAACATTCATCTTCATTCTGTCCTAGAAAATAATTGACACAAAAAATAATTTGAGTATCTAAAAAAATCTTTGAACGAATGCTGAATATCTTCTTTTGATAGCAAATCAATGTGATCTTTTAGCAACATAATTGAGCGAATATTAAATCGAAATTGATTTAATCGTGGCAAATAATTGGTAATATTTTGTTTTAAATCATTTCCATCAAAAAGTCCATTACGACGAGCGAGCGATAAATACAAACTAAGTTGTTCTACATTTGACATTCGATGTAAAAATAGTACCTATGATTATTGTATCATAGAAAGATGTTCTCAAAAGATAATACAACGAAAAACATCGTAAATTTGGTAGTTTTCCCTAACAAAGGATAAAATAGATATTGATGACGTTTAATAAAAAAAAATACTTTATTTATTTTTAAGGCCGAATGAGTAGCTGGAGATCCTATATTAACAAAGAATGTCCGAAGTTGATTGAAACGACCGTCAAGTAAATAAAGACAATCTTCAGCATACATCACTTTGACACTCAATTCGCATAAAGTTGAAGAGAACCCAGCTGAAGGTGAAGACCAGAATGATATTCGGTGATAACAAAGAAATGGATCGAAATGAAAATATTGTAAGTTAGGGAACATATTAAAAATATGTGTGAACATAAGTGTATTCTAATTTATTGATGTATCTTGTATGCCAATAGTTTCAATCACGAGTGATAAGAGTTGATTTTTGAATATATGCATTAAAGAAGTTTCGTCTAAATATAAATACAAAATTATTATAAAAATAATTTACGATCAAGTCATAGTATTTATTCTTTTAATTATCTTTCTTTTCTTTGTATCAACAAAAGATAAATTCTTTTACGATATAACTAAATATGTAGATATTT